ATAAATAATATTTCGGTACTGGTTTGTATTTCAAAGATATTGCTTTATCGCTAATATTGTACAACGCAGCTCACAACATAAAATAGACAGTTTATTCATTTCAACTCTTTCCTTAATATATTAATCTTAATATATTCCTTGTATTTTTGTAGTTATAGAATTTTTTCCATCGGCTTTTATCACTCAAACCTGATGTTATCAGTGACTTAAAATCTCACAAAACACGAAATTAAGGCAAGAAATTTGTTTATTGTCATAAATCGATCAAATATTAAAAGTTGGAATGAGCGAGATATTGCATAATGGGCGTATAAAGTAAGCAATTTATTTTTTTTATGTTACATATATACATTGGATCCGATTAAAAAACTAAGATCAAAGTAACAAAAACAAACACGTCAATGGGTACACCAGTATAAATAAATGTGTCAAAAGTCCCTTAAACTTTTCAATTACACTATCAAGACTGTCGAAAATACACATTTAAAAAAGTATGTTTTAATATCTTTTTACACGATTATCTCAATATTTAATATTTTATAATATTTAATATTATATGAAAATGAATATTTAATATTATATGATATTTCTGTCACCTAGCCTCCCGTGATCACGGCTGCTGTGAAGTAATCGAAACGTCGGGTTAAATGTACCATAATAAATTGATTAGTAAAGGTCAACGATTCCCTTTATTATAATTTGTTTGAATATACTTAGTTCTAACACAAGAGCCTTAAACGTACCTACATAATAAAATAACTTCAATTCCTTATATTTTTTTCCTAGTATGAACTTTGTGTGATGCGTGATAATTACGAAAACAATACAATCACTGTGGTATTTTTGAACATTACTTAATAAAACATATATGATATATTGTACAACATTTTCTCAGATTAAAAATTACTATTAGGTTCAGATTTGCTTACTACTGTAAACTCTACTTTCGAAAATCCCCACAATAAAGAAGTCGGAACAAAATTTTAAGAAGAAAATTATTTTATATCTTTCATGAATAAATATTAAAGAAAGGACGTTACACTCATACACTTTAATAAGGAGATACGTCCAAAATCTATATAATTTGGATTTTGGATGATATCCAACTCCAGCGTTAACTGTTATAGTTAAACTGTGTCAATTGCTTTTTCGCAAGGAACTCCTATGTATGTTCTATATTATACAAAAAAAAGAGCACATAGACTGAACTCACATCCCTACGCTAGTCTAAGATTTATAGGAGACTAGCTTTCCGCCCGCGGCTTCGCTCGCGTGGAGTTCGGTTATATCGCGTTTCCTAGAGAACCTTTCAAAAGACTGTGATAAAAACTATCCTATGTTCTTTCTCAAGGTCAACTCTATGTCTGTACCAAATTTCATTAAAATCAGTTCAGTGGTTTAGGCGTGAAAGCGTAACAGACAGACAGACAGTCAGACAGAGTTTATAATATTAGTGAAGATGAAGGCTATTCAATCAACTAAACTACGTGTACTAGGGTTGAAAATCAGCAGATGATTAAAAAATTTCTATAAAATTCCTTGATAATAGACCATTGAGTTGATCTATGGGACCACGTTATATAAATACTACGTACACTACGTCATACAGTGTGAGAAATTTTATCATGAAACGATAATACCTCCAAGTTATGCAATTGCAATATTTTATTTATAACAATTGTTATGAATAAAAGGTAACCGTCATTTTTATGTGAAATTTTATGACAGCGAGTTTAGTCTCAGGTATATTTTTGACAAAATTTATCTTTTTCGGCAAAATTACAAAAAAATGTCCAACGTTGTCGACAATTGTTTTTTTTATGAGAAAGTTTGTTAATCAAAATTGGAATACCAAAATTCTTTTACGAAATTCAAATCTCTCCTAGTTGTTTTTTTTTTAAACATCTATTTCGACAGGACTGACAGAATCGAATTAACGTAAAAGAATTCAATCACAATTTAGTGAGAAAAAAACACTCTCCTTTGTCCCCTTACCGGTTAAAATACTTTGGAATTTCATTGGAAATTTTAGAGAAAATTTATCCCATTTAATTAAAAATTACAAATAGTTAACTAAAAATTTAGAAGTATACAAAATTTTCTCTCAAATGTCGTAAATTCATAAAATATTTTAATAACGTTCTCAAAAACTCATTTTAGTTAAACAATATAACATATTTGTCTAAATTTCACAAAATTTTCCGAATATGAGTATAAAAGCAACATTTATATTAAAATTAGAAAAATAATTTCTAAAATATATGGGATATGTAACCTTTTTTGTGATCAAAAATCGATCTTTCTCCACTTTAAATACATAACTATGGTTAACCGATAAAATGAATGAAATAATAAAAGTTCTTTAAATAGAAACGAATTCTATTCCTGAACTCACTATGCACCAATTAGCTAATCATGTTACATAATAAAGTGCACAAGTCATTACCAATATTAGTGCAGAAAAGAGTACAGTAATTAGTTTTAAAAATATAAAAAAAAAAAAATTAATACTATTTAAAATAACGTAAAATAAAGTAAATTTTTGAAGTATTTATTTCCAGTCATCCTACATAATAGTACATATAACTTCCTATTCAAAGCAAAGAAAACACAAATCCCTTTTAAGCATTGTTGAAATAAAACTGATTACAGTTTGACTTTTAATTTATAGAAAAAAAATCGACGTCATTCGTAGGATTTGAACCTGTAACCTTCGGAATATCGCATTAGAGTTACTTTAGTAATTATGTAATCGTACACTAAAGCCTAATCCAAAATTATACCACACTATAATAAGTATTATTCCGTTTTTTTGTCAATATATTGTAAGAGTAAATAAATCATTTGTATTGACACAGATATATTTTTTAATATATAAATGAAATCAGAACATAAAACCTTCTTTTTAGTTTTGTTTTTGAAACTGGCAACACATAAATAACTTTATTTTTGTTTTGTTTTTGTTTACGTTTGCTCCATTATTACTGACCTTTTCAGTGACAGCGAGTCCGCCAAACTCTTCCGCAGAAACACAATCTCCTTTAAACCAATTCGCCAACCGACCCAACTCTCCGAACATATTCGACGATGTTAATGAACTAAATGCCATTTTTTCGCGTAATAAAAATATAACTCTAAATTAAATCTATCTTCATTTGTGTTTATTAAAATGCGTCAAATATATAGACATACAAATAACTAATACGAATGCGTGCGGCACAGATAATGTAAAGTATTAATTATTCAGGAAGTTGGGAAAAATTTTGATTTTTCCCGCGTAATCGGAAATCTCGTCACGCTTCTGTGGCAACACAATCCCAACTAAACAGATGTGGTCATGTTGATTGTCAAAATACAAACTTCGAATGTTTACATTGAAATACACCTTATGACCGTAGCACAAAGTCTGTTTTCGCATTTAAGTTACAAGAGCATGCGCGCGAAATAGGGGCGGAAATAATTTTCGTAAGGAAATGAATGAGATAAAACGAGATTTATACATTAGTGTAAATTGTAACAGATTGTCAATAGATCCTTTATTTTAGGAACATATTTTCATACTAAAGACTCCATAGAATTATTTACAGTTTGGTCGAAAGATTGTCATAGACCAAAAAAAAACATAAATACTTTGTGCTACTTAACAAAATATAATCAAAAAAAGTATTTATATCTGGTCAAGTTCCAAAAATAGTTTGATACTTCAAAATATCTTCATATTATATCAGTAATATACATTGCCAATAACAAATATGTACTGCGTTTGTATCGTTCTTTTATGTTTCTGAAGAACAATAGCCTGATGTAATATGACTAATTATTAATTATTTACTATACTAAGCAAATAATGCAAGATAACATATTTTGTCATAGTGATGCTATATATGTAAGAAATAATTTCTACAGAAATTAATATGATAACATATTAACTCATATATTTGTATATATGAGTCCTACTAACTGTATACAATATTTATATTTCCTTTATAATTTGTATTAAAAATAAGTTATCAATGAATAGATCATTAATAAGTAGAATCTTTTTGAAATTTGAAGAATAAAAATCTTTTTTGCAAATATTAAAAAGGCTTATATAGCTAATTCTTGAGCATAGAAAGATAGATTAGTGAGTAATTTATTTCACATCACTATATCAATACAATAATAAGTTGCGTACTTTAGTTTTAATAAATATGTTATCTATAATTTATAAATAGCTTACTTAAGATATGATACATAAACATTGACCAATTCATTATACTTAATCCTAATTAGTGTGAGGAAAACCTCGACGCCCTCTCTACAAACTGTATATTATAATAACCTATTAATTATTTGAATAAACTTATTAACAAGAACAGATATTAACTAGTGGCTTACCTTTGGAGTTTTGATGATATCCATCTCAGGATATGACGATAATCAATAAAATAACCAAACACTCGAAATTAAACGATTAACTATTAATAAAATAATAAATTTTAATACTAATATCTAAAACACTGTCTATAAAACTTCACAAAACAGCATACAATAATCCATATGCACTTTAATATTTATATAAAATCACCAAAACATTTGAAAAATGTACTCAAAAACTTTGACATATGATACTAATTTTGACGTAACATGCCAAACGTATCGATGTAGCTGTCATCTGATAAACATATCTCATCTGTTAAATCATTCATTAAGGATATATATTTTTATATGTTTTAATTAATACAAAACGATGTAATATTTCAAAATACACAAACTTTACAATATTTATTTATGTTCCGAATATGAACAGAATTTTTACACTGTGCCCATTGTTTTGCAAAATATGACAGTGCCAAATTGACAAATAAAAAACAAGAATTCCATTTGTCATTTAATATTTAGCCGTGAATGTGAGACGAATATCAGTCGGATTAAGAAGGGAAAGTGAAGTCTTAATATTTTTGTAATATACGCAAATACTTTTCATCATTCTTTATTTACTATCAAAAGCCATTGCTATGACCTCCACAGTGCCTAACGAAAGAAATGAAGAACGCCGACGCAGAGTAAGTTTGAAGGCTTTACAACAATAATATTTAATGATTCACAATAACTCGTTTGATTTCTTATCTCGCTATGGAAAACTTGTATTGTGACAGGTATTTATAGAATAAAAATAAATATCAAACAATTGAACATCAATATTTTTTATGTTCTGGAAAATTCTCTAATTAATATTTTTATTTACAATCGTGTTTTATAGAGCTAGTTTAATATGTAATTTACATTTAATAAATCTCTTTTTACATATTTCATCTGGATTTAATATTGCACTGCACCAAATTCAATTTTAATATTGTATTTAGGTACTGCTGGGGCCTTTACCAGCAGGTTTTTTAAGAGCTGATGGCACTACAGACACCTTGGATGCAGATTACCAAGCAGCTCTGGCATTACAGCAGCAATTATGTGGTGCAACAGTGAGTATATAGTTGAAAAAATAAAATATTACTATATATTACTAATATACTATAGCTTACTGGAACTAATATTGAATATAGTACTAATTTTAAGTTCTCTATGTAAAACAAAGGAGGCCTTGTTTATAAATATAATATTTATTTATTATCCGTTAAGTTTAAACAAACTAATATGTTTGGATGGCTATTATTCTTAATTATTTTATTCCATAATCAAATAGTGTTTAGTAATCCAAAAGTATTAATTTTATTTCAATTAATACTCGGGAAAGTCTTTGATGTCATTGTCTTTTAAGTTATTAAAATTAGTTAACTATATGTGTATAACACTGTAACAAGATTTTTATTTATAATAAAATTGGTTAGTAAAGGATAAAAGTAACCCATAGGGGTTACTTCTATGTTAGCAAATGCCCATATAAATAAATTTGAAACTATGTGATTGCAGATATGACACTTATCTCACTCACATAAATAATAAATACAAAGGAGATCATTCAGGCTTCATACATTTTTGGGCCTTTTTTGAAAGTGTCGGCCAACAAAAAAAAATGGTACATATTTGTAGAACTAACCATTTGGAACAATAGTTAATATGGCGCAAAAGTTGTAGGATCCAAGATATAGAAGTTATACAAGTTTCAAGATTCATCATTTTGGTACATTTATTTTTTTCTGAAAGTGCCAAGAAACATAAAATAATGATTGATATTGCTAGAGTTAAGCTTCTCAAGCAAATCATTATAGCCATAATCTGTTAGAAACCTGTCGTTTTTATATAATACTAGCGAACCCGAAAGACGTTGTTCCGCCAAGTATCTGAACGCATGAAACACATTTCTTGATGATTTTATTATTTGTCTAAACTAATATGTATATCGGGGTGCCATTTTTATATATTAAAAAAATGGGCCTAGAAGCACTTTTAAGTGATTTTGTACCATTTCGGGTCGGATTTGATCATATGACGCGAGAGCAAGTGGCGCAGAGCATGTACATGTACCACATAACCGCATGACTCCAGATTTTCTATGGCATCTCTAAAACCACGGTCTAATATAAAAATGTCACCAGGCCGGTAAATAACCAGTGAAATACATTATTCAGTGCATCATTAAAAATCTGGGCATCGGAGGTTGTTGCAGCGTATGGTCCATCTACCGCTATTATGGTTCCATTGCAACAAATATTTAAAAAAGGCTTTAAAAGATTTCGAAACTTATGGTTGCTATAAGATTTTCTTTGAAAAAAGTAATTAGTGCACTTCTGTAAATATATGTAAGTGCCATCAAGTATAGAGATGGCCTTTCTTTCTTCAATCGGACTATCAGGATTACCAAATAATCGCTCTGGCACTATGAGGTTCCTCTGCACCACTTGCTCTCGCGTCATATGATCAAATCCGACCCGAAATGGTACAAAATCAGTTAAAAGTGCTTCTAGGCCCATTTTTTTAATATATAAAAATGGCACCCCGATATACATATTAGTTTAGACCAGTAGTCCTCAAACTTATTTTTCTCGTGGACCACTTTCAAAATTTTACTGGTTTCGGTGGACCCCCTGCTGCTACATTTCTACCACATTCTTAAAGTCGCCAAAAAATAAAAATTGTGTCACTTCTGAGTTCTGTCTCTATATTCCGATAGGTAAAATAAAATTTTAGAAATTTTGGAAACAAATGAATGAGTGTTTGCCTTTGGCATCAAGTATTTATAGTGGTGATCAAGTTCATGTCTGAACAAGCATTAAGCATTGTCGGGCGGATAGCGCTTTGCAAGTCTGTACACGAAATTGTACGTAATATCGAATACGCAAGTTTGGACAAGTAACAGTCGCTTGCCTTATTAAAATATTATCTGCTTAGTTAGGTACTTAAAACAATGTAGGGTCACTGAGGCTCCGAACATAGAAAAGATGGCAAGCAGCTATCTGCCCATTCGCTGTTTTCGATCGCTCTCTATCGCTGTTTTTTGTAATGTTACAAACTGGAATTTAATGGGAGTTTAAGTACTGAATGTGCCATGCGGCCTCCATCGAGCACCGTCGCCGCAATCCCAGAGGAAGCTACGGCAACAGCTATTCCTTTGTCTTTTCGGATTTGGGCTAAAAGTAAATTTATTAAATAGTTTTCCTAGTGCCTCCTGGCGCATCTAAGAAAAACAATCCACCCTCACCATTATCGATTCTTTGCACAACAATATCATAAACTAATTTTTGTTCCGTGTTCAATCGAGGAACAGACTCTGATATTTGTTGCTGTAAAGAAGAGACATTGTAGTCCAGTTCTCTTATTAAATCACTATTGACTTCTCCGATTCCTTGTGGCCGGTTCATTCCAAAATCTGATAATGTCTTCCCAAATATAGCCATCACTTGGTCTTGAATCTTAGTTGGCGCCTCGTTATAAACTAAATAATAATATGTGACAATGGGATTATTTTGTTGTAGTCTGGTCAAAATATAGTCAGACATATCATTTTGGGACTTTTCCCATAATATCTGAGGATTTGAGAGACCACACGTAGCTATGAGAATGGCAAAAGATCTCTCACCTTAGCTGCTGATCTACAATGTCGAGCCTCTTCTAGTGTCGAGTCCCAATGATTATTTATCATTCTCTAACTTTCATTATTATCGTTAATAAATTAATCCACTGTTAATAAATTAATCAACTGTTAGTAAATCCACTGTTAATAATTTAATCAATTGTTAATAAATTAATCAACTGTTAGTAAATCCACTGTTAATAAATTAATCAACTGTTAGTAAATCAACTGTTAATAAATTGATCAACTGTTAATAAATTAATCCACTGTTAATAAATTAATCAACTGTTAATAAATTAATCAGATGTTAGTAAATTAATCCACTGTTAATAAATTAATCCACTGTTAATAAATTAATCAACTGTTAATAAATTAATCAACTGTTAGTAAATCCACTGTTAATAAATTAATCCACTGTTAATAAATTAATCAACTGTTAATAAATTAATCAACTGTTAATAAATTAATCAACTGTTAGTAAATTAATCCACTGTTAATAAATTAATCCACTGTTAATAAATTAATCAACTGTTAATAAATTAATCAACTGTTAATAAATTAATCCTCTGTTAATAAATTAATCAGCTGTTAGTAAATCCACTGTTAATAAATTAATCAACTGTTAGTAAATCCACTGTTAATAAATTAATCAAATGTTAATAAATAATCAACTGTTACTAAATCCACTGTTAATAAATTAAACAACTGTTAATAAATTAATCCACTGTTAACAAATTAATCAACTGTTAATAAATTAATCAACTGTTAATAAATTAATCCACTGTTAATAAATTAATCAACTGTTAATAAATTAATCAACTGTTAGTAAATCCACTGTTAATAAATTAATTCACTGTTAATAAATTAATCCACTGTTAATAAATTAATCAACTGTTAATAAATTAATCAACTGTTAGTAAATCCACTGTTAATAAATTAATCAACTGTTAATAAATTAATCAACTGTTAGTAAATCCACTGTTAATAAATTAATCAACTGTTAATAAATTAATCAACTGTTAGTAAATCCACTGTTAATAAATTAATCCACTGTTAATAAATTAATCAACTGTTAGTAAATCCACTGTTAATAAATTAATCAAATGTTAATAAATAATCAACTGTTACTAAATCCACTGTTAATAAATTAATCCTCTGTTAATAAATTAATCAACTGTTAATAAATTAATCAACTGTTAGTAAATCCACTGTTAATAAATTAATCAACTGTTAATAAATTAATCAACTGTTAGTAAATCCACTGTTAATAAATTAATCAACTGTTAGTAAATCAACTGTTAATAAATTGATCAACTGTTAATAAATTAATCCACTGTTAATAAATTAATCAACTGTTAATAAATTAATCCACTGTTAATAAATTAATCCACTGTTAATAAATTAATCAACTGTTAGTAAATCCACTGTTAAGAAATAAATTCACTGTTAATAAATTAATCAACTGTTAATAAATTAATCAACTGTTAATAAATTAATCCACTGTTAATAAATTAATCAACTGTTAGTAAATCCACAGTTAATAAATTAATCAAATGTTAATAAATAATAAACTGTTACTAAATCCACTGTTAATAAATTAATCCTCTGTTAATAAATTAATCAACTGTTAATAAATTAATCAACTGTTAGTAAATCCACTGTTAATAAATTAATCAACTGTTAGTAAATCAACTGTTAATAAATTGATCAACTGTTAATAAATTAATCCACTGTTAATAAATTAATCAACTGTTAATAAATTAATCCACTGTTAATAAATTAATCAAATGTTAATAAATAATCAACTGTTACTAAATTAATCCACTGTTAACAAATTAATCAACTGTTAATAAATTAATCAACTGTTAATAAATTAATCCACTGTTAATAAATTAATCAACTGTTAATAAATTAATCAACTGTTAGTAAATCCACTGTTAATAAATTAATTCACTGTTAATAAATTAATCAACTGTTAATAAATTAATCAACTGTTAGTAAATCCACTGTTAATAAATTAATCAACTGTTAATAAATTAATCAACTGTTAGTAAATCCACTGTTAATAAATTAATCCACTGTTAATAAATTAATCAACTGTTAGTAAATTAATCAACTGTTAGTAAATTCACTGTTAATAAATTAATCAACTGTTAATAAATTAATCAACTGTTAGTAAATCCACTGTTAATAAATTAATCAACTGTTAATAAATTAATCAACTGTTAGTAAATCCACTGTTAATAAATTAATCAAATGTTAATAAATAATCAACTGTTACTAAATCCACTGTTAATAAATTAATCCTCTGTTAATAAATTAATCAACTGTTAGTAAATCCACTGTTAATAAATTAATCAACTGTTAGTAAATTAATCAACTGTTAGTAAATCCACTGTTAATAAATTAATCAACTGTTAGTAAATTAATCAACTGTTACTAAATCCACTGTTAATAAATTAAACAACTGTTAATAAATTAATCCACTGTTAACAAATTAATCAACTGTTAATAAATTAATCAACTGTTAATAAATTAATCCACTGTTAATAAATTAATCCACTGTTAATAAATTAATCCTCTGTTAATAAATTAATCAACTGTTAGTAAATCCACTGTTAATAAATTAATCCACTGTTAACAAATTAATCAACTGTTAATAAATTAATCAACTGTTAATAAATTAATCCACTGTTAATAAATTAATCAACTGTTAATAAATTAATCAACTGTTAGTAAATCCACTGTTAATAAATTAATTCACTGTTAATAAATTAATCCACTGTTAATAAATTAATCAACTGTTAATAAATTAATCAACTGTTAGTAAATCCACTGTTAATAAATTAATCAACTGTTAATAAATTAATCAACTGTTAGTAAATCCACTGTTAATAAATTAATCAACTGTTAATAAATTAATCAACTGTTAGTAAATCCACTGTTAATAAATTAATCCACTGTTAATAAATTAATCAACTGTTAGTAAATCCACTGTTAATAAATTAATCAAATGTTAATAAATAATCAACTGTTACTAAATCCACTGTTAATAAATTAATCCTCTGTTAATAAATTAATCAACTGTTAATAAATTAATCAACTGTTAGTAAATCCACTGTTAATAAATTAATCAACTGTTAATAAATTAATCAACTGTTAGTAAATCCACTGTTAATAAATTAATCAACTGTTAGTAAATCAACTGTTAATAAATTGATCAACTGTTAATAAATTAATCCACTGTTAATAAATTAATCAACTGTTAATAAATTAATCCACTGTTAATAAATTAATCCACTGTTAATAAATTAATCAACTGTTAGTAAATCCACTGTTAAGAAATAAATTCACTGTTAATAAATTAATCAACTGTTAATAAATTAATCAACTGTTAATAAATTAATCCACTGTTAATAAATTAATCAACTGTTAGTAAATCCACAGTTAATAAATTAATCAAATGTTAATAAATAATAAACTGTTACTAAATCCACTGTTAATAAATTAATCCTCTGTTAATAAATTAATCAACTGTTAATAAATTAATCAACTGTTAGTAAATCCACTGTTAATAAATTAATCAACTGTTAGTAAATCAACTGTTAATAAATTGATCAACTGTTAATAAATTAATCCACTGTTAATAAATTAATCAACTGTTAATAAATTAATCCACAGTTAATAAATTAATCAAATGTTAATAAATAATAAACTGTTACTAAATCCACTGTTAATAAATTAATCCTCTGTTAATAAATTAATCAACTGTTAATAAATTAATCAACTGTTAGTAAATCCACTGTTAATAAATTAATCAACTGTTAGTAAATCAACTGTTAATAAATTGATCCACTGTTAATAAATTAATCAACTGTTAATAAATTAATCAACTGTTAGTAAATCCACTGTTAATAAATTAATCCACTGTTAATAAATTAATCAACTGTTAGTAAATCCACTGTTAATAAATTAATCAAATGTTAATAAATAATCAACTGTTACTAAATCCACTGTTAATAAATTAATCAACTGTTAATAAATTAATCCACTGTTAACAAATTAATCAACTGTTAATAAATTAATCAACTGTTAATAAATTAATCCACTGTTAATAAATTAATCAACTGTTAATAAATTAATCAACTGTTAGTAAATCCACTGTTAATAAATTAATTCACTGTTAATAAATTAATCAACTGTTAATAAATTAATCAACTGTTAGTAAATCCACTGTTAATAAATTAATCAACTGTTAATAAATTAATCAACTGTTAGTAAATCCACTGTTAATAAATTAATCCACTGTTAATAAATTAATCAACTGTTAGTAAATTAATCAACTGTTAGTAAATTCACTGTTAATAAATTAATCAACTGTTAATAAATTAATCAACTGTTAGTAAATCCACTGTTAATAAATTAATCAACTGTTAGTAAATCCACTGTTAATAAATTAATCAAATGTTAATAAATAATCAACTGTTACTAAATCCACTGTTAATAAATTAATCCTCTGTTAATAAATTAATCAACTGTTAGTAAATCCACTGTTAATAAATTAATCAACTGTTAGTAAATTAATCAACTGTTAGTAAATCCACTGTTAATAAATTAATCAACTGTTAGTAAATTAATCAACTGTTAGTAAATCCACTGTTAATAAATTAATCAACTGTTAATAAATTAATCAACTGTTAGTAAATCCACTGTTAATAAAATAATCAACTGTTAATAAATTAATCCACTGTTTATAAATTAATCAACTGTTAATAAATTAATCAACTGTTAATAAATTAATCAACTGTTAATAAATTAATCAACTGTTAATAAATTAATCCTCTGTTAACAAATTAATCCACTGTTTACTAATAAACTAATTAAAACCTATTCACTTGTTCTTAGAAGTTAGAAAGACAAATGACAATATTTAATAATAATAAAATGGCGAAAAAATTATATGAACAGTTTACCGACCTATCAGAGAGCCCCGTTTCATTAGTCAGTTGTCAAATCTAATGTCGAAAAAAAACGTTTGTAATAAAACAACTACTAATAAATTAAAAATTAATGAAAAAAACATTGTCCAGCGGACAAAATTGTGAATCTAGAGTAGTAGTCCCCAAACTTATTTTTCTCGTGGACCACTTTCAAAATTTTACTGGTTTCGGTGGACCCCCTGCTGCTACATTTCTACCACATTCTTAAAGTCGCCAAAAAATAAAAATTGTTTCACTTCTGAGTTCTGTCTCTATATTCCGATAGGTAAAATAAAATTTTAGAAATTTTGGAAACAAATGAATGAGTGTTTGCCTTTGGCATCAAGTATTTATAGTGGTGATCAAGTTCATGTCTGAACAAGCATTAAGCATAGTCGGGCGGATAGCGCTTTGCAAGTCTGTACACGAAATTGTACGTAATATCGAATACGCAAGTTTGGACAAGTAACAGTCGCTTGCCTTATTAAAATATTATCTGCTTAGTTAGGTACTTAAAACAGTGTAAGTAGGCCCTTATAAAAACTATGCTTACATGTTTGCTCTTTACTATCAAAAGCAGATAAGTTTTCGTGGACCCCCATTTTTTGTTCACGCCTACGTAGACCCCCAGCAAGTCTCCCGTGGACCCCTGGGGGTCCACCTGGACCAATTTGGGAATCACTGGTTTAGACAAATAATAAAATCATCAAGAAATGTGTTGCATGCGTTCAGATACTTGGTGGAACAACGTCTGTCGGGTTCGCTAGTATTACATAAAAACGACAGGTTTCTAACAGATTATGGCTATAATGATTTGCTTGAGAAGCTTAACTCTAGCAATATCAATCATTATTTTATGTTTCTTGGCACTTTCAGAAAGAAATAAATGTACCAAAATGATGAATCTTGAAACTTGTATAACTTCTATATCTTGGATCCTACAACTTTTGCTCCATATTAACTATTGTTCCAAATGGTTAGTTCTACAAATATGTACCATTTTTTTTATTGGCCGGCACTTTTAAAAAAGGCCCAAAAAGAATGATCTCCTTTCTTGTATAAATAATATATTGTAGTGTGGTAGCTCAGAATTTACATTTCATATAGATAGTTGATGACTTATCATTGTCACTATTTAAGAATTAATGAAATAAATAATAATGGCAACTTACAATAAAAACATATGCGTTTAGCCAAACATATTAACAATTAAGTATTTAATATACAAAACAATAATATTTAAAAATCAAACCTCATCAAATGTCCTTGTGAATGTTCTTTTTATTTTTAATGATGTGATAAAATAAAATTATATTTGTAATTGTATAGTTTTGGGACTATAATAAAATTACAATGAATTCATAATTATAATACATTGTGTTTGTAATATAATATCTATAGAAACTAACAAAATTAAATTAGAATTGGAATTGGAATGAATGAAAATGGAATATATAACTTTTAATTATATAACTATAATATAATGGAATATATAACTTATAATTTTTTTTTTATGTTAAAGGTGGCAAACGAGCAGACGGCCCACTTGATGGAAAGTGGTTACCGTCGCCCATGGACATCCACAACATTTTGTTGCGGATGCGTTGCCAACCTTGTTTTTTGGCGATAGGGAGGGGAGGGAATAAGGAAATGAAGGGAAAGGGTAGGAATAGGGAAAGGGCAACCGGCTCTCTCACTCATCAGACGAAACGCAGCCGGTAAAGGCTACTTCACGCCGATCTTCTGTGAGAGGGTGGTACTTCCCCGGTCGAGCCAGCCCATGTTCGAGCTGCAGTAACTCACCACAGCTAGGCTCTACCACCTCTAAAAAAATTACTTCAACATTAATGTTATATATTGTACATTCAAGGGTAAATGATAGAATGGGAACTTTGAAGACCATAGATAATAAATATTTTCTTTGAAATCTTTAGATTTTGTCTAAATAGTAGTGAGATTGTTTCGCTTAAGGAGATTTTTAGCTTAACATGTGAAATTAAAGCTTTGACATCATTGACTAAAACAGTGTGATACAGTATAGTAATTAATGAATTATTAGTTTATTATTATGACAAATTAAATGTGTTTTTCTTCTTTATATAGATGCCTCCAGCGGGACCTCCTCTCACAGCCAGACTTAGCGTCACAATAGCACAAGCGAAACTCGTGAAAAATTATGGTAAGTGACGATAATAATCAATCATTTTGATAAATATAATCATATATAGATATATAGCAGATGTTTACAATCCTACCTAAATATAACATTAATGTTTTTAAATAAAATGTAAACAAGAAATGTCGTTCCATTTTTCTATATCAGGTTTATTTGTTATCTTATTATCAAATCAAAGACCTTTACTAACTTGTTTTAGACTGTTTTGTTTAGAAATATTATAATGTTTTGTGTTGAGTCATAGAGGAAAAATATTGTGAAATTAAATCTAGGTAGGTATAAACTGGTTTGCTGCTACTGAACTTTAAAATAAAACTAATTAATGTTATTATTATAGATTATTTTTAATATTATATTAAATTGATAAATATAGATTAAAATATATATAAGTATTCTATAAAATGGGTGATAGTATAAACTAACCTTATTTGCTTTATTAAAATAAGTAAACAAATAACTGTTTTTGCTTAATAATAATGTGTCTAACCTGTTATTATAAACTTGATTAGGTAATTTTATATTGCACCCGAGTAATAGATTCGGTGTCAATTATATTTGTGAGGAAAAACTTTCGTTGGTGTATAGGTCTAACCCGAATAGACACGCTTAAGTCATAGTCCGTTTGGGTTATTTTATTAAGCCCACGGACTCAACACATAGTGACATTGTAGTTCACAAGTACGGACTATAATTTGTCTTATATAGGTCTGACCCTAAAAGCCCCCCTTATACGACAGTCTGTGCAGTTATTTTATTAAGCTAACGGACTCAACACAGTGACATTATAGCCCATAAGCTCACAAGTACGAACTGTGTTTGTTTTTGTATAGGTCTAACCCGTATGGATCCCTACGTGAGAGTTCGCGTGGGTCACTGTATATACGAAACTCAGACTGATCCCAGCGGTGGGAAAACGCCTCGTTGGAACAAAGTTATACATTGGTGAGTAATTTTATTAACAATATTCTGCTTATTTTTTATATATTATATGTTTCACTGTAGTATAGTATTCAGGGTGACTGGTGAATTACTATCGATACTTGAGGACGTGATATTTGCCGATCATATATGACAAAATAAAAATTAATATAACATAAATATTAATAAACTTCTTAGTAAAGTTAACCAAAAGTTATGTAATTAATTACGCATCGTGTGATCACCCTACAGATTAGGTATACACACACACTCACACATACGCGTGCGGCGGCATGGTGTTGTATCAGCACGCCGCCGCACGCGTCCACACTTGGAACACTAGGAACGTGTCAACACTTTATTTATTTATACGGAAATTTTGTCAAAAATTAAGTGCCTATTTTTTTTACATAATTGGAATGAGAATCATGTACCGAGTATTCTCCTTCAATATTGATAGTAATTCACCAGTCACCCTGTATATATGATGATATGAACCTTTAATGTGTTCTACATATAAACAGACGTGAATACTTTTATACCTTTCTAATAAAATAATTTGACCTATTATACATATCCCATAATTACCGATGAAACTATTCATATTATTAAAAACAGTTTAAGGCTACCGTCATATTTATAATCGTCTAAATGAAAGTCACTAAATTTATTGACTAAAAAATTATATACTTTTGATTACATATACGGAATTGTCATATATATGTAATGATACATTTATATGAATATTTAAAAAAATATGATATTATGGTAAAATGTGTTACTTCTACTTTCAGTTATCTAATAGCTTGAATAAATATGTTATCATATAAATTAACTAATATTTAGATAATGAATTTAGTGGATAAGAAACTACGAGACAGTCTCATTTATAATGAGATCTAAGACTTTTACGTGTTTTTAAATGAAACGACCATGTTTGGATTACTACGCGTTTATTATTATTTTAAATTGCAATATATTATGTACTCTCAATGTTTTTATCTCGTTTGCCGTAGTAACCGAAACGTCGAAAGTATGTTTAAAACAATGAAAACGCGTAGTAAACTAAGATTTTTTTTTTTTATTTATTATCTTTTTAAAACTGAATTTAAAACAATATACCATTTAAATGTTACAATGAAATGAACAACAAAACATATGACGGTTCACACGATCGACTAGTATCTGTTTCTCCTACACAGTAATTATAAGTATATTAAAAAGAATATAATTTAAGGTAATTATATACAAGGAAATTTTTAATTTATATGTACAGTTCAATATACGTAAAAGTTTCTGTAAGTGTAGTTTATTAGTTTTTATAAGGACAAGTTTATTATCTTACACTTAATCCTTTCACCGTTACATAGTATGATTATTATTATATACTAGCTGACCCAGCAAACGTTGTTTTGCCAAGTAAAAAACAGGGGCTGGTGATAGAAAAGTAAAAATTTTGGGTTGTATGTATCTTTAAATGCTACATTATAAAAAAATAAAAACAAAAAAATTCGTCCGAAAATAAAAAATTAAAGGTGAGCAACCCTTATGACTAAGTGATATGAAAAACAGATGTTGACCGATTCTCAGACCTACTTAATACGCTCACAAAATTTTAATTAAAATCGGTCCAGCCGTTTCGGAGGAGTTCTCTGTCTAACACCGCGACATGAGAATTTTATATATAAGATATATACATATATATATGTTCGTAAAATGTTCACTGTATTTTAAATTCTTTAATACGTCATTAATAACGAAATTCCAGCGGAAGTTATTTCAAACAGAATTCAAAACAAATGCCTCTTATAATTTTTATGAGAAATATTAAAAATTCAACAACAAAACAAGTCAGTCGGTCGACTCGTGAAATTCCTATGTAAATTTAATATTAATACTGTGACACATATTTTGTTTCTTTCAAATTGTTTTTTAACATTACTGTAATTACGGTCGTAATTACTTTGACCCGAATAATATAAATCCTAGGTAAATATTACTATTATAAATATATACGTATAATGTTCTATATCCCTACTAATATTATAAATGAGAAAGTAACTCTGTCTGTCTGTCTGTCTGTCTGTTACGCTTTCACAACTAAAGCACCGAACTTATTTTAAAGAAATTAGGTACAGAGATGGAGTTAACCTTGAGAAATAACATAGGATAGTTTTTATCCCAGACTTTTGAAAGGTTCTCTTGGAAAAGCGATATAACCGAACTCCACGCGGGCGAAGCTGCGGGCGGAAAGCTATTATATGTGTGTGTGCGTGTATAATGTTCTATATTTGTTTTATATTCTTATGAGATTTTTAGTACTCTATACGTACATATGATTTTTAAAAAGAATACTCATTATTAATCAGTATTTTTTTCCCTTTTGTATATAATTTTTGCGTCGTCAAAAATACAGTGAATAGGTTGTTGTTCTGATAGTGCGTTAACAAGCTATCACTTCATTTACACCTACCAACCGCTGGGGTTATATTCAAGCAACAAAGTGATAATTTGTGAAGGCATATTGTTATCTATGTATTTGATTTCGATTACACTCTACAATAAGGTAGGTTAGGCATTAACATAAGACATCGGCTATAATTTATATCAGGATTCGGGATATACATACATATGTATGTATTATATAACATATATTAAATATATATATTGCTTTACTACACTTTGTAAAGTTCTCTCGGTATCCAACTACGAAAGCAACGCAGACAAATTCGAGGTCAAAAACTTATTAGTTTCATTAAACTCTATATAATTGTATAACCATGAAATGTGATTAACTGATATTATATATTACCTCAAGGTTTTATTTACTTTTACCACCGGCTTTCGTATGTCTGTTATCGCAATGTAAAGAAAAAGTAACCCTCTTAAAGATGTGAGGGATTAGTTGAAATTCTATTAAATATAAGCTTACTGTTAATGTTACGTATGTAAGTATATTTCTCGGCATTCATATTAAAATTCGGTAAATTTAAGGCGAACTTTTCAATGAATATGAACGCTCGCCAAATTTATCAAGATGTAAGTATGAGAACAAATTTGTGCGTCTCGGGACGCTGCCAGTAGTGATAACTTGATAATTTAAACTATTTAGTATAGAAATTGTAATAGTGTAGTAGTAACCTAAACTTATCATTTATATTTTATATACATTAAATTAATAATATGTTTATGAATATATTTAATATGAGTGTTATAATGATGCTGTATACGAGAGAGAAAGGGAAACAAGACACAGTGACGGCGTTACGCGTTACGTTACGAATTGGTTTACCCTCCAATAAGAAGTTTGAATAAAGGATACAAAGACTTACTAAAACAAATATCTTTTAACATCTATTACAGAACCTTAAAGTTATATGAAAACTTGTTATTTATATATTATTTTTTTATCAGTCTTATATTTTACTTTATCATATTATATCATTAAACTAGATTTGCAAAAAATTACATAGCTCATTAAACAATATTAATGTTTCTGTTTCTGTTAATGATCAATTCAATTTATATATATAAATCTACTTTCTTTTTTTCTTTCTTTGTGTAACGGTTTATTGAACTCGCTATCGGACTTAACACAAGAAATTAACAATAATAAAACATTTTTAGTACTCTTTGTACAATTTTATCGTTAAATTTAAATCAGACTGTTGATTGTTTTTCTTTAATATACATATGTATTTGCTGTACTAAGATTTATCGATGTAAAATTGTGTATATGTGTCACGTGACTTATATAAAAATTATACATTCATACCAACTTTCTTGTATAATATAACAACGTTACTAAAGATTGAGTTAACGAATTATTGAAAAAAATATTAGGACATAATTAATAAAAGTAAGTAAGCCTTGCGTAGTTTTGTCTCAATGTTATCAATATTTTTTGGGACGTAAATAAGACAAACAAGCACAATTGTTTGTGTTGACTAAATATATATTACAAATAAGATCTTATATCAATTTTGACAAACAATATTGATCTATTTATAATGGTATCAAATATTGTATATGTATTATAAAGCAATCCAGAGCTAGACTTGGCAACATCATTCTATTATTTTTTTTGGCAATGTCTATTACATTTCTCCTTTTTTTGTATTAAGTTTTGAATTTGAATAGGAGGAATGAGTTTAGATTCAATGTCGAATATATTTAAACAAGCAACAAATGTTAAATAATTATTACTATTTTATTTTGTTAAACAATGAATCGAAGCTAAATTGCAATTTTTATTACACTTCTTCAATTCTTATTTCCCAAAATAAGATAAAAATGTTATGTAATGAAATACTAAGTATAAAATTATCTCACAAAATTATAATTAATCTTCATATTTTTAAATTAATTTAATATTTGTTGACGTTAGTCTGGTGACAATTAAATTTGTCGATAATAACGCTCAATTAAGTACAATTTTATTTGACTTAGAAAGACAAAGATAAAATAAAAAATATATAATTTCAATTACTTTGCATCGAAAGTCAAGATCAAGCATCAAACATCTAGTCTGCCCGTGATCACGGTTGCTGTAAAGTAGCCGAAACATCGGGAGTATGTATGTAGTTTATAAAAAAAAACGCATAGTAAAATTTTGTTGACATTTTTATGTATTATTATTATTATTTTTGTGAATGAGTCATTGTTGCTTGATGGTATAAATAAATAAATAAAAAAAAAAAATAAAATCCGAAAATATTAGTTTCATTTAAAGCATCAAAGTTTATGTACAAAAAATATAAAGACTAAGTCATATGTGAATTATTAATTTTATTTGTATTGCAAATCTAGTCTTCTACCTCCCGGCGTGAATTCTCTGTACCTGGAGATCTTTGACGAATGCTCCTTCACAATGGACGAGCTAATTGCTTGGACACACATCTCCATACCACAGGCTGTGCTTAATGTGAGTTGAAATTATATATTATCCCTACTAATATTATAAATGCGAAAGTAACTATGTCTGTCTGTCTCTCTGTTACGCTTTCACGACTAAACCACTGAACTGATTTTAATGAAATTTGGTACATATATAGAGTTGACCTTGAGAAAGAACAGGATAGTTTTTATCAGAGACTTTTGAAAGGTTCTCTTGGAAACGCGATATAACCTAACTCCACGCGGGCGAAGCTACGGGCGGAAAGCTAGTATACAAATAAAGTATTTATTATAGGATAGATATTTTAGACAATGTTTTATTTTCAACCTTATATTTTTAATTATTTCTTCTAATGTAACGCTTTTAATATTAAAACTGATGTCCGTAAGTAGAGGTATAATGAAACCATTGAAATGTCGTGACGTCTTGAAATGAGATTATCCCTTATTAAAGTAGAATAAGTAGTCGTGATGACGATAGCATTACGAAAAATATATCCTAATATATAATAAACTTGACTTAAAATGGAATAAACAAAATATTTACTAACTTGTATGTTTTAATTGTATTAAGCATAAATCATAATAATTATAGATATCGAACTTGAAAATAGGCAGAGAGTTCATTGAACTTGTTTGCAAATAAAATTTATAAGACTTAATTAATTTTATTATGAATATTCTTTGTTTTTATTGTCAGGGTGAGACTCACGAGGACTGGTATCCTCTGAACGGTAAACAGGGAGACGGTCTGGAAGGAATGATAAATCTCGTACTAAGTTACTCGGTGAGTATATTGATTTCTTATATTTTATTTTATATATTTATTTAAATTATCAATAATTGATGTAGGGTTATAAATAATTAGGCGATATTTATGCGAATATTATTATATTTCAACAAGACAAAGATATTACAACGATATTCAGGCGAACGCGTTTTGACAACTGAACGAATAGATCGGTTTCACATATTATCTGCCAGATAGTACTACTCACGTAACTCAGTACTATCTCCTCATTCGACTTGAAATTTAAATCTACAATAACCTTAAAAAAACTTTTATATGTAACTTATATAGTAGAACTGTAGTTTGTATATAGAAAACAAATATCAAAAATTATATAGGAACATTAGTTTTCCTTTGTTTCGATCCGTTTCTCTATAGTATCGTGTTTAATGAAAAGTGAGTGTTTATAAAATATCATATAATTTGAATTTAGTTTGTATAGCAGCATTTAGTATTTGAAACTCGATACTGAACTGGACGAGAGATTAAAAATATATTGATAATTAATATAAAATTTGTATTTTAAATATAACCCCTGTTTTATATGACGGTGAAATATATTGAAAATTGATATACTTATTTAGCGACACGTGATCTCGTGTCTAAACACGATAGATTAACTGGCAAAAGCATTTCAGCAATATTCCAAAGGTTCCAAAGTTTTGGCCAATAAATTTATCCACTGTGTTTTCTATTGTAATTTTAATTTATTTCATGCTTATGTATAAATTATATGATAGGTTGGTCCTGCGGCAATAACTACCTACCCGCCAGTATTAGTGGTGCCCAGCACTGGTCTGGGTTACGCAGCAATGCCCATGTACCCTGCCCCTGTTCACGCAATGCCCCAGCAACAGCAACAGATGACGCAGCAACAACAAATGGCGCAGCAACAGCAACAGCCGATTACCGCGGAGCAACTACAACAGGTCCTTATATGTTTGAATTGTAGAAACTTCTGGTGAAATTATGAAAAGTTTCTTAATATGTGTGTATATTAGTGCATCGTGTATTTTTACTGAGAAACGGGTTGTTATTATTACATATTATACGTCTTGGACCCTTTGCGCTGATAAAACTAAAAATAACATGTCCAAAGCAGGTTTTAAGCCCAATTGTAAGCAATTTTATGTTTTCGTTCCAAACCCGACGAGTGACTTAAAGAGTATTGAGTTTTGAATATTTTATTTAAGGATATTGAACTTATCTTCAAAAATAATTCAAACCTTTATCTTATAAGCAGAAAAACCTGTCGGCCCTTCAATTTAATTATAAGTTTTCGATAAAACCAAATGTTTTTTTGTCACTGATAATGGCATAAAATTATGACTGTCATTGTTTTTATTATTCTTCTTCTTCTACCTGGCAATTTCCCAGGTTTAGCCAGGGTCTGCCTTACATGTTGTGAATAGTTTTGGCTAATTATTTTTACGACCGGCCGCCTGCCTGACATCAACCCTCTTTGGGAATGCATTAATGAGTGATGTCTAAATACTCTTAGAAAGTACATGACTCGGAAAAATCACATTGGTACTTTGCCTGGGCCAAGATCGTTTTGTTTTGTCATTGTTTTTATTATTATTACCTTATAAATAACTTATTTTATTACAAAAAATGCTGAAAGTAATAATAATTGTTTCAGATCGAAGAGATGTTCCCGAGTATCGATAAGGAAGTTGTCAAATCAGTATTGGACGCGAACCGAGGCAACAAAGACGCTGCCATCAACTCCTTGCTGCAAATGTCTGAATAGTGTATACCTGGCCTTATATATACATTATACATAGCGTGAATGCGGCCTAATATATTATATAGGGCACTTTACCCTTGCATATTAGTATTAATAATCAACAAAGACCAGAACATTTGATGACCTTTAATAATTGAACCATTTATATTGTAATAATGAATTTTGAACAATAATAAAAATATAAGCTTCTAGAAACAAATATGACACAGCCTTAAACAAATCTACTTATATATTGTTGTAGCTTTAAATAACAAGTTGTATATTATATAGTAGTATTTATTATTAAAATATATAATAATTTATTTGTTTGGTACCTCTCATATGAGAAACGACATTTATTTATTAGAGGTTTAATTGTATTGAATCAAGTGCACTTTTTACAATAGAATTCATATTTAAATATAGTATAGAAATTAAAATGGTAGATTTGCACATTTTTTAAACAGAAACAGAAATATTTTAAATCACAATGAATTGCCAGGTGCAAAATATATTATCTAAATATACATTTTTAATACCATATTACATGTTATGAATATTAATCTTTTATATTGGCTTTGTAAGTTTTGTGATAGTTTCAAAGATGGAGAAGCCCGAGTATGAATGCATTATACATTACAAAATATAATTGTATGTTTGAACATATATAATCTCAATGCTAAAGTAAGCTTTTAATATAATTTATCTAAATTATATTCTTGACTAAGACATTTGAAAATTTTCACTCGTTCTATGTTGTTGTATCTATATGTAGTTCGGTTATCTTAATGTATAATCACTTGTATACATTATATTAAATCACTTAATATTTCAGCCTTTACTATAAGCATGACTCCACTACGCCTTATGTATGAGCGAATTCTTAGCTTCATCTTGTGCCAAATCATTTGCCATCAAACGACCGCTTTGTCATTGTTATGTTTATAAGATGTATTAAAATTATATTGATGAATATCGTTCGTTTTATTGTATTACCAAAATATATAAGTAAAACAGTTCATAGTTTAGTTAATTTTATTTTTATAATTTTGATATTCAGCAAATAAAATTCTGCAATTTTTGTACAGTTTTTTAGAAGAAATCGCACTTGTAAGTCTCATTAACAAGTTATTGTAAAATACTACAAAATTCGTAATACTGGAAATGTGTGTATCAAATGGAGTATGTCATATAATTGATTAAATATTAATTCGCCTTTCTTAGGCATAGTTTTGATTTTAATATACATATTGACGTTTTGAAAAGAATGATTTTAATTTTATAGTTTTTTTTGCAAGAGTACTTTATCCCTCGTCTTTATTTTCTCGCTCCCAGACTACGCATATAAGAAGATGTCATTCGAGCATACGAAGGTGATTTTATAAGGCACATATAATTTGAGCTGGCTTACTTTAAAGGAAAAGCAAATAACCATTAATAACATGTTAGCCTAAATAAATATTCAGTATATTGAAACAACATATTTATTTAATAAATTTATTTAACGCCCGGTTTCTTTTTCTTTTTAACATTCCCCTCCACACTCTTTTCTTTAATATTTTCTGCTTTTCGTTTTATTTTGCTCATTTTTCCGATGACGTCTTTGAACCTGTCATCTTTCTTCATTAGTTTCTTGTTGACTTTCTTGATCCCAGTCTTAATCGTTCTATCAATATCTTCTTCCTCCTGAGATCCAACTTCTGTATTTTCTTCTTTCTCCTTCATATCTGCTTGAATCTTCTTAATCTTTTCTAATTTCGCTTTCTTCGCAGCCTTAACTCGTTTGCGTTTCATTTCTTCCAGTCTGAAAACATATTTATCGATTAAGATTGCTGCTTCGACTATTTACACGCTTGTTAAAGCCGGTTTACGTCAAACGAACATAGAGATAGAGCTCGAACAAGAGCATTCTTTCGTAATCTTTTAGTGTAAACAAAAGCTAGATCGAATGTTTTTTGCTCATTCATCTCAATTCTGTGGTAAGAATTGATAGTGCTTCGTTATGTCTGACTCTGACAGCGATATCACTATTGATAGAAGAATTTGATGTAGTGGGGATAGAAAGAGCATTCGCTCGTTTAATGTAAATCGACCTTTACATACGTGCTACATATTAAAAAATAAATGAACATCGCCGCGGCAACGTCGTTGTATGGATAAAATATACGAGTGACGCCGCTGGCTCCGCTGAACGAACACTAAGCCGTGTGAACCAGAAGATTCCTGATACCACACAAGCTATGGAATGGGATTGCTATCCTAACATTGGCAATCATGTAGTCTTAGATATAGGTTATAAGTTTTAATATGTAATTCTTATTTTAATATACATATAAGTAAGTTTCGTAGTTTTCCTTGAACATCTGGTTACCCTACATAATTCGCTAGTTTCTTTTTGGACTAACGTCCAACTATGGTTGGACGATCTGTTTATTGGTGTATTTCTCTCTCTATATATACATATACATATGTATATATTGTTAGAAATGAAAATACGTTATGATTTTTTAAAACAAACGTTCGCCGGCCAAGGGACATTTTATTAATATTCGAGACTAATTAGAGCAGAGTTTCTTCTCTTGACAATAATTGAGAACAAAATGTGTCAGATTGTCAATAATGGCTCCTTATAGGTAGTTTGAGGGTTGCTAGTTTAATAATTGATTATTCATCATCATCAGCCTATCAGACGCTCACTGCTGAGCAAAGGCCTCTTTCTTACACGGAGAAGGTTTGAGCATTAATCACCACGCTTGCTCAAGACGGGTTTGTGATTTCAAACTTATAATTGTGAAACTATAAGTCCAGGTTTCCTCACGATGTTTTCCATCACCGTATGTCAGTGGTGTCTAAATACTCTCAGAAAGTACATATGACTCGGAAAAATCACATTGGTACTTGCCAGGTTTGAACCCGCGCCCTCGGCAACGAGAGGCGGACCTTAACCACTAGGCCACCACTGACTATTGATAATTATTTAAAAATATATATATGTACCCTTCTTCCATAAGGTCAGGGTCCACTCCAGCCATCATCCATCTCTTCCGTCTGTAGTTCCTCTGCCTCGTTTCAAACTCCGTGTCATCTATCGCCGCTTCTTGTGTACGACGGCTCACACTCACTGTTGTGAAAACGCGAACCGCTTCATCGTCTGGAATAATTGATTATTGTTATCATAATATTATGGAAGCAAACTTTAGTTTGTGCTCTAAAGACTAAAAGGTACATTAACTGGTTACTCGATATTCCCTAGTAATATTATAAATGCGAAAGTAATTCTGTCTGTCTGTCTGTTACGCTTTCACGCCTAAACCACTGTTGTTTGTATCACAGACTTTTGAGAGGTTCTCTTGGAAACGCGATATAACCGAACTCCACGCGGGCGAAGCTGCGGGCGGAAAACTAGTTAAAAATAATTTAAAGGATTAAAAATTAACAATTTACAAAGCGTATTTCAAGACAACGAAGATCCAGGAAAATTTTATTGACCCTAAGCCGAGAGATCTTAAAAATATTTGTACAATATGGAGTTAGGTACTTTATTATATAACATCAGTTTCTTTGATTCTCACAGTAAACTAGTATGTAAATTCTGTCATTACTAGTTATAACTAACTTGGCCTGTGTTTTTCTCGAAGTGGAATCTTAATAAATTTTACTCTAAACAGATTTTGGTCTATTAAAGAAAAGGAAGAAACTGGAAAAAACCATTACGGACTTCTAAAAGACGCTTAGAGCTTCCTTAATCAGGAAAAAAACCGCTATAATATCGGAAAAGGAACAGTCAACTAATTTAACGGATAGATATAATATATATTATACATATGTAAATAAAATAATAAAATCAAACATTCGTCACCATCGATCTTATATTCGCTGAGTTTAGTTTTGATCTGGTCTTCTATTTCTCCGAGCCTCAATATGTCGTAGGGCGTTATTATTGATATCGCCATACCGCTTCTACCAGCTCGAGCCGTTCTTCCTACCCTGATAATAAAAAATTCTTATAAAAAAATATCAAAGAATACTATAAGTTTGGAACATTTTCGAAGACATCGTATCAAAGTAACGAGCTACAATATTATAAGTATGAAATAACCCATTATAAAGCCTACAAAGATAATAAAATTGACAAGTTGTTTTATTATTGTTTCAATCATGTGATAATTTTTTACACATATGGTAGAGGGTTAAGTCCGTTTGTTTATCTTAGTAGGGGGTGAAGTCATGTTATACCATAGCAAGATATTCACAAATATTAAGTTACTAGCTGCGCCCCGCGGTGTTACCCACGGATTTCCGGGATGTAAAGTAGCCTATGTGTTATTCCTGGACGTCAGCTTCCTGTATACAAAATTTTATCAAAATCGGTTCAGCCGTTTAAGCGTGAAGAAGTAACAAACACACACACACACTCACAAACTTTCGCAATTATAATATTAGTAGGATACCAACCTGTGTATATACTCCTTTGGCTCCAAAGGTAGTTTATGATTCACTACCAAATCCACGGACGGTATGTCCAATCCCCTAGCAGCAACGTTAGTAGCGATCAGTGTACATTTAAGATTACTTCTGAACTGAGCCAGCGCAGACACGCGCTCCTTCTGTCGCATGAACCCGTGCAGACACACGTTGTCCATTCCGATGTCTGCTAACATCATTGAGAGCACTTGGCATTCTCTAAAACAACACATCAAAAATTTTATGGACAATTCCATAAAGAATCCTATGTTCCTAAATGCTATTTGATATTATGTAAAGGGAAATAATCTTTATGTTATTATAATGTCAACTAGGACAATCTAGTCCAGGGATCTCATTTTAACATCTTATTGTGAGAAGAGGAAAAATAATTATAAAACTACAAAAATCAGAACATAAAGTCATGCGATGACATATAAAACTTTCGCGAGTATTCATTTAAATGAAACTAATATTTTACGAGTAATTTATTATTCCAAAACTACACACTCCCTATGTTTCAGTTACTTCTCAACCGTGATCACGGGCAGACAATACATATTAGTTTCATTTAAATAGTCATATAATAGTAAGACTAGCTGGTCCATACTAATACTAACTTCTTTGTATCAGTGAATACGATGACGTGTGAGCTAGGAGCTCCCTCCCTATATTTCCTCAGTGTTTGCACCAAGTACACATCCCGAGCATACGCTGGACACACCACATACCTTTGATCTAGAGTAGATACCGTCAAAGTTGTATCCGTGTCACACCATGTCGATAGATTCTATGAATAACATACCATATTAATATATATCACAAATATAATATTACTAGCTTTCCGCCCGCAGCTTCGCCGCGTGGAGTTCGGTTATATCGCGTTTCCAAGAGAACCTTTCAAAAGTCTGGGATAAAAACTATCCTATGTTCTTTCTCAAGGTCAACTCTATCTCTGTACCGAATTTCATTAAAATCAGTTCAGTGGTTTAGGCGTGAAAGCGTAGCAGACAGACAGACAGACAGAGTTACTTTCGCATTTATAATATTAGTAGGGATTAGAGTTTATAATTTGAACAACATTTGGAATTTATCAAAGAAATAAATATTATATATAATTACATATAAACAACATTAATTTAAAAAATATTTGCACATCTATAATAAACAATATTGTATTGCTATAGCTAATTGTCACCAATTTTAATCTATTCTAATGAGAATAAATATTAGTCTATAATTATTACTAATTACAGAATAAAGTAATTTACATATATGTATTTTTGAAATAAAAGTGTAAAAAAAAGAAAGTCCTATTCTTTCTTTGATAAGAAATGGCTATGGCCTCAAATTATATACATGAAATATTATTAGATTATCTGTCCACACCATCATTAAAAATTAACAATAATATGTCCTAAATTGTATTCTTGCACTATACAAGTTTGTAAGGTCACAAAAAATGTAAAATCTAAATATTAAAGAACAGTATTACTAGTTTTTTAAGTAGTATGCAAAATTTACTTTATTTAGACCATTTTACAATTCTTTACAATATAAAAGCTACCACTTACATCTTTATTCAATGGCAACACCTTTGATTCCTTAACATCTTCAGTGATTGTGGCAGAGAATAAAAGGTTTTGCCGCTTTTTCGGTAGAGCTTCAAATATTGTCTCAAGGTCACCGGTGAAGGATTCACTGAATAACCTGGAAAATAATTGACATTCTTTATTATTAGCTGTCTTGTTTATGATAAGAGCTAAACTCTGAAATAATTATCTACAGTTCCTAGTTCTTAGTTCTCCTTTTTTTGTTCAACATGCCTAAGGTAAGCTAGAAATGGCTTCCTTTTGTGCAACATTAGCATATATGTACAAAGAAAATAAATAAATAAGTATTGGTACTAAAAAACCTTTCATTTACTGAATATCTGTTTGACTATCAATAACCTACTGAGCACAATATTCTTAACCCTATCATCTTTCTTCTCCCTGGCAATTTCCCACCTTTAGCCAGGTTCTGCCTTTCTCTATCATCTTTATCAAGCCGCCAGGAAATATTCTTGAATCATGAGAATCTACTTCAACTGCCTTATGCACAAAATATTAAACTTATTATCAAAATATCTCACCGATCTGCTTCATCCAATACCAAATATTTAATCTTCTTCAAACTGAATGTATCACAACCAGATATGTGATCGGCCAACCTGCCGGGCATAGCTACCACTATATGAGGCCTTTTTGCTAACTTCAATGATTCTTCAAGTTGATCTGAGCCTCCAGTCACTATACATACTCTAAGCTTCAATGGCTGACCGAGAATGAGGAATTGATCTGCTATCTGTATATACAGAAAGTATAACAAATCATTTAGATTGTTTGATATAAATAATTATCAGTTAGATAGTGGCGCAACGACATGATGAACAAAAAAGCTGGAACATGATGTCCCAATACACCTAAGTCTGTTTTTACACGGTCTTTTTGTACACGGTTTTGATATAACACGGTTTGAAAATTGAATATTTTTAATGTTATTACACAATTTTATTCCATTTAGCACGATTTGAAATTTTATGTACTTAAATTTTTTTTGTCAAATTTAATTTTTGCGAAGTTGGTTCATATCACAAAATAGTATTTATGAAAGAAAAAAGCCTGAAACCATCGATAGTTCGCGAACACTAGCTTAAAGATTTAAGTGAATTCCCCTTTAGCGCGTACAAACAATTTTTACTGGTCAAAGCAAATGTGAATAGCACTAATTTAGGGGAATTCCCTTTATGTGCATATGTATATTACTTTTGAGATTAAAGTGCATATCTTTTTTATCATTAATTACTATGCTTGTGCATATAAGCATTATATATTTGATTTACTAAAATAAACATGAATTCTTGTTCTTAAAAATTCTTGTTTTTCACTAATTTTAATGGGTTTTAGAGATTAGGAACAAATCACCCATTTTTGTATAAGATCAATGTCTTTTTTTACACGGTTTTTTTTTACACGGCTTCTTCTGGAACCAATCTACCATATAAAAACAGACTTAGGTGTACACTCATTAACATTACTTTCAATTTTAAGAAAAATATATTAAAATTAAAAGCAATTATAGTATTATGAAAAAAAAGTGCTAAACATAAATATCATTATTATTAATTCATATATATAATAATATATACTTGTTATTTACCCAATAGTTTTTACCATTGGTCTAGTTTAGTATGACATAATTAATAATAATTAGTTTAAAATGACCTTAAAATTACAGATAAACTAACCTGATATGCCAGTTCATGTGTAGGTGTGAGTACTAAAGCAAATATTCCATATGGATCTTCGGCGAGGTTCTGAAGAATAGGTAGAGCAAATGCAAATGTTTTGCCAGAACCAGTTTTTGCTGCTCCTATACAATCCTGGCCAGAAAGAATGTTTGGTATGCAACCTTTTTGGATTGGTGTTGGCGTTTTGATGCCTGAAAATTAAAAAAAAAAGTATTTATATTCATATTGTAAGGAATGTATTTTCATAAGAAAATATAAGGTAAACCTTTTTTCTATTTCTATTTTAAAACTCTAGATTCTTGATAAAACTTGATAATTTCTCACTCGTTTACTTTTACCTAAAATATTACATATATCGATCGATAATAGATATTTATTAAATAACCTTTATGATTAAGAAAACTTTACCAAGAGTTATTAATTGATTGATCAGCCACCGCTTCACACCCAGCTCTTCAAAGTCTTTGCCAACGTTTTCATTCATTTTCAATACTTTTGCTCTTTTCACTGAACATACAATTACATTAAAGATATATGTAAGAAACCCATTACTTTTCAGTATTTACACATTGTTGTTCTTCTAAATACACGTTCTGTTGACATTGACATATCGTAAATGTCACTCTCATCAATCTAAAATCTTTGATATGTCAGGTTTAGGAACAAAAACGTAAAGTCTAAGTAAAACGCATCGAATGCACCCATTCGTCATAAAAAGTCTTTAGGGACAGATAGTAAATATATTAAAATTTACTAAATTTATAATCTAAAAGAGAAAAAAATAAAATAAATAATGTTATTTATCATGTATTAGTTGAATAATATGGACTTATTAGTCTTCATATTGTATTTTTCAAATTTTTCATTTCAATTATTATAATTTAATGGCATTCAGACTTTGAAAAAATTACATAAAACTTTGGAAATATCATTGAAAAATAAGCTTTATTAAAAATAATTGCCTTTCATAAATAAGCAGCATTTGAATACGATAACATTGTACTCAAATTATAAAAATTACTCTTTATTAACTTCATATATTGCGAGTTGGCATTAAAAAAATTCATGAAAAGATAATGAATGTTTTACATGTTTATAAAATATTCTAAAACTAGTATGGAATAAAGAAAATAAACATTTTTAATTGATTAATGAATAATAAAGACATTTTTTTATTCAGTAATCAGTTCACGCAGCGGCAACCGGCTTCAAGGTTCACAGTTCAGTTTCAAGTACATACTACAGTCTATACACTTCAGTATAGTTGTAGTACACAGTTGACGTGTGGTGTTGTGTGCTACTCCAGTGCATTTGTTATTTTTTTAATTCTTTTTTTTTGTTTTATTTTTTGTTCAAACTTTAGCTACTTCAGGATAAATCATAAAGTAGTAATTAAAATTTATTATAAATTATCATCGTAATACTCGTTGCGTCTAATATACTTCTCACCTGAAGAGATAAATCAATTAGAAATTCTTAGGAATTCTAGCATATAATATGTATAAGAAGTCTTGAGAAAATCGTTCCACTCCAAATAATTCTTCGGAAATTTCGGATCTGTTTTATTAATTTACATTTTGAAGGTATGTTCTTATTTTTAATATGTAATTGTTGGATCATAGTTGAGTAAATATGTTTTCAAACACAAATTTACCGTAATAATTATTAAGTGGTAGTTATAATTTAAGTGTTATAACACCGTTACATACATAATATTATTATACATTGAGTGCATCCTACGGGCTATTTCTAGCGCAAGTTTGGCATCAACAAGGAAATAACAATTTACAGTGTTGTTTGAACTTTGGTTACCGATGGTGATGCAGTCAATTGTCGTTAGAATCATATTTCATACAAGCATATATATGTAATATCACGATTCAAGAACATTGTTTTAGTCATAGAATATGATGTTGGTCTTAAGTAGAAATGCGTTTAATGCGTTTTTTTTAACAAAACTGCCTCGTGCCATAAGTAGATCGCAGTAAATTTAACACGTATTCTTTTCTTATCAGTAACTGTCCGTTTAACAGAGAACATTATTACTCAATTAGTTATGTCTAATTTTTAATAAAAGAAATGTATAATGGAGTAGCATTAAATATTAATGTTATGTATATAATGATGTAAAATTATTTTTTCTTTCTATTGTGAGTTTCTATGCATGTGAGACCTTACTCATAGATTGTTTTGATTTAGTATATGATAAATAGAATAAATGTATTAAAATTAATTTTACTATCAATGATAAAATACATTAGCTAAAATTGATATCAAAAATGTTACTACAATATTTTTAAGCTAAGATTTTATTGTTCATCTTTTACACAGTAAGTAGAATGTGATAAATTAAAATTTTGTTTCAGAAAAATTCCACAATGACTTTGTTCCGGACATTAGTTAGGGCAACCTATCAAATGGGCAAGAATGGAAATGTAAGTATCTATATCAATTCTATTAATAATTTATAATATTTATATAGAGTATAAACTTTTATGGCAGCCGTACAAAACGGTATAACTAATGGTTAATTAAATAAATATGATAGTAATGGTCATGATATAACATTACTGCAATAATATGTATACTTTGTATGCATAATATCGAAGCTGATTTAACAACATTGTTGTGAGTGTGAATATTTCCATTCAATACCTATTAATAACTTGGAACATATATTTCTATGCAATAATTTTGCAAACATGATTGTATCATATATGATTTTATGTTTTTTCTATTACTGAATAATTTTGTAATTTATTATTTAGATTAAATAACATACAAATTTAGGACAGCCCATATAAATAAATAAATATATATGGTTAGAATAATGCACAGTTAAAATGCAATTTTGGCACTAGCAAGCTAGACTAAATCATGGTAATTTATTTTTTGTTAAGAATTATCAAGTATTTTACTTTTTTTTTGGTAACTTTATGTGTCCTTTACATTGATTATCTTAAATCTGTCATATCCTGCAATATAATGCTAGTAATATTTATTTTGCTTATTATTTGTAATGTTCTTAAAAGAATGAGAAAACTATTTTTAAGTAATTTTCTTTAAATTGCAATAATTTGTATATTTTTGTTGATAAATTCTATTTTCTTATTTATTCCATACATTTGTGTATGACTTAAAACACATGTTCCTTACAACTATAACTGTTTAATTAAACATATAGTTTTCTTTCAGAATTACAAAAATTACAGTAATCAACACCACCAATCAAAATTGAGCAGTTCAATATATGTACTCTAAAATAGTGTATGTTTCCGTTAGTGATTGTAAAATTATTTATTCACTACAAAGGGATGAAAATCTCACAATGTAGTAGTAGTGTGTTTAGAACAAGCTAAGGAGTTTTTGATATTATTTTACTTTTCTTGTAAAGCATAGACAATATTTCTATTTTCATTCATACACATATAATTCCTATTTCAATCGACCTCGGTAATATGACAATCTACTTCTCCCGAGTCCCCCCCTTCAAGCTTCTCCCCTCCAAAGCCACAGCTTCGAACATTATTTATGCAACATTGCAAATGATATGAGCACATGTGTATATAATATATAGAATGTTGTAACTGCGCTGTGAATAGCTTATAATTGGCACCGGTTGTATCGCCGAGCACGTGATCAAGGCACGTTATAACTTTTATGTGAACAATTAACTCCCATAAAATATTACTATGATTACGATTCTCGTTTGATGTCTACCATTTAAGAAAGTACATTCTTGTCATACATTAACAAAAATATGAAGGGAAAAATTTTGCCGCCATTTCATTTGTCATAGTTCTGGATTCTACAATATTAGCTACCTAAATAACATCATAGGTGCATCAGAAACTATTCTAATGATGCAATATTATTTAGTTAGAGTTGTTTAAATGGAAAAATGTAGCACCGGCTGTCTTTGTTTCTATTCCAAATTAAATAATATTCCTTTTATGCTTGCCGTACTATCAAATTGGTTCCAATTAAAGCCAAAATTGCATTTTAATGTCAAAGCAATACAGGCATTGCAATCAAGGCAATTTTATTACTAAAATTCGACCCAGCATTAAAAACACATTAGAAATCAATTTGTATTTAAATATATGTTTGTATTTGATATTTGTTATGTGAAATATATACATACATTATTAAATTGAACAAGAACTAAATTACAAAATATAGGTAGGATAAAAAATATAAGAAATTTATTTTAATATATTGCTTGTATAATATGTAATCAAAAAATCTCATTTACATTTTGGTTTTTTGATAGAACCCGTTGCTGACTTCCCCATATAAAAAAATATCAAATATAGTTTGGCGGTTTTTATAGAAAGAGCAAAAAGTAGAAAATCGTGAATGAAAAGTAATTTTTATTACAAAAACTTGTTTTGCATACTATATCTTTTAATCCTAGTCACCGTATTTGACTCACAAAATATCTGTATATTTTGTTAAATTCTCTTGTTCCGTCCCATTGAATTCTCGTAATAATTCTACTCGGCTATTTCCAATCTATAAATGCAGTAAGTTCAATGTCAATGCTAAACGTGACTCACTTGATTATCGCATGGCAATACTGTTTCTCTGTTTGATAATGTACAAGGTTGCTTTGTTTATATTAGAAACTAGCTTTATCACCCGGCTTCGGTTGTATTGACGAGAATTCGTTCTTCTTGAAAATCTCACCAGTTTGGATTCAAAATCGATCAATTAATGGTCATAAAATTGTTTAAAAAAAATTGAATTTATTCCTTACTTTTAACTTTGAACAAATAAGGATATGTACAGATAGTGATTTTTTTGGTTGATGAAAAAATTTGTCTGAGCTAACTTGTCTAAGTTTTTTTATGAATAGTTTTATATCTTTGCGTACCTATACACAAATTGAATTTCGAGGTTAATGAACTACTTCTACTAGGTAATATTTTTTTGCACAATTCACAAGGTCACAATTTTTTTATACATATTGCGTATATAAAAAGTAAAATTTATGATTAGCAATAAGTTGGAAATACTCACAATTTTTTACATTCAAATTTCTTTAACTGTATAAAATATAGTATTTATTCTTTTTTATTAAAAGTTATCATCATCAAAATTATATAAAAAATGTATAAAAAATCATGTTTATTTTTTTGTTATATCCCTGGCTTAGCTAAAAAAATTCATTGTAAGAATTTTAATCTATGCTTTAAATAAAAATTCTCCAAAGATATTACGTAAAACTTACCGTAAAACAATTATAACCACTTACATTTAAACTTATCATCAAGATAATTAATTAATAAATAAGAATTCTAAACTAATATTAAAATTTAATCTATCATATTATGATACGTCTATTTTATTTTATTTTTCGATATATATTATATAATTATAATAAGTACTACGATTCCAAGGTACCTCTTCGTCCGCTGTTATCTTGTTCACCCCTCATGCTGGCCGGAGACCGCTTGGCTCACACCCAGGACCTCACGAAGAATATCCAGTACATCAGCAATGATAAGATTAAACTCAACGTCGATCCTGAAACCATGAAGTGAGTATTAATGGACTACTCAACCAAACGAACTATGGCTATACTGTTTATTAAGAATTATCGTTAATTCTAAAATGTACACTAACTGTGCCTTTCTATTAATGTAACGAAATGGAAGTCAAGTCGTCGTAGAATGAATGAATATTTTACACTAGTTTTTGTTTGCGACTTCGTCCGCGTTAATTTCGTAATTAGTATTTATGTATACCTGACCGGGCGAACTCTAATCCGCCTTAGAGGCCGTAAATAACCAGATATTGGAATTAATGTGTTTTTCTTTGTTTTCTATTGAACAGAATTAAATATCCTACGTCTATCTCCTGGTTCTAAGCTAACTCCAGACCAATTTTCAACCATATACATACAGCAGTTCTTGAGTTATAGCCATAAATAACTGTAACTAACACAACTTTCTTTTATATATGTATAAAGAGTTCTTTAATAGACAAATGATGTGCAATAAAATAATATTATGAATATAAATTGAGATGTAAGCTATCCTATCTTTCAAGTTGGATCAAAATGCACACGCAATGCCAATCAATTTTAAAGTCGCTTTAGTAGTTAAGGAGTCCATCGCGGACAAACACGTGACACGAAATTTTTATATATACATATATATAGCTTATCCTACGTACTATCGAAATTATAAAATTTTAATTCATCATATATTTCAAATATATTTGATTTAACATAAAACGCTACAAATTTTCTTTCATTATCTACAAGAAGAATAGATTATTGTTACCAATGTTCTCTATTTTGTAATCCATTTAATTACGTCGCAGAAATGACACAGTTTATACTCATAAATAGCACAAGACAATAGTTGTAAAATAGATTATGAATAATTCATTATTTGTAAGAAAAACCAAATTAGTTGCGAAACTACTTAGTAGACTGGTGAGTTCAGAGATCACGTTCTCTATACAACGCGATCTAATTAATTGTTGTTAATGTATATTTTTGTTGTGTCAGATACACGCGTTTATTAAGTCAGTGGTGGCCTAGTGGTAAAAAGGCCCGCCTCTCATGCATGAGGGAGCGGGTTTGATCCTGACAAGTACCGATGTAATTTTTCCGAGTCATGTTCTTTCTAAGAGTATTTAGACACCACAGATTAATGCATTCCTAAAGAGGGTTGATGTCAGGCGGGTGGTCGTAAAAACAATTAGCCGAAACTATTCACGACATGTAATGCAGAAACTGGCTAAACCGGGGAAATTGCCAGGTAGAAGAAGATACACGCGTTTATTACAAATACTATGTATATTTGCTTTTTATGTAATTTTTTATGCACATTTAAATAGGTGCGATTACCTTGACTGTATTAAAAGCGTCATAAATCTTTTTTTTTAACAAGCTAGTGTCAAGACAAGAAAAGTGACGGCTTAAAGAAAAAGGTTGTATACACTAGATTTATATGAATTAATTTATTTATAAAGTAAATGGAAGCGATTATAACTATTGTATGCTAATGTAAAATCTAATTAAAATAATAAATTATTTATAGTAGCAAAATATTTTCTTCCTTTATGAGAAATTAATTGTTTTTATACAGGGTGACTGGTGAATTACTATCGATACTTGAGGACGTGATATTTGACGATCATATATGACAAAATAAAAATTAATATAACATAAATATTAATAAACTTCTAAGTAAAGTTAACCAAAAGTTATGTAATTAATTACGCATCGTGTGAACACCCTACAGATTAGGTATACACACACACACTTGGAACACTTGGAACGTGTCCACACTTTATTTATTTATACGGAAATTTGGTCAAAAATTAAGTACCTATTTTTTTTACATAATTCGAATGAGAATCATGTACCGAGTATTCTCCTTGAATATTGATAGTAATTCACCAGTCACCCTGTATAATGTTGAAGTATCAAAAATATTATTCACTACTTTTTGCCCGCGACTTTGTTCCCTGAATTTCAGAATCGGGCTTAATGAGAAATGTAGTGTTTAAATGAAACTAATATTTTGTGGACATACTACGCCATTTTATTTTTAATAAAAACTACATAATCCCGACGTTTCGGCTACTTTTCAGTAACCGTCATCATGGGCAGACGATTTATATTAGTTTCATTTAAATAGTCATGTAAATAATAATAGATTTATTTACGGCATTGGCAAACCTGTGTCACGTGAATATACACATACAACAGTTGTGATGTGCTTCCGTTTCAAATAAACGAATTCTAGGAGAAATCGTAGCCTATATGTTATTCTGATATGTAAACTACATTTCTGTGAAGTTTCATCAAAATCTGTCAAGCACTTTTTTCGTACAAGAGCAGCAAACATCTATACATTTTATATATGTATATACATAATACACATTTTAGATGTCCCATTCGTTCAAAACACGTTTTTTATGAAAGAACAAGTCAGTGTTAATTTATTAAAACATATTCTATTCAACTATTCACATTTAACATAAAATCAATTTTAAAAACGAATATTTAAATATGTCATGAAATTCATTCATTAATTTCATTTGTTTTTTTCATTCATTTTATAAAACACACATTTTATTTAATCTCATTTTAAATGACTGTAAGTTTTGCTGATTATTTGCACCATTATAATATTCTAAAGTACTTTAAATCTTGACGTAGGTTATGACGCAATCTATATTATATCTCATCAACGCAGTAAGGCTTAATTCGGATAATCGTAAAAAATAAAAAATATATAAAATACATAAATTATTCGTTTATTCGACTTAGACTTATTGACAGACTACTACTACAACTAATATATAATCCCTACTTCCCTACTAATATTATAAATGCGAAAGTAACTCTGTCTGTCTGTCTGTTTTTCGCTTTCACGCCTAAACCACTGAACTGATTTTAATGAAATTTGGTAGAGAGATGGAGTTGACCTTGAGAAAGAACATATGATAGTTTTTATTCCAGACTTTTGAAAGGTTTTGTTGGAAACGCGATATAACCGAACTCCACGCGGGCGAAGCTGCGGGCGGAAAGCTAGTGACGTATAAAAAAATCGATTCTACTGAAAAACCAACGATATTGGATTTAAAGAGAGAACCCTAATATTCCTAGTATTTTATATTACGCACTATATAATCTATTCTATTCAATTCAAGGTCATCATTAATTTGTATCAAACAGTGCGCATTCGCTGTGTAAATGCATTTCTTGGACTTTGGTCAATACATTTCCGAACGCGTTTTAATTATGTTGATATCTCTGTAAGGAGGAGATATGTCACGTTGCTAAGTGCTGATGTACGAAATATACAATAGCCTTATAATGATAATTAATCATAACTCATAATGTCCTATAAAGAGAATTTCTAAAATTATCGTCTCCTTTTTGATTGATAAAATTGTCTTTTTTAAAGTATAAAATGACGTCAATGTTACAATCAAGATTTCGTGAGCTTTCTGAGGGTTAAAAAAAACATGGTTATGTAAAAATTAAAAGTATCAACAATGACACACCCAGTGGAAGCTATACTATATTGTTCAAACACTTGCAGGTCTACTTATTTGCAGATATTAAAATAAATGATAAAAAAATAACATTATTAAAATAATCTAAACTGCTACAATATGATTTTTGTCAGTTGATTAGTTAGCGTGTTAACAAACAAATATTTCTTATTCCCGAAAAAAAAATTGTATAATCGGATTTTTTCATGTATGAAAAATTCAGTCTCACATCATAAGAGCCACGAAGACCCGTATTGACTTAATATTCTTTCCAAAACGACGAATATCCCACCAGGATGTCCAGAAAAACTTCAGGCATTCGATTTCAATGTTTTATAGGCTATTACCTAGAAAACCGTGGATCTTTTCATTTTCCCGGTCAGTAGGACTTACACCTACATTATATCTCTTCGTAGAGCCTGATCCCATATAACTTGTGGTAGTTTCATTCATTCATGTCTAAGTAATTGTATTAAAATCCATATTATATACTAGTATACTATAATTGCCGTAATCTTATTAAAAATGTATATGTACATTTATTACATTCTTGCATTTTTTATTTCTTCAGTAATTATATGTAATTGTTAATAAATTTTAATTTATGCTAATTGAGTACTATTTCTTTTTTTTCTTATATGTCATTTCAATTGTGTGTGTATAGGAAAAAATGCAATTATCATGTATATTCAATTACTAAGTAAGTTATTATTACATACTGTTGTTGTTGATTAGAATTTGAATAATACTAGAAAGTTAAAAATTTTATATTGATATCACAAAATTAGAAGAAGCTGTCTTCAGGAAATAAGAAAATCTTTAAGTTTGAAAATTCTTCTTTCTTTACAATTGAAAAGTTATTATTTCCGAAGATAATTAAAATCTAATAAATAGTCTGTGCTATCTAATCGCGGTAAGTTTATTAATTATTATTTATAATTTAAACAAATTTTGTTTAATAGATTGGACAAACAACTGAACAGACCGACATGTGTCATGATAAACTGGTTGCTGGCCAGACAGAAGCACGTCATGAAGTATGCGAACCTCTACTTGGAGCAGGGCTTTGATGTGATCTCTGTGTCCTGCACACCATGGCAGCTGATGTGGCCGATGAAGGGCTCCCAGGTAACATATACACACACACACACGTACACACACACAAACAAGTGCAGTACGTCATCAGCCTATCAGAGCCCACTGCTGAGCAAAGGCCTCTTTCTCACATGGAGAAGGTTTGAGCATTAATCACCACGCTTGCTCAAGACGGGTCGGTGATTTCAAACTTATAATTGTGAAATTATAAGTCCAGGTTTCCTCACGATGTTTTCCTTCACCGTATGTCAGTGGTGTCTAAATACTCTCAGAAAGTACATATGACTCCGAAAACTCACATTGGTACTTGCCAGGTTTGAACCCGCCCCTCGACAACGAGAGGCGGACCCTTTAACCACTAGGCCACCACTGACTATGCAAATGCAGTACAAATAATAATAATGACAAATTTCCCAGTTGGTAGCTGGTGACCTGATCAAACTCCTGGCAGTAAACGAGACCGACCAGCCTACTGTGGTCCACGGCTTCTCAGTAGGTGGCTACATATGGGGTGAAGTGTGCGTGCATGTGCTCAACAACCCACACTTGTGAGTATCATCGCCTGGTAACAACATGACATACGGTATAACTGGTAACACATGGTATAAATCAGTTTCTACTAGAAGACCCGGCGAACTTGGTATCGCCCTATAATCAAGAAATATCTGTTACGTTTTTTTATTTATATTTTTGGAGTTTACCTATTAAAGCCATAAATCTCCGCGTTTTGAAGTGCGACGGAATGATTGAAATATTAGATAGTTGTCAAATCTAATGTAAAAAAAAAACGTTTGTATCAACAACTACTACTAAATTAAAAATTAATTAAAAAATATAGTCCAGTGGACAAAATTGTGAATCTAAACCCTTCCCAGATCCCCTTGAACACACACAAAAATTTCATAAAAATCGGTCAAGTCGTTTGAGAGAAGTTCAGTGACATACACACTCACAGAAGATTTATATATAAAAAGATAACGCTATTCTTCAATCAAATGATTTCTCATATAGTTCTTAAATAATTCCTATTAAACAAAAACTATATAATTCCTAGGTATCAACCTGTTCTGGACCGTATCGTGGCTCAAATCTGGGACTCTGCCGCCGATGTATCTGAAATCAGTATTGGAGTTCCCGACGCTGTGTTCCCCAAAAATAAAATCATGCAGAAAACACTCAAGGCTTACATGGAGTGAGTAATACTATTTGTTATTATTGTAAGTTTCCTGGAACATAGTCCAAGCAAAGTTGTTATGAATACGTATAATGATATTTATAAATATTATGTACTGTTATTGTTAAGAAATGAGCTTGACTTTATATTAATTGGTGGACAAATTCAAACCTTAAAAGTAAATTGAATGTTAAAGTAAGAACAGAATAGTGCAAAGACTTTTGGAATAGAGTAGGTAGAATGGATAGTAGTATTGATTTTATTTCAACACACACCACAAGTATCTAAGATTTATAATTTTGTATTAGTCTTCTATACATTAGTTATTATTATTACATATATACAATTTATTCATTTTCGCCCAAAAAGAAATACTGAATATAAAAGAGAAAACATGTTTAAATTATAAACCGACCAAAATAAAAAGTACCTTTCAATCAATATTCTTCAGTCTTGTTTAACTAATCGATTTACGAGTACCATTCAAACAAAAAAATATGGCTTTTAAAATAACATACAAATATTATTTTTATACAACACGAGGTACTTTGACAGGACGTATAGCATTAAAAATAAGCAGCTAGTGGTACCGCTTACGTTCGCACTAACTGAAAGGTGGCGCTAGTAGTGACGAGTTGAAATTTTTCCTGTCATAAATGGCATTTTTACCATACTATGAATCAAGTAACAAAACTATCAATGTCCGCACCCACCCTTATTGAGTTTGTAAAAATTAACGTATGTTGCTATATAAAAATGTAGGATTTTGTCTATACAACATATTAATATGGTAAGCGATGCTTATTTTACTGACACAGTAACCGACGATAAAACTTTGTTTTTATTCATATATCATTACAGGTGATAATTATTCATTAAGAGAGCGATATATTTTTCCCCAAGGCTTACCAATTTCATTAAAATTTTATAGTATGAACTATTGCACCTTCTTTACCTTGATATAAAATTATTTAGAGGATGAATAATTAAATTTATACTGAAAACGTTTGTCACTTTTCTCTTTAAACATAGTCCAAGCAGAGCTTGATTCAAATTTGTATTGAGCGTTTAGTGGTGTACCCTCAACGGAAAAGAGGATTGTAAGTTTGACGTAGATGTCTGTCTGTGGCGTTATTGCTCTCATACAAATTAATCAATTTTAATGCGTTTTCTTTCATCTGAAAGTTTCGTTGCGATATCTTGGCTATATTTAGGTGATATAGGTTTAACAGTATAAATGTATCAGATCATTTCCAAATTTATGTAAGGAATTTTTGGCGTATGATTACATTATTAAGTGCCTCTACACGTGCTAGATTTTGTTTTTTTATTTGATACAATTTATTGTTATTAATCTAACCACATACATATTAGTAGGTATAGGTTTATGTATTGTGACGATGCAAGCTAATGTGGAAAGCTACAGAACTATCAATACTCCCGTAACTTTACTATAAGTTTTGATACACTATACTCAGACAAAACGAAAGTTATGTATTAATTTAACATACATAAAAAAATAAAACATTTAAATTTAATATTAAGATGAAAATATAAAATTATGTACCTAATTCATTCTTATATTAAGAAATTTTCTTTTTATTATCTTGTATATTTGAAACGTGTATCTATTATCAGAGTTCACTAATGACCTTGAATTTTAATTATTTTATAGTTTTTTATCTTCGAATTATTTATAACTACTGTAAAATGTAATTTTTGCTGAGTAAACATAAACAATATGTTATAAGAGTAGATATTAATATTTGATTAATAATACATTTAATTACGGACGGGACGCCTTATCAGTGTAAGTTTGAATAGTTATGAGAAACGGGAAACGCATCATATAGTGTGACGTAGCGGACTTGTGGTAAGCTTAAACAAACCTGTTCGTGTCGATTCATTTTTAATTACATACTTTCTAATCCCTACTAATATTATAAATACGAAAGTAACTCTGTCTGTCTGTCTGTTACACTTTCACGCCTAAACCACTGAACTGATTTTAATGAAATTTAGTACAGAGATAGAATTGACCTTGAGAAAGAACATAGAATAGTTTTTATCCCAGTATTTTGAAAGGTTCTCTTGGAAACGCGAAATAACCGAACTCCACGCGGGTGAAGCTGCGGGCGGAAAGCTAGTTGAATAATAATTAAAAGTTTTACTTTGTCAACGTCGCTTCAATATTAAAAGATATGATTGTATTGTATTATTGGCTGGATGTTATTATAATAAAGGAATATTTTGAAAGTCCAGCCATAAATTGTTTTGACACGATCATTATAATATCATATGTTTTATTGAGCTTGTAATTTTCCATTCACCGTATATTAGTAAATACAGTGAGCCACTATTTCCTGCGTCTGATAATATTATCAATGATGTCTTTATCGTATCATAATCTTCGATTTATTGTACAAATATAAATGACATAACAGAATTGCATAATTATAATACGGAAAGGTCACCTTTTTATTAATATCTAGGTGACTCTGTAAATACGTTTGGTAGATTTTTTTATAAAAATATAACTAAAGAAAAAAAAAATTTTTGATATTTTTTTATTTATACAATTCTAGTTAATGTTTAACTTTTTAAACATGTTTGAAATTAATATTTTTCAATAAAAAAAATTGGACAACTGTTTTTCATCACCATAACACTGTTATAAAATTTTGTATATATTTTTAAAGAATATTAAATTATAAGTTTTCTGTTAATCTAAAAAATATATATGCTGGTGATTCCTACTTCAGGTCTTAATCGGAAAAATAGTGTCTGAAGTCAGGATTTTAAAAATTCTCTATTGTAACAATTTTTCATTTCAGTCTACACTCTACATACATTGTAAGACATCACTTATAATTATATTAATTCTACTCTCCAGGTACCACATGAAGTCTTTCCACAACGTGGCCACGGTACACTACATCCGTTCATCTCAGATGTTCCACGCCAATCCTTGTCACGCTCCCGCGCTCTTCCTTCTATCGGCCAGTGACCCCGTCGGCTCCAAGAAAAGCAATCATTCCGTGTATGATGCTTGGACACAAATGGGAATCAAGGTAGGATTTGAGGCCCTCCGAGGAAAAAATAAAGGGACGAAATTTCATACGTAAATAACGTCTAACAAGACTTTGTGAATGAAATAGCAAATATTAGTGTTTATAGTGATAATATAAGAATTTAAGTGTGCAGCCATAAGAAAATGTTTTTTTATATGCTTGGGGGGCCCCATCACGCAAGGCTCCTTTTCAATATATCTCGGGGCCTCAGGCCCTACTTATATGTATTTATTTTTTCAGTGTACGTGGCAGTGTTGGGATCGCTCTCCTCACGTACAACATTTCACCAAACACAAGGATGAGTATATAGCGTTCCTAAACGCTCACCTCGCCGAGAATGTGTCTGGAAAACAAAGGATGAAGATGGCTGGAAGATAACTTAGTTTTAGATTAATATTTTTGTACGAATTTTCTGTCTGTCAAACTATTTCATTGAGAGATCTTTATATTGCCTTACATATTCATCATCATACAACATAGATTACTACGACTCATACTGACACATAATATTTAAGATACTTTTTTTGATATTTTGTATCGGGTGCACTGGAGGTAAATGAATTCATCCAAAACAATATGTTTATATGTATTTTTTATATCGAAAGTATTTTCCATAGAACTTGAATCGATCCGGTCAAGTATACGAGAAGTTATTTTATATTTATCTATACATATTATGTTTTAGTTAATATTAACTTGAATCGAGTTTATTCACATGAACTTCACGCGTCGACTGAACTTAGCGTAAGATTACTTTTAGTTGGAGTTTTGTAGTATTTTATATAATAAACTCTAGGAATTACAAGCTCGTTTCATTACTTACTGTATCCTTCACAGACCTCTCAACACAAACATATCTATTTAAGATTGATCAAGATGTACAGTCTACTTTAAGACATGTTTAACTATATTATGTGTACACTTTTATAAAATAAAATTACAATAGATTATCTATTCAGGGAGTAGAAATTCTTAAGTCAACCATTACATAAATTAAAAAAAGGAATAAACATCTCAGTTATGGAGAAGCCATGAATTATTTGAAATATAAATAAAATTCCTAGATGAATAGAATTAATTATTTCTAAAATATCTCGTCAAAGATTTATATCGAGATCTCGTTATTAATTAAAGGTAATTAAAAGAAATAATATATTCTCATCTATTTTTAATTTATGCTCACTACCGTATCTCAAAGTTAAAGTTCCGTTTCTTGTTCCTCTTGCCGGTCTTATTCTTGTTAATCTTCTGTTTCGGTTGTTTGATCCTCTCCCGCGCCATCTTTATTTTATGCGCCTTCTTATTTTTCTTCTTTTCTATCTTAACGTTCTGTTTGTGTATGTCCGCTTGTGCTCTCAGTTTATGTATGTTTCTTATTTTATGCTGACTGCCTTCTTTGGCTGTAATTCCTGTGAAGTCACTCTCATCTCTGTTCTCTAAGTTCTCAGTTCTTCTCTTCTTTGTGTAACTCTCATTCTTCTCTCCGTTCTCAATTCTTCTCTTCTTAGTGTAACTCTCATTCTTCTCTCCGTTCTCAAATTTTTTCTTCTTCATATAACTCTCGTCTGGAGCGCTATTCATTTTTCTTTTTCTATTTCTTCGTCCCTTCTTTGTGTTTTGTTGATCATCTTTCTTCGCCAGTGGATTGTTAGCTATTGATTTTTCCAATCTCTTCTTCCTCGCGTTTAACGCCGTGCGGTCTTCTATAGAGAAAGACACGATGGGTCTCTGAAAAAATTTTATATAACTTTCATTAGTCTGAAGATTATATTAACAGTAATATACTTAAATCTAATGAACAGTATACAAGTATAATAAGTGAGTTTGTAGTAACCTCGCATCTTAAGAGTCAGTTAAGGCAATAATAACATGTTTCATATAAGTTACTTACATTATGCGTGTCGAATATGTCAGGATTGTTATTCAACTTTCTAAGACAAGCCAGAGCGTCCTCGTGTCGAGTGAACATCACGAACCCGTAACCTTTTGACCTGTTGGGATTTATAAGACATTACTAAATATTTCTTTGTACCAAATAAATTATTTGGAAGTATACTATAATACATATGGGTAACAGATGTACTTAGGACAAATTGCTTCTTTGAAGCTAACATTTTTTGTTAATTATAATTTTTAACCGATTCTTTATACGCTCTTAATATAGCTTGGCGCTGTAAGATTGTAGTAATTGTAGTATGCATATGTCATCAGTCTATCAGAGCCCACTGCTGAGCAAGGCCTCTTTCTCACATGGAGAAGGTTTGAGCATTAATCACCACGCTTGCTCAAGACGGGTTGGTGGTTTCAAACTTATAATTGTGAAACCTATAAGTCCAGGTTTCCTCACGATGTTTTCCTTTACCGTATGTCAGTGGTGTCTAAATACTCTCAAAAAGTATGTACATATGACTCCGAAAAATCACATTGGTACTTGCCAGGTTTGAACCCGCGCCCTCGGGAACGAGAGGCGGACCCTTTAACCACAAGGCCACCACTGACTTATAGTATATGTGTGATATTAATCTATACTAACGGATGCCTCCCGTCTCTGCCCACGGGAGCTCTAAGATCTCTCATGACCCTCGCCTCAGTGACCACGGCGCGTGCAGGGGATGCTTTCAACACCAACCGACGGAGCGCCTGGTCCGTGATGTTAGGAGTCAGGTTTGACACTACAAGACGGTAGCGGGACACGAATCTGGAATATATATATTAATTTTTAATTTATTAGTACATGTTGATACAAACGTTTTTTTTTTTGACTTTAGATTTGACAACTAACTAATATGTCAATCATTCTGTCGCACTTCAAAACGCGGAGATTTATGGCTTTAATAGGTAAACTCCAAAAATATAAATATAAAAACGTAACATATAAACGTATTTCTTGATTATAGGGCGATACGAAGTTCGCCGGGTCTTCTAGTCATATTATATAACATATATTACTGAATTATATTGAAACCAGCTGTTATACCCAACTCTGTCTATTTAAAAGACAAACAAAAACGATGAAAAAACTAGTAAGAGCCGAATTGTTCTTACTTCCTACTTGAGCGAGATAAAGTTTAATTTCGGCATGGAGAAAAAATGTAGCCTAAGTTACTAACTGCTTATTACATTAGTTACCTGACAATAAACGTCCCCTCAAAATGAGACATATACATAAACACTCGCCCCAAGTTATAATTATGTATATAGAAATTTATATTAAAAACTTTAAACTATATACTTTTTTACTTAAGTTATATGACAGAAGTTAATGCTAGCAATTTGTGAAGTTATGTGAAATATTTATTTAGATCTTAGTGCTATTCCATATGTTTGGTTTGTACATAACAGATTATATTATAAGCATCAGATTATTATACGGAAAGTATATTAAGTTATTAATATGTGACCTGTTCAGATTCTTCAACATCTGAGTCTTGCTGCGTTCAAGGGCCAGTCTTTTGGCCATGTCGGATTGAGACACGCCCACCGCCGCCCGAGTACCGGCCGCTACCACTGAGAAAGAGATAGCAAGAGATAAGTTTATAGAGAGAAAGAGATGACAATATATAAAACATATAGTATCGAATAATACTACTGATTTCTATATGTAAATGTGGAATTCTTTGAAGACACAACATTACATTCCATATATTATAAGCTGTTTTATATGAGATATATATTTAACCAGTTTCCGCCCGCAGTTTCGCCCGCGTGGAGTTCGTTTATATCGCGTTTCCAAGAGAACCTTTCAAAAGTTTGGGATAAAAACTATCCTACGTTCTTTCTCAAGGTCAACTCTGTCTGTACCAAAATTTCATTAAAATCAGTTCAGTGGTTTAAGCGTGAAAGCGTAACAGATAGACAGAGTTACTTTCGCATTTATAATATTAGTAAGGATCGAATAGTTATGTTCTTAAATAAATTTATTTTTCCATACAAGTAGAAGTTTATTGATACTTCTTGCAACTAATGATCACTAGCAATATCTCCCTACCTCCTTCTTTAACCAGATACAAGTTTCTGTTATCTTTGGGTTGTTTCTTATTTCCTTGTTGTAGATTTTCCTTCTTAAGAGCCGGTTTCACTCCTAAGACTTGTCCTTCAAGGCGGAGCTGATCTGACGGAAGGGAGAGAAATTTCTCAGCATCTTCTTTGTTCTGAAATAGGAGTTAAATATATGTCATTAATCCTTCACAATAGTAAAAATGATTTGATAAACATTGAAACTTAAAAATCACATAAAAAGTGGAGATGTATCCTCAAAGATTTTAAACATTAATACATTATCATTTTTTTTACGAGTCAGACTTGTCACTCTAACTATCAAAATTAATGAAACAAAGACGCAGATTTTTTTTAATTACATAGAAATTAACGCCATTCTATGTTTTATAAAATTCCAAATAAGTGAAAAAAATATATTTTATTCCTTCAGTCATGAACAGAAGTTAGTTATATAATTACTCGAAATGCTTCAACTAGCATATTTCCACACAAAAATTCTACGATAAAATGTTGTCTAAGTATATAAAACAATCAACATACAACAAACTTAACAAATCCAGATCCCTTAGAATGTTCTGTCAGCTTGTCAACACATATGAGTGCATATTTCACAGGTCCGGTGTTCTCTGCGAAGGTTTTCAACTGGTGGTCGTCTACTATGAAGGGTATGTTCGTTATAAACACGGTACAGCCATCTTCTGCATCATTTAACTTCTTGCTGTGAATTCAATTTTTTTCTGATGAAAAGTAGTCTTTATACAGACTTCAGAGAGTTGAATTTAATAGTATCTATACTAATATTATAAAGCTGAAGAGTTTGTTTGTTTGTTTGTTTGTTTGAAAGTTCTAATCTCCGAAACTATTGGTTCGAATTGAATAATTCTTTTTGTGTTGGATAGTCCAGTTATCGAGGAAGGCTGTGGGCTATATAACATCACGCTACGACCAATAGTAGCAAAGATATAGTGGTAAATGTGTAAAAAACGGGAGAAATTATTTCATCTTTGAAGCCTTCCGTTGCGTGCGCCGTGAAAACGGTTCAAGATACACAAAAAATATGTATGAAAAAATAATAGCTCTTTTAATGATCTAAAAAACAGTCCGCAACAATATATGTCTATCTTTTAAGATTAGCTCACAAAAACCGTTTTAATGGTACCTAATTTGGTCGAAATAATTTGTTTAAGTTGTATCAACATAATGATATTAATCTTTATTCAAATAAACAAATAAATATGTTGTTGGTTAAGAGTACTTTATTGTGAATAAAAAAAAACATAGGGTTTATCCTGAAAATTCTACGGGAACTCGACCATTCCGAAAATCCCGCAAGAGCGGGAACTATGTGGGAAGAACCAAAATTCTGCCGGAAGTCACTATTCCACGCGGACGGAGTCGCGACAAAAGCTAGTTAGATATAACTGTATAATAATAAACGCAGATTATTGAAAATAAATTATAATCGACATAGGATTTGCAGCATAAGGCCCTCGGAAAGTGATTTAGAATTTCAGTCAAAGTTTTGGGTCCTTGGTAATGTATTCGCGACTAAAAACGCGACTTTGCGGTTCAAAACATTGGCTAGCTGTGTTAGAGGAACTTGGGGGATTTCAGTAATGTTGATCTTAACCAACTTTTTAATGATAACTGTGACGACGTGTTTTTCTTCAAAGTAGCGGTATTTAAACCACCGAATATTATTAGGAAAACAAACATATTATATATGTTGTTTAAAAATCATTCATTAATGAAATTTAAAGCAAGTATCTGTAAATTTGTTGTAAAAATACCGTTGGAATGCTGGTTTAATATCTTTCTTCTCATCATCATCGTCTTGATCTTCATCCACTTCACCATCTTCATCATCATCTTCTTCATCATTCTCATCATCGTCTTCATCATTCTCATCATCTTCATCCTCATCATCATCTGAATCCTTTTCTTCATCATCAGCATCTGATTCTTCATCATCATTTTCATCTGAACTATCAGATTCACCTATAAAACATAAATAACTCTATACATATGTTTAATTAATGTCTGCAATATTAAATGGCCTATACAACTACAAAATTTAATAAAATAAAATTGTAATAACAAAATACAATTAAAAAGCAGACAAATCATTTTGTTATGTATTAGTTTTTTTGCTCATTTTCTTAAAATAATACTATGATGACAAGTGTATAGAAGTAGATTTCTTTATTATATTAGTTGCTGTCATTCAGTTTGCTATTTAGCACAATACATACACGACAAATTTAATATACTTTTATTGAATACCATACATTTGTAAGACAAACAATAAATTCTCTACTTAGAAACAAAAGAAGGTTATTCGACCATCCCTACTAATATTATAATTGCGAAAGTAACTCTGTCTGTCTGTCTGTTACGCTTTCACACCTAAACCACTGAACTGATTTAAATGAAATTTGGTACAGAGATGGAGTTGACCTTGAGAAAGAACATAGGATAGTTTTTATCCCAGAATTTTGAAAGGTTCTCTTGGAAACACTATATAACTGAACTCCACGCGGGCGAAGCTGCATTGGGAAAGCTAGTATTTTATATAGAACAAAATGAAAACTCACTTTTAACCTCCTGTTTTACTTCAGTAGATGTATCTATGAGTTCATTGTCACTATCAGATTCCTCCTTCTTAACATCGTCCTGCATTTCAAGCTGTTTGTTGACCACATGCTGCATGTACTTGTCTTTAGGAACCGCCCAATCCACAGATATAGGACGGCCTGTGTAAAATATTAAAGAAAATATGATTATTGCTTGCAATGCCTTATATACAACAAGAAGTATTATATATAACTATAAGCCAAAACCAATTAAACAAATTAGGTCAATTATATAACATTATTATTTAAACATTTGAGGTGAATAGAGTATATAAGTTACAATAATTTTCTTTAACTTGTTTATGGCTAAATTGAGCATAAAAAATAGAGAATAAGCACAAACCTAAAAATGGTTTCATATTTGTGTTCAATAATGCCTTTTTAGCCATTGGCACATTCTTAAAATGTACAAAAGCACAACCGACAAGCTTTCCATCGGGCTTCTTGAGCAATTTAATTTCTAATATGTTTCCATAAGGTTCAAAATGCTCTTTCAATGATTCCTCAGTAGCTTTGAATGACACATTACGGATTATGAGACGGGCATTACGATTTACTCTTATTTTATTCTTGTCATCACTTTGTTTTTTACTGTCACCTGCATCATCATCTTCATCTACAAGAAAAGCATTGAGAGTTATTACTAGAATAATAGGTAGTTAAAAATTTTACTTCAGTATTATCTACAGAAGGCTAGAAAATTATTTCATACATTATACAAACTATATATTTCTGTACCTTTTATTTCTATCTTTGCATCATCGGAGGAGCCACTCATTTGTCTCTTTTTGGTTGGACCTCCATTTTGCTCCCCGTTATATTGATGTTTTGGTACAGCCCACGAGACATATATCGGTCGACCTGCAAATTAAGGCTTTTTTATTAGAAAACATTCAAAAGTCGCAGCTTGAGCCATAAAGGGTTCAAAATTAAATGATTAAAGTCATAAGTTGTCAGCATATTGAATTTTGAGTGTACCTAGAAAAGGTTTTTTATTTGTAGCAGCTATTGCTTTATTCGCCATAGGAACGTGTGTAAAATGAACAAAAGCGCATCCAACGAGCTTCCCGTCCGCCTTTTTAAGAAGCTTAACCTCTTCCACTGTGCCATATTTTGCAAAATGTTCTCGTAAACTTTCTTCTGTGGCCTTAAACGAGATATTTCTTATTATAAGCCTAGCATTTCGGTTAACACCATCCTTGTATTTAGTGTTTTCTGACTCGGTATTATTTTCTTCTTCAGTCATGGTGGATGAAATAAAGAAACTTTAAGAAAAGGGTTTATGGAATAGACACTTATATAATCACTTCAGAATTCCGATTCAATATTAATATTTAATATACGACTTGTATTATTTAACTTATAAATATATAAATTCTATTATATTATAATTAAAATAAAAAAATTAAGCATGTCTAAAACGCACATTGTTTTGACTTAAGAAAATTTGACAGTCGGTCCGTCCTCCGTAAGATTGTCAAACATGTACTACATTTTTTTATAATAGGGTTATCTATTTTTTTAAATATATTTTAGAGTCTAATATTAAAAAAGGATAAATAAAATACCAGGTATACCCTGTATACCAGTCTAGATCTTTTATTTTTTTAATAATGGAGAAGGAAGCACAATAGCTATTATTTCTTTATAAATATATTTGACCTTTCTTCACATTCGCCATTCAGACAGCTGTCTATTTGACAGACATAAATAAAAAGATTTTCAGTATAGGTTAATAGTAAATGTATTTTATAATATAAAATGAATATTCACAATTTATTCCGTTTTATAAACCGACCCTTAGTAATAAGTAACATCTGTAAAAGACATAAAGGCTATAAAGTTGTGCAACGTCCAGATCCAAAAACTTTAAAAATGCCTAACTTAGCCGAAGCACCGAGTATAATGGATATAATTAAAGAGAAAATACGCTTAAATGGTCCTATTACAGTAGCAGAATACATGCACATTGTAATCACAAACCCAACAGAAGGATATTATATGAAAAAAGATGTTATTGGACAAACCGGAGATTTCGTTACTTCACCAGAAATAAGCCAATTATTTGGAGAGATATTAGCCGTCTGGTTTTACGCTGAAACACAGAAGATGGGTTCCGGAAAGCCACTTCAAATTGTTGAACTTGGCCCTGGAAATGGGACATTATTAATAGATTTTTTGAGGGTAAATTAGATTCTACAAGTAACAAGTGTTTTGAAATTTGTAATTTTAGCAGTTTTTATTTTCAGGTCCTACATCGTTATGGATACAGATCCTCAGATTTGAGTTTACATTTAGTAGAAATATCATCAACTATGCTACAGATGCAGGCTAATAGATTGTGTGTTTCACATAGAGATACTGGCATTGATATGCCTCACAACCATGAGGTAAAATTCATCCTTAACATCTATAAAGTATAAACCATGTCAAATACCTTTTGAGTTAAAAATTTCATTCCAAGTTTAAACAAAAGTAAAAAGTCATAATAGATAAACAAATCTTTCTTCATTATGCAATTAAACAAAAAATGCATTAGGATGAAATCCATTTTTGATATCATTGTACATAAGCTTGTTTGTTGCATTTATAATATTGATATTTCAAAATTAATAAACCAACTTTTTATACATTAAATGTATTTATTATACTTTTTCAGGGTGAAACTGCCGGTGGTATTAAAATTTATTGGTACAATGATTTAAAGAAGGTTCCAAATAATTTTTCTTGGTACATAGCTCATGAATTTTTTGATGTTCTGCCCATTCATAAATTTGAAGTAAGTAGGTAATATAGCTATTTTAAATTTTGTAATCATGTTAAGAAAATGCTTATAAATAAAATATTATCTGTGACTTGTTTCAATATTTTAGCATACAGAAAAGGGCTGGAGAGAAATTCTCATAGATATAGATGAAGCAGGAAAACTACAATATAGAATATCTGCTAATGAGACACAATCGGTTAAAGTTTTGGTGAGGCCACCATTAGATGCTGGCGATAGAATGCATGTAGAAGTTAGCCCAAGAGGACTCGGTATCGCTCGGCAACTGGCTACAAGAGTTGACCAATATGGAGGACTTGCACTTATTGCAGATTATGGTCATGATGGAGAGAAAGAAGATACATTTAGGGTAATATGAGATATACATACATGCATTTATATACAGGGTGACTGGTGAATTACTATCAATATTTAAGGAGAATACTCGGTACATGAATCTCATTCGAATTATGTAAAAAAAATTGCTACTTAATTTTTGACCAAATTTCCGTATAAATAAATAAAGTGTGTACACGTTCCAAGTGTGGACGCGTGCGGCGGCGTGCTGATAAAACACTACGCCGCCGCCGCGTCTGTGTGAGTGTGTGTGTATACCTAATCTGTAGGGTGTTCATACGATGCGTAATTAATTACATAACTTTTGGTTAACTTTACTTAGAAGTTTATTAATATTTATGTTATATTAATTTTTATTTCGTCATATATGATCGTCAAATATCACGTCCTCAAATATCGATAGTAATTCACCAGTCACCCTGTATATGCATTAATATACATCATCAGGGATAGTGTATATCTGCGTAGCTAGCATTTGATATCTCCGCATATCTACATTGGAAGTAGATTATCAGAAGAAAGTTTAAAATGAAATATTTTCTATATTAACGACTTTTAATGTGATTTTTTCACAACTAGTAATTATTAAGTGTTTATTTTATTCAAATCTCCTCTTCTTCTACCTGGCAATTTCCCAGCTATAGCCAGGGTCTGCCTTACATGTTGTAGAAAGTTTTTGGCTATTTGTTTTTACGACCGGCCGCCTGCCTGACATCAACCCTCTTTTGGGAATCAACATTAATCAGTGATGTCTAAATACTCTTAGAAAGTACATATGATTCGGAAAAATCACATTGGTACTTGCCCGGGTCAGGATCGAACCCGCGCCCTCGGCGACGAGAGGCGGGCCCTTTAACCACTGAGCCACCACTGACTGTTTATTTTATTCAAATAGTTGTAAAAATATTTCAGCTCAAACTTTCTTCTGATGATCTGCTTCCAATGTAGTTACTCGGAATTATCCAATGCTAGTTACGCAGATTTGCACTATCCCCAATGATATGTATTGTTAAAATACATACTTTAATACATTTTTATATATATTTTAGGCCTTCCACAAGCACAAAGTTGTTGATCCTCTAGAAAACCCTGGATTATCAGATCTTACCGCTGATGTCGATTTCAGTCAATTAAGGATAGCTGCTTCTATGAAACCTGGGGAAGAAAACTACGCTATTGTAATGGGACCAGTAAAACAGATGCAATTTTTGGAGAGATTACAAGCTGAAATCAGATTACAAGTAAGATTATTTTTTAAACTATGAGTGGGGTTTGTCTATGACAGTGTTTTTCAATCTTTTTGATATAGCGACCCCTTTCCGGGTTGAATAATTTTGGCGACTCCCTTGTGTCTTAGACAGGCAAAAGAATTATTAAATTAAAAGTCTAAAGACATATTAAAGTTAAAGACATTCTCAGCAATGGTGGACATCAAAACAAAAAAGAGAAATAAACTTCAATTACAAGTTGAATTGATAGATAATATTCCAAAAATAGCACCACGATTTGACATGCTTTTGAGAAATAAACCAGCCCATTATTAAAATTTGGCTTTTGCCGGTGACCCCCCAGTAAGTCTTTGCGACTCACAAGTTGAAAAACACTGATCTATGACATATATTGTTTATAAAATTTTCAGACAGTATGATCTCATGAGGAACTTTTTTTAATGAATTTTACTGTTCTAGATGTTAATTGACAGTGCTGACACAGATGAAGCTAAGGAAAAAGTAAGAGCCGCCTACAACATGCTTGTGGACCCAAAGCAAATGGGGGAGAGATTCAAGTTTATGGCGTTTTATCCTTCTGCAATGTCTAAAATCTTGGATAAATATCCGCCATTAGGATTCTCAACTCTCAAATAATATAGATTTAAAAAAGGTCAACTATCTGTACATATAAAACGATAAATATAGATAGTTTTTAATAGGTCTTAGTTGTTGAGTTATAAATGTTAAATTAAAATATTTACATGTTTGATTTAGTTTGGTTTTATAGTGTTAAGTTTTTCCAATTGTCAGTAAAAACAAAACTTACAAATGTACTAAATGTTTTTAAGTGTTTCTCGTTTACTCATTATTAATTTAATAAGAAAATTACTATCAATCTTATTGGCATGGATCAAATTTTAAATCCATGAATTAATTTAAAAAATTAAAACAATGTATTTGTAGGTACCCTGATTACTTTAGTCGTCACATTGATCTAATTATGTTCAGGAGCCCCAACAACTAGTTTACTATCATCACTAATACAGACGTTGTAATATTCTATTGAACTTTGATCGCCCAAAAATTACTTTAATCAAACGTAAAAAATTTATTTCACTTGGGTTTTCGAAGACTTCACTTTATTCAGGAATCTAGTTTTCATTACATACAACAATTGTATTAAAGATTTTATGGTCCAAACCAATGTAGTTTTATGCAAAAACAGATTTATGGAATGGTAAAGACTATTTGCTAGAAGGTAGTTTTATGTTCTGTTAATTGTTATAAATTAGTCTGCACACCTTTCTATTAATTTGAAGAAAAATAACTGTTACGCTATGTTAATAGCTCTGAATATCCGGGACATACTTATAAAAATTATGTGTCCAAATTAACATTTTTCAAAGAGAAGGCTTATTAAATCGCTTCTTCCTTTCGTCGTACTATCGTATGTCGCCTTTGAACGAGGCGCGAAAAAAGCTGTAAGAGTGAAGTGGAAATCGCTCGGTTTGTTGCATCTCGAATTTATGTAAAACATAAACCTATTATTGGCAACCATACCCTAAAACTCAAGGTTGGAAATCAAATGCCTACTTAATTATCTGGTTGATGTTCCCATTAGTATTTCTAATATTAAGTATACATTTACAAAAAAGATTAAATAAGTTAAATATGTATGGTTCAAGATATTTACATTTTGGTTCCATAAAAACACAACACAACATTTATTTTTAAACACAATCTACATTTTTTCTTTAATGTAATGGAAGAAATAAACCAATTTATTCTTATATAATAATTGTTGAAAAGTGATATTTGGAGCCTTACAATTAACCAACATGTTTGCATAGAAAATAATGATTATTTTGGATTTATGGATAATAAAAATTAATAATGTCGTAAGATCTATCATGTAAATTCTATTTTTAAATGGCAATACACAGTTATCAATACCATTGTCTAAACTTTTGAAAAATATATCGTTATTTTACAAATGTATCGATTAGTAAAATAAATTTAAGTATATCGAAAATTTGTACAAAACGAGTATCGCATCTTATCATTATTAAAGCTAACGTTAATTCTTCTCTAACCATATAAAAATTTCATCGTTAATCGTTATAAGGTGTCTAGTGTTTCCATCTTTCTGCGGAACTGCCATACTGAGGCAATATAGAAATGTAAATATTTTCTTAAAATAATATTTTATTAAAAATCATACCAGGACAATCTTAAAAATAAAATAATGATATATTTTAAACTAAACTTATTTTAATGTGCATCGAGTTGAAATATCGCCTCAACGGATAATCGATACATAAATACTAAAACAGCTGAAAACTAAAATGAAAATGGTCTCTCTGTTGTCGATGGCAATATTTTTAATTCTTTTGCACAATAATATTGATTAAATTGTAAATTTCTTTTCTATTTTTCTTTTATACAATATTATAGTTTAGTAACTTATGGGAAAATATTATAATTTACAAAGAGCATATAGGTATCTGTTTTCCTAACGATATATTTGGTAATTTAGTAAATTCATGCTACGATGAAATGTCAAAATTTCAGTGGATAAGTGCCAATGATAGAGAAATCTAGCAGATGTGAAAAGTGATGTTCGTAGTTTCGAAAACTGATGGTAATAAAAGCGTTCAGTGTTAGTTTTTTGAGTTTTATCGTGAGATTTTTGTTGATACAGCTAGATTGAAACAAAGAGATCAAATTGGATGATTTAACAATATCAAACTGAGGTAAGACAATTTTCTTTTGTTACGTTAATTCCACGGTAACTTGAGTAGACTCTTTACATTATTTCACAGTATGTTTGTGATAATTTTTATTGTGTTTCGTAATTGAATGCAGCTACGACCAATGATAACCTAACATATAGAGTTATGTTTAGATATTCCTAATAAAATGTTTTATTCTGCATGTTATGTGGTTTATGTACAATTTGAATCATAATCAGATTTAGAACTTTAGGAAAAGTCTTATCTGAGTTTATTAATCTAAATTCTTAACTATTTATAGCCTTTTAGTTACCAATCAAAAAGTACTAAAAACAATGTTTCTTTTATGAAACTACAATAAAATCAGGATTGTTATTGATTGCAAGATAAACAGTTTTTATATATAACACTATTAAATATCTTTAATAATTATTCCCTATATATTTTTAAGACAACTTAAAACATAAAATAATCTTATAGGTATATATACAACAACAGACACAACTAGTTTAGTATATATACACAAATATTGTTATATATATAGCAATAAAATTGGGTAGATGATAAATAAAAAGTGCATTTATTTTGTAGTATATCATAAACATTATAAATAAGTTATAAAAGTAATACTAGCTTATTATTTACTCATACTAATAAAAGTTCCTGCCAAAATTCAAGTTAGAATGTAGTATAAATCTTGAATTTCATGGTTTTGTCTTGTATTTAACACCAATAACAAACTGTACAAGTTATATAAGCTTGTAATTATATGCAATACTTCTCATAAAGCTTGGCTTAGTTTTTTTTTTACACTATTGTTATTTCATATCTAGAAAAGAGCTGAAGATATTCAAAAGGAACATTTATATAAGTTATAGTATAATATTTCTTATCTTAAGCAAATTGTTTTTGTGTGTGTGTACAAATGCACAAGACAATAACTATATTGGGCTTAAATTTATTTGAAAATTTTCTATATTAACTGGAAATGTGTTTAGTGGATCATTTAATCATTTATAAAAGTGAAAAATAATAATATACATATGTTATAACTGGAAGAGAGACTTTGGGTCTCTTAAATTTCTCTTGTGAAAATATTGAAATTTATTCTATTTTAAATAAATTTAATACTTTGAAATGTTAGACTTTTAAGAAAGAAGAAAGTTACTCTGTTACAATCAAGTTTACTAAGCTATAGATAAAAGCTAGTAATTTATATAATTATTTGATCTTCAGCAAAATTCCTTTGGTTTCACTCATTTTGAAGGTCTATCTATAGTTTTCGGTTATTTATTTTTTTCTATGAACATCATCAAATAGTTGTATAGGATTATTTTCTGTAGTAATTACTTCTAATTGCTGTTTTAATAAAATAATCTGTTTAAAATTGTGTACCAGAGACATGTTCTATAGTGGTTTATATAGTTGTTTTAATATACTTAAATAATCATGACATTTATTACATTTGTAGTCTATTATTCTATTATATTATATACAGATCTATGTATTTATATAATACATAAGGAAAGTCATTTATTATTATATAAATAACATGTAATGCTGCAGTACAATTTGCATAATCTTCATTTCAATAATAATAGTAAAATAGTAAACCTTATCTCTTGAAACATAACAAATTTATGTGCTTCTGTTAATTTTCATCAATATCTTATTTATATTGTGATAAATAATTATTGATTTAAATCTAAAGTTTGAAATATGTCTATATTTTGTGGTATCTTTTTTCTCTAGAAGGTTTTGTGTGGCTGTCACATATATCATTATTATAAAAACCTTTGTTTTGCTAAACTGTACCAAATTATCGAAGAAAAAAATATATCAATTGCATATTGATTATTACAAATTTTTATCAAATTATGTTAATAGACATTCCTTAAAAAATTGTACCCGAAAGCCGTTTTAAAATTAAATAATAAAAGATATTCAGTTGAATTTTGAATAACAGTTGTCTTTCTAAACAAAGCAAAACATGATACTTTATTTGTGTTTTTGCGGAACCATGTAAATATATAATATAATAAAATATATTATAGTTCAAGATTTAATCAATATTATATGATGAAATTGTTTTAAAGATAATGATAGAAGGATATTCCTGTGTTATAAGACCGATTTCGAAATACAACCTCATTTCTTAGTATTCGTATTAATCACCAGTTGCATGAAACCAAACACTCCCAATTGCTATATATAAATTTACTTTAAAATATTTATCTTGTGGGCAATTTATACTCAGTATAAATTTAAAAACTAATGTTCTGTTTATATTATTTAGTAGAGTTATAAATTATGATCAATATGTTTCCCAAAGAGGGTTGATGTCAGGCAGGCAGCCGGTCGTAAAAACAATTAGCAAAAACTATTCACAACCTGTAAGGCAGACCCTGGCTAGAGCTGGGAAATTGCCAGGTAGAAGATTAATTATGATTAATAATTCTAAATTCTCTGTTACTTGCTTCTTATTTTTATGTTTTATTTATTTTATTTACTAAATAATATTTTATGTATAGAGCTAAGCGAGATGAGCTCGCCACCGCCTATGCAGCTGGAGGTGGAAGTGGGAGACGAATCTATGGAAGAGGATGGGGCAGAAATGATCACGCCGGACATGTGGTATGTTTATATAATACTTACTTTACCCATTACATTAGGAAAAAATTAATGACGTATGGTACGCCTTCATTGTTGATTGGTTGTTTAAAATAAGCCCTTCATCTGTGCAAGGACGTGCACAGTATAATCTGCCAGTTTTGTGTAGAAAGAAGACAGGATTAACTTTTAAATGAAATAAAATTTATCGGCCACTACTGAAGTCACAATTAGATGTTTTCGTTGTTGTTTTGTTAACAGAAGGAAATGCCACGGATTATTGTAATTGTTATAGTAATGTCAAATAGATGCGGTATTCGGATGGATGAGTTTAAAAAATATTTCAAATATGATGCAAGTCGATTTTTAAGAAAAATGTTCGAAAGTTTATGACAAAATATTTGCAGACGCGAGTAATTTGGTATCTTAATTTAGAGCATCAATTGGTAATTATTCTGTTAGGGACAAAAACATTTTGTATATCCAATTTTAATTGCTCCTTCTGTATGTACGATGTTCATATGTTCTTACATCAAATAAATATTCTTATACAAAAATAGTGAAATAGCACTAAAATACGTAGTTTTTCCAAAAATGGCCTATTATTATGGATATTTGTGCGGCGCTGTCCATACCAGTCATATTTCTGTATTCGCCAGTTTTAAAGCGCACTATATTAATAGAGCTTACGGTGCCTTGGGAAACCACCATCCCCAAAGACCATACCATCAAGGTCAATACGTAATAAGGTCACTAACAAGTAACAACCCAACTGGGAATAGGTTCGTTGTAAATTTGTACGCGGTTAAAGTGGGAGCGAGAGGTATAACAGCCAAATCTCTCTACAACCTACTAAAAGACTTGGGCCTGTCCAAAACTAACATGAATACATTCTTAGAATGTACTTCGAAAGTAGCTCTAGTAGGTTCGTTTCAAATATGATTAGGTAGGGAGAGTAGCTTGGACGGTAGAGATGAGCATTTAATGCGCGTTACATAGGGTCTTAAACCTACACCTGGGTCGCAAGTCCCAGGCACTGTTGAAGCTCCTCTCCCTGTAACGATAGACCCGGCACCCGCACCGTGAATATATTGAATGATGAGAGGTTTCATCTGTAATGTCAAATATACATTTATATTTAACAGTATTCAGAACACGTGTCACTCTATTTTTATATAGGCACAAAATAACGCATTCATAAAATTATACTCATGAAATGTTTTAATTAGATATACTTCGCATTGAAATATATGTATATTACAATCGAAGGAAGGGAAGATTTATTTACTACTAGTTTATGCCCGCGACTTCGTCCGCGTTAGTTTCGTTATTAGTAATATATGTATATCTGACCGGGCGAACTCTATTTTTTTTGAGAGGCCATTAATAATCAGGTTTCTCCTGTTTCAATCGAACAGAATGATTGACATATTAGTTAGTTGTCAAATCTAATGTAAAAAAAAAACCGATGGGAAATAGAAAAGGGCTGTTTTTATGGTTTTCCCAGTAATGAATCAATTTTTTTCAGCTTTTATACCTTCCCTGAACCTCCACGAACATTTCAAGACTAAGATAAGATAAATCCGTTCAGCTGTTCTCGAGTTTTAGCGAGACTAAGGAACAGCAATCCATTTTTATATATATAGAAGATAGAAGATTTTACATAATAGTACTTCGTTTCCTATATAAAGTAATTATAATTATGTCATCTGTACTAATCTGTCAAATGTACACAGATAATCTATACCCTTGTCATGATTAATTCTCCTTCTGCCACAAGTCATGCCTACTGAATTTATTAGGCATACTAGATCAGATGCAGAAGATTAAAAAAATATGTTAATTAACACATTGTTTAGTAATTTATACATATTAATGATATATTTTTTTAATGCTCAATGCATTCAGAAAATTAATGTATGCCAGTTAAAAGTGAAATTGAATATTTCATTTGACACAACGCACGTTCATAAATAATATAAACTTAGTGAAATCAAAGAAAATAGAAAAGACAGCCTTCAATGCTTGTTACAGTAAAATAGGGGGTAGTTTTATTTTAAAGGCTGTTGTTAAGATAGTGTTATCCTGGCTACTTCCGATACTACCTTGATAGTTACTATGCTTAATCTTTTTCATATATATATATATTTATTTTAACTCAAATAAACATTCACATATGTGTATGAGTAAAAAATTAATCAATGGAAAGTAAGAAGTGTTGGAATAAAATAAAAATATTCGATACAATAGTTCAATATCAATACATAAAATCAATACAAAAGCTTTGTTAGGAAAATATACTTTTGTTTAAATTGTGTACTATAAATGAAAATTTAAATAGAAATAGTAAAATCAACACAAGTATTGCATGCTTGAATTTTATCCTATCCCTACTAATTTTATAAATGCGAAAGTAACTCTGTCTGTCTATCTGTTTGTAACGCTTTCACGCCTAAACAACTGAACTGATTTTAATGAACTTTGGTACAGAGATAGAGTTGACCTTGAGGAAGAACATAGGATAGTTTTTATTCCAGACTTTTTAAACGTTTTCTTGGAAACGCGATATAACCGAACTCCACGCGGGCGAAGCTGCGGGCGGAAGGCTAGTTATTAATGTATTTATCTGTCTATCTCTAACTATATATTATTCTATATCTATGTATTATATTAATTATAAAACATTACATCATACTCCTATATTTATGTATTACGTCACACTGCATACACGCATTGTAGCTTCGTCGACGTTTTTGCATATTTTCACTTATATTATATTATGAACTAATTCTTATAATTATTATTATTATATTATGAATTAAATGCTTTATTATTTTATTCATGAAGATTCGTCTCATTAGTACAATAATTATTGTAATTCAAAGACGGAATTAATTTATGTACGTACTGATTATATAACGAATTTATATTAAAATTATAGGTATATTTTAATTATTATCAATATATATAATATAATGCCGTAATATTTATGCGTGTTAGTTGGGTTAGTTGAGATGTTAGTTATTTTTATCTAAGCTTGCTTGAAAGACCTTATATACTCTAACCGCTAGTGTGCATCCAACTTGATATAGTCATTTGTTTTTACATTCATAATGCAATATTATATATACTTAAGTGCAGTGAAATCTCGCGGTCAGAAAACTATTAATCGACCAGCATTAAGACTGAATAAGAAATTAAATTGAAGAAGTCATCTATAAATATTTATATGTACATATATAATATTTGAGTGTCGAAAGTTTTGTTTGTTGTAATACAGTCTAATTATTCTATGTACTTTGTTTGAGAAGCTTTTGTTCAAGACTTGTTGAGTTTGAGCCTCGAGTAGTAACGGACACGTGTATCAAAAACAAAGCATTCCGAAAAGCTTTGTTTAAGTAAAAAAAAAAACAAAGTATTTCCGAAAAGCTTTGTTTAAGTAAACGTGTTTTCTTTAATGGTCGCAATGTCACGAAGGTCTTGCGGGGGATAGGTGGAGTTATTATCTGTACTTGGTGAAATGCCAGCTTCCGTGTTCACGTACAAGCTGTTGTGTATCTTAATTGTATGTGATTAAGGTGTAAATTTAATTGTGCTTTTATATGTTATGTTTTTATTTATAATCTTTATGAAGTATGTGATAGTATGAGCTAAAATCGGTGACTGAAGTATGGCTACCCAACTGTATGCAAATCGAAAGATATTATTACAATTTTATCGCATATATGGGAATACCAATAGAAGCTTGTTATTTCTTTATTTTGATTAATGTTGAATGTTCTGTGATGTTTATTGCCATAGACAATCGGAACTCTACTCACTTTAAGTTTAATACCTTAGTACTTATTTCGGTGCGACTATTAAAAATCTTAATAAAATTAGTGATCTTTTTTCGAAATCAATACATAATACTTATTATAGGATCCTAGACGAAAATGTCTTGATCTAACTATTCAACAAATTGTACGATTTTTTTTAAATTAAAGCATATTCATGTTTTTTTATTTATTTTATAAGTACGCCATCGTTCTAATAAAAGATGCGAATGAGCAATAATACCAATGACGTAATCACAATAGTGACGTCATAATTCATGACTTGACATGTTTTTTTTGCATCTTTCATACTTCTGTAACCTCATTTTAAAGCTCATATTCCCTTGAGTGAGCGATGAAAATAAAAGTACAAAGTAAAATCAATATTATATCCTAATCGAACGCTCGAATGCGTTATTAAAAAAAACAACACGGGTTCATTGACCGCGTTATCCTAAATATCCTTTACCGATATTTTTATATCGCCTACATAAAGTGTAGTAATTATGGTTATAAAGTTTTAATTGAACGTTTTGTTCAATACATGTGAATGTTGCCAATACAATTCGCAGAATTGTTTATTTGTTTTCTTATACATCTCGATTATAAAAAATACATGTACTGACTTATTATATTACTAGCTTTGCGTACGCAGCTTCGCCCGCGTGGAGTACGGTTATATCGCGTTTCCAAGAGAACCTTTCAAAAGTCTGGGATAAAAACTATCCTTTGTTCTTTCTCGAGATCAACACTATCTATGTACCAATTTCATTAAAATCATTTCAGTAGTTTAGGCGTGAAAGCGTAACAGACAGACAGACAGAGTTACTTTCGCATTTATAATATTTGTAGGGATGGGAAAATATTGTATTTGGTTTATAATATAACATTTGTATGTATAATATTAGAACTTTTGCAACGTGAATTTAACATGTACAGTGTGCTTGTACCTAGCCTTATTATAACACAATAACTTGACACTGACGTTTATATTGACGTTAATCGAAAACTAAGTTAAATCCTTTTTAGTGTTTAATATGACATTGTCAGAATACACTCTACCCTTGTTTATAGGTATGCCGTATGGAGTCCATATTCAAAACAACCAACCAATCTTTTTTATTGTACAGATGATTAAAATGATGACGTCATTAGGGATGCACTCCTCTTTTGTACTTTATGTATAGATGGAAACATATCTATCTACGTATGTGTATATAATATATAACAATATTTTTGAAGTCTTTCGTTAAGAGACTATCAGAGGAATAAACTAAAACCCCAATAAACGGATATTTTCATACATTTCCATAAAGAGATATTCAAATTACACAATCCGGAATGAATTATCTCTTTACTCTTACTTTTCTTATTACGTTACGGCTTACGGTAAACAGCCATTATATATACACTATTCTATGCTGCCTTTTGATATCTCGCGATCATATTAATTTAAAAAAATTACAATTTAAGTAATTTTGTGTAAAATTTATAAAATAAAAATGAATAAATATTTCCACATTCAATATAACTTTTAACTGAAGAAACTTAAGTAAAGACTATATTATAGTCATAGACAATATTTTATAATTTCATTTGTTGTTCTATCTTACCTTATTTTTGCTGTTTGAGACATAAAAAAATAAAATGAATATAAAGCTATAAAGGCGAAGGTAACTTTAAGAAATCGTTTTATTTTTAAATATACGACGCCGTGTCGTTGACCTGAGAATTTAAAGTAAAAGTGTTTAAACGAATAACGACCTTATTGCTTGTTAAGCATTAGTACATTTTTTTATTTTCCTAATTAAATATACTTAGGTATACTGGGGTATTTTATCTTTAAGAAAATAATAATTGCATATTATTGCTGCATGTCATATATACATATTTTATTACAACAAGTCTATTTTTTGGTTAATGGATACGTAACTTAATAGGTAATTGAAATTGCACCATAATTTTTTGATAAAGTCAAAGTATTTATATAAAAATTGCTTTAAATGTACGCGATGTTATTGAAATTCAGAATATTAAAGTATATTTATTACCTGATAAAAATAATAGATTTTTTTGTAATACTTTGAATATTACTTTTATTCATAAGGTACATATGTTTTCTGACAGATTTCTTTATAGTAATTTCATTTATTTGTAAATATTATGCTATTTACACTTAACCAAAATGTCGGGCAGCTGTCATACGGATTTGTCATTGAAGAGGGAAAAATGAGTTGTAATTAATATTACCAGTGTCTAGACTCAAGTGCTGCTATGTGAGATGAATTTATATCGGTTTTTTAAATATATATTATAGAATATATATTTTGCAAATTAATATATTTATATTGGTATTTTATGAAAATTTAATATATGTATAGTTTGAATTTTTTAATACGATAGAAATTCAAATTATATCGTTATAGTACGTTAATTGTTGAGTGTGTTTATTACAGAAACCACTTGATCATTCTATTATTGGAACAGGTTTCCGGTTCCTGCTAAAGCTGATGCTTTGGTGAAGCTATGGCAGACCAAGATGGCGGAGGGGGTGCTCTCCCCGGCTCACTTCCAAGATCATTGGCGCGTTACTGTGCCCAGGATATATTCACCACAACCTAATAGGACTTGTCTAGGTATGAGTGTAACAATGATAATCATAAAAGATTGAGATAATATGGGGAGCAAACGAGCAGGCTAGCCATCTGATGGTAGATGCTCTTCACTGCTCATGAAAATTTGAGGAGCCAGAAAAAACCAGAGTGAATTACCGGCCGAAGTAGAAAGTACTGAGAAAAAGTACAGGATTAAGTACTTAGTCGATATAAATTCTTACAGGCTTTCGACTGTCCAAAATAATTTTGATTCTGGTTATGTAAGGCCGGTTGGAACTTGGACGGCTCGTAAAAAGAGTTTCCCTGCGACATCAAAAAAAAAAAAGATTCTGGTTACATATTTAAGAGTATTAACTCGCGTTGCTCGGATTAAAAGATGAAAGGAAATCTCTGAAATAATATATACGTAATAGAACAAATACAGACTTTTTTGCAGTTCACTAACACACCCAAATATCCTGTATATAAAATCATGTCAATATTTATCTTCGATTATTGTTTTTTGAAGATTGGTCGTTCGACGAGGAGATGGCGAATAAGCTGCTCATTCAGCCTCTTGAGCAGTTTGTTTGGGGCTCCGCTGAGAGCTCGGAACCACCTCCCAAAAGGCGCTCCACACTATGCGGCAGAGTTTTCAAGCAAGGGGAACCGGCTTACAGCTGTAGAGAATGTGGTAAGACAGAAAAACATAATACACCTTTCCTATTCATCGTAGCTGATAAAAAGATAAAAGGTTTTCGTATTATATGTATAACTTTCATTTACTCGTTTGTATCTTTAAGTATACAAATAAGGTATTAAATATCGTGTAAATAGACCTGTCCAAACTAGAAATAAGTTTATTTAGGTTAAAAAATATGCAGACCCAATTATGGAAAAAGTATACAAAAAAAGTTTCAATATAAAGAGACGATAATTATACATATGTTTTAACCTGATTAGATTAATTATAACAGATCTGCTACCACATACATGTATTATCATCCGGATTTGTCTGTTCGTTTCCAGGTATGGACAACACGTGCGTCCTATGCGTGGAGTGCTTCAAGGTGTCTCCTCACCGACATCACAGATATAAAATGGGTCAGTCGGGAGGCGGGGGATGCTGCGACTGTGGAGATACGGAGGCCTGGAAGAGGGATCCCTGCTGTGACTTACACTCGGTAAGGAGGGTAGTCGTGAAAAATTTATGATACACTAACTACCCGCGGATTTCCGGGATGTAAAGTAGCCTATGTGCTATTCCTGGACGTCAGCTTCCTGTATATAAAATTTTATCAGAATCGCTTCAGCCGTTTGAGCGTGAATAAGTAACAAACATACCCACACACTCTCAAACTTTCACAATTATAATATTAGTAGGATATACAGGGTGACTGGTGAATTACTATCGATAATTGAGGACGTGATATTTGACGATTATATATGACAAAATAAAAATTAATATAACATAAATATTAATAAACTTCTAAGTAAAGTTAACCAAAAGTTATGTAATTAATTACGCATCGTATGCACACCCTACATCGTGTGAACACGCGTAAGATCGGTCGCTAGGCGAGCGCGCGGGAAGACGGACGTACAGACCTTACGCCGGCGCTCGCCCGACTAATTAGCCACGGGGCGGAGGTTGGGGGTAGCTACACACGCGTGCGGCGGCGTGGTGTTGAATCAGCACGCCGCCGTACGCGCCGCCGGCAAGGTGTCCACACTTTATTTATTTATACGGAAATTTGGTCAAAAATTAAGTACCTATTTTTTTTACATAATTCGAAACAGAATCATTTACCGAGTATTCTCCTTAAATATTGATAGTAATTCACCAGTCACCCTGTATAACTAGCTGACCCGGTGAAAAATGTTTTACTTTATAAAAAATAGAGGTTGGTTATAAAGTAAAAATTTTGGTTTGTATGTATTTTTTAATGTTACATTATAAAAAAAAATTAAAACAAAAAATTTGGTTAAAAAAAAAAATTAGTGGTGAACAACACTTATGACTTAGGGGTATGAAAAATAGATGTTAACCTATTCTCAGACCTACTCAATATGCTCACAAAATTTCATGATAATCGGTCAAGCCGTTTCGGAGGAGTACGGGAACGAACATTGTGACACGAGAATTTTATATATACGATTTTTATGCCATAATGTTAGTTACTGCACTTCTCCGAAACAACTTTACCGATTTTAAGTAGGTTTGAGAATCGGCTACTATTTTTTTTCATACCCTTCAATGATAAGGGTTGTTCACCCTTAATTTAATACAGTGTAAACTGTATATAACAACACTGAAGGGACTGTGCATTTTATAGCGTTATAGAGAGTTGTCGTTAAATAGAGAGAAGAAAAATCACAATTACAAAAAGACAAAGTTTATTTCAGACTAGTGTTAGTACTTATGTACATAAAAAAGAATGTTATTCGAACGCTATGGCGTATAGTCTGTTATTTTTGTTTGACGCGTTTTGCTGCACCAGTAATGTTGTTGTATTTTTTTATAATTATAATCAATATTCTTTAATTTTCCAGGCTAAAGATAACGAAGAACAGGCTCAAGCCAGTATTAGCCCGGAAGTGTTGGAGCGTATGAAGATTGTAGCGTCTGTGTGTTTACCGTACTGTTTCCGTCTCCTCACCTTCGACCACGCTCCTGGACTGCCCAACGATCTGATGTATGAGAAATAGGATTCTTTGTAATATTTTATAAGTAAAAGTCTCGAAGGTTTTTATGTAACATCAATAGTATTATGTGCTCAATTAATCAGTATTTAATTATGTAGTATTTTTTAGCAGAAATTTTTGTAAAGAGCTGGATTAAAGATTTCTTGATGTTGCATATAAAATTTTATGTATGTATATTTTAGATATGAGGTAAATGATGTTCAAATCACAGTAATATATGGTATGGTAATGTTAAATTTTATTATGAATCTTGTGTGAGATTCATATAAAAATAGTTTAGACCATATATTCATGTTTTGTAGACTTCAAATCAAATTGAAAAAAAAAATGTCATTTATAAAATATCTGGATCGTGATAACCCCAAGGTAACAGGTTCGAATCCTGGTTTTGACCATAATTTATTCTATTTTGAGTGTAAATTTAAACACCATCAATATTTTCTATTGTATTAATGTGAACATTCTGTATATATTGAACTTATTTTATTACAGACTCAAGGATACCGAGAGAGACTTACTTCAGATCTTAGATCAGCCTGATTGTTACTGCACCGTGCTATACAACGATGAGACTCATACCTTTGAACAGGTATTTAAAGACATTCAACTATATAAATATTAAGCGGTCGTAGGTTGGTCTGTTTGTTCCAGTTTATATTTGAATTGCTAAACAAATATAAAAGACTTGTAGAAATGTGGTTTTATGAATATTACACTATAAATCCCTTAATAGAATAAGATATTGAAATTTTTTAATAATAATTTTGTAACAACCCTAATAAAAATAAAAGTAACAATGACACAATCCTTAAAATACGTTTATAATTATTATGTGTCACTCACAACCCTATATGTTATCTTTGTGTGTCATAAATCGTAAGTGACAACCCTATATGTTATAATTTTGTGTCAATCATAAATTATAAGTGACAACCCTGTACATTATCACCCAGGTGATAACGACTCTGATGCGTGTGATGAAGTGCACCCACCGTGACTCAGTCGAGCTGGTGAGCCTCATAGACCGCGAAGGCCGCGCGCTGGTTAAATGCAGCTCCTTCCAGATAGCTGACAAACTGAAGAATGACTTCGAGATGTGAGCACACACACTTATATACTTCACGCTCACACACACACGCACACACACACACGCACACACACACGCACACATATACACACACACAGCTGTCTGTAATAAAAATCATTTACGTGCACACCATGGATGCAATTAAGCACCCTTAACCTGTCCATACAACAACTAAATCAACATTGTTTAACTTTTTCTTATATAGTATATACACCTTTTAATCATATATTACACTGGTCAACAAAAAAATAAAAGTTGTTTGTTTCCTTTAATGTTTTTCTTGTTTCTATCTTAAATTGACATATATTTTTTAAATTTCGAAACAGTTTTCCTCTAACAGCTTTTGTTTTTGAGTTACAGCTAACTAACCCTCATTTACTACTTTCATCTACATATGCATTTTTTATTCGACACTGCAACATATTTTGTTGCTGTTTTCGACATGGTTTCGTCAAGAAGATGTTGTGTGCTTAATCCCGACTCTTTTTGCTATATTTCTAGTGAATATGTATTTGCAAAGTATCGAAAACCTATGTCGAACTTGTGAAAAATGTGTATCAACAATACTTTAAAATAAAATTGTTTAATCAGAACAAGCCGTGGTTTCCTCATGTTGTATGTGAAAAATGTGTTGTATGGCTACTATTGTGGTCCAATAGAAACAGAGATGCAGTAATATTCGAAACACAGGTGGTCAGGTGCGAGAACCTTAAAACGATCATGACGACTGTTACTTCTGCGTTATGAAAGTAAAAGAAATTAATCCTGGCAATCGAAATAAGTGGCCACATCCTAACTTGTCTTCTACCCAACGACCCCAATTAAAATTATGAGAGGTACAACCTGGCAAATCTAAATCTTCTGATGACCCGAATCCCTGTGAACCCGAAGGAAATTCATGAAGTGAAGATTTTTATTCAGTCTACAAATCTAGCCAAGAACCTCAAGAACAGATCACGTAACTCGTGAAAGATTCTGATTTTGTCAAATCAATGACTAAAGTGGAATCGAAACCTTAGAATTCATTTTTTTTGGTTATTAGTAATTTCTTAGGCAAAAATAAATCTGACGACTACGTGGAGCTTGTTGAGGCCAAGCTATCGAATTTGAAACAACTAGGGTGCAACATTAGCATAAAAATCCACTTCCTGCGCTCGCATTTAGACCGATTTCCAAAAAATCTGGATGATTACAGTAAAGAGCAGGGTGAAAGATTCCTCCAGGGTCCAGGACATTGGAAGGGCGTTATCAGGGGCGGTGGGACTCACATATGATGGCAGACTACTGCTGGAGTTTGCAACGAAATCTATCTGAAGTCGTTCAGTCAAGAAATTCCTATAAAAGATCATTTCATTGTATTTTATAAAACATTTTATATAATTTTTCTGTATTTTTGGTCAAAATAAAAAATATATGTATTTCAAAAAGTAAAGCTGTTAGAATTTTTTTAGTATTTTTTTCATATTCAGGGACATAGAAATAACTAATAACAGTGAAAAAAATAAAGGAAACAAAATATGTGTTGGGCAGTGTTATGGAAGACGAATGTTAAGAGACATTTAATATGTACTTAGGTTCATGAAATTATGTTGAAAATATTTTTTTCTTTCAAATATATGTTCTGCTTACCCTACTCCAAATCTCTGTGCTTGACCTTTATATTAAATTATATCAAATCACACTAGTATGATTTAAACTTATGTGTGTGTAATTGTAGTTGCTTGTTTACACAATATATAAATAATATGTATGTATGTAAATAAATATACACTTACTTATGTATATTATTTATTCATATGTATGTTTGTTTCAGTTTTACATCTCGTCATGGCCCAGCTCTCAAAGTGTTGGTGATGCAGGCACACGTTATCGCTCACCAAACATTCGCTATGAAATTATTGAATTGGTAAGAGTACTCCACTTTTATTAAAAAAAAAAAAAACATTAATGTCAACCAACTTACACAGGGGAATTCCAATAGAACAATAGGAGGAAAAATTCCTTCAAACCTGGCAAGTACCAATGTGATTTTTCGGAGTCATATGTACTTTCTGAGAGTATTTAGACACCACTGACATACGGTGAAGGAAAACATCGTGAGTAAACCTGGACTTATAGTTTCACAATTATAAGTTTGAAATAACCAACCCGTCTTGAGCAAGTGTGGTGATTAATGCTCAAACCTTCTCCATGTGAGAAAGAGGCCTTTGCTCAGCAGTGGGCTTCTGATAGGCTGATGACATGAGGAAAAATTTATTAATATATTTTTATATGTACGTGTTTCAGGCTTCAGAACTTCGTAAGCCAAGAACAAAGTCTTCGCCTAGCGGTTTGTCAAGTAGCATTAGGTGAAGAGACCGGTTTATCCGGCTGGGGTCTGGCTGGTACATCAGGAGGAGTGGCCGTTGGTGTGATGCAGAATGACTGCAAGATGTGGAAAGCTGCTAGAACAGCGTGGCATAGACTACTCATAGCGACTACATTAATGGACTACTCCACCAAACGAACTATGGCTATACTGTTTACTAAGAATTATGGTTAGTTCTAAAATTTACACTATTTGTGCCTTTCCATTAATGTAACTAATTGGAAGTCAAGTAGTTGTAGAATGAATGAATATAAATTTATTTTACACTAGTTTTTGCTTGCGAGTTCGTCCGGGTTAATTTCGGAATTGGTAATATATGTATAGCTGACTGGACGAACTCTATTCCGTCTTAGAGGCCATAACAAGAATGGAAAATATTGTTTTTTTTTTCGATCGAACAGAATTAAATATCCTATGTTTGTCTCCTGGTTCTAAGCTATCTCCCCGCCAATTCTCAACCATACCCCTACGTTCGTTTTTGGGTTATAAATAGTTTAACTAACACGACTTTCTTTTATATTTTACACTAGCTTTCCGCCCGTAGCTTAACCCGCGTGGAGTTCGGTTATATCGCGTTTCCAAGAGAACATTTCAAAAGTCTGTTATAAAAACTATCCTCTGTTCTATCTCAAGGTCAACTCTATCTCTGTACCAAATTTCATTACAATCAGTTCATTAGTTTAGGTGTGAAAGCCTAACAAACAGACAGACAGACAGACAGAGTTACTTTCGCATTTCTAATATTAGTAGGGATTAAGTATATATAATATTTGTTAATGTGTCCACAGCTACTATAATGAAGGACTACATCCGTGACGATCACGACCATTCGTTCTCCATATCTTCATTGTCCGTGCAACTCTACACAACACCGACCTTGGCTCATCACCTCATAGCCAAACATGATGCGCTCTTCGTAGTCATGAATACATTCGTCAGTGAATGTACCAGGAAATGTAACGCTGAGGTGATTATATAGAACTTATACCGAAGTCAATTTAAGTATATTTACTTGTATGTAGATTTATATGTAGAAGTTATGAATCTGATAAAATATATTCCCAAATCTTTAGTATCTAATTATCATTTAATGAGTATTGTTAACTAAGTAGCTATATTGAAGTCAGTGGTGGCCTAGCCTCTCATGCACGAGGGCGCGGGTTTGATCCTGGCCCTGACAAGTACCAATGTGATTTTTTCGAGTCATATGTACTTTCTAAAAGTATTAAGATGTCACTGATTAATGTATTCCCAAAGAGAGTTGTTATCAAGCAGGCGGCCGGTCGTAAAAACAAATAGCCAAAACTATTCACAACATGTAAGTCAGACCCTGGCTAAAGCTGGGAAATTGCCAGGTAGAAGAATTGTGAATCTGATAAAAATATGTGATGTGAAATTTGCTGTTGTGTTAGATAATAAATTAGTTGAGTGTTTATCTTTATATATAGTTTATTTAAATAGAATTTGACAATCTTGTAAACAAAGCAATTGACAACGATGACTGCGTTCTTACGTACAATGGAATGTCAGCCCTGATACTAATTACATCTTAATAAAGCCACCACTGTTTTTAACAATATTTTCGTCATCAAATAATTGTTGATTTCTATTGAAATCAACTATATACATATACTAGATTTCCGCCCGCAGCATCCCCGCGTTGAGTTCGGTTATATCGAGTTTCCAAGAGAACCTTTATAAAATCTGGCATAAAACCTATCCTATGTTCTTTCTCAAAGTCAACTCTGTCTGTACCAAATTTCATTAAAATCAGTTGAGTGGTTTAGGCGTGAAAGCGTGACAGACAGAGAGAGTTACATTCGCATTTATAATATTAGTAATGATAATAAACTGTTATATATTCTTCAGGGTCGCCTCGAGTTTGATCGTAACCACGTCCCGATGGGTTTTAAACGTGCCCAGTTCATTCTGTACGACGTGAAATACCTCCTAGGGTCTATACCGACGAGTTTCGATGACGACCTCCGCAAAGGGTTCCTGCACGGACTGTCGCTCATGATGAACCTGCTGGTCATGATGCAGGGTATGGACTCGGTAGTGAGGCAGGTGGGTGGAGAAAGAATAATCTTTATATGTATATATAATTCTTCTGTGAGTGTGTATGTCACTGAACTTCTCTCAAACGACTGGACCGAATAGGATGAAATTTTTTGTGTGTGTTCAAGGGGATCTGGGAATGGTTTAGATTTACAATTTTGTCCGCTGGACAATGTTTTTTTTAATTAATTTTTAATTTATTTAGTAGTTGTTGATACAAACGTTTTTGACATTAGATTTGACAACTAACTAATATGTCAATCATTCTGTCGCACTTATGGCTTTAATAGGTAAACTCCAAAAATATAAATAAAAAAACGTTACAGATATTTCCTGATTATAGGGCGATACGAAGTTCGCCGGGTCTTCTAGTATACATATATAAATATACAGTGTAAACTCTATATAACGACACTGAAGGGACCCTGCATTTTAGTGCGTTATAGAGAGTTGCCGTTAAATAGAGGGAAGAAAAAGTAGAATTACAAAAAGACAAAGTTTGTTTCAGACTACTGTTAGTACTTATGTACATAAAAAAGAATGTTATAAAGTCTGTTGTTTTTGTTTGACGTGTTTTGCTGCACCAGTAATGTTGTTGTATTTTTTACGTATTTTATTCATATCTTGCGATATTGAGGCATATTGGTGAAGAACGAATTTCTTAGAAAGTTTGGTATGCATGATTACGACAGTGGAGTTTATTGCGGGCTAGGATAACAAAGCGACAACAAAACGTACACAGCTGCGCATTTTTTACTAATTTTAGCAACTTAAAGGGTACTTTTTATTACTTTATTTTGTCGTTATTGAGAGTATGTGTGCCGCTATGTAGAATGTATCATTGTATGGTAGACAAGCTAAACCAACCAAAGTCAAATGATTTCGACGCTTTTAGAGTAAGAGCCCGGGGCCCCCAGACGTTACTTATTTTCTGAGTAACAAAAAGTATCGTACAGAGTAGAGTTATGGTATACGTTGAAGGTACGCATACCTGCTAACTTGGGCTGACGGCCAATTCACAGTTACCAGGTGCTAGAGGTACATAAAAATATTGGTCACTTTTCTTAAATTCTGAGAGCTGATTTTTATATATATTTTAAAAAATTCAATTAAAATTTAAAATTAATAGTGCCAGAACGTTTTCGTCGGCGGTAATTTACGCCAGACGCTTTAAAGTTTGGAAAAAAATAACGTAAGTTTACTCTAAGTCTGAATCTTGATTTTTATATATGATAATTTAGAAACTATTTTAACACTATTTCTATGCAGCCAGAAAAATTCTAGGGGCCAAATATCTCCCACACATATTTAAGATCCCAATGAGTATGCATAAGATCATTATTTACGAGGAATAAGAAACGTCTTTATCTCAAAGTTTACCAGGCTTTCATGCGATCACTGGCTGTGATTACAATCCTGCTTTTTTTAAGAAAGTTAAACAAAGGCCATTCAGTATTCTTAGAAAAAACGAAGAGTACCAAAAAGCAATTTCCAGATTTAGCGAACTGGAGTTATTCAGTAGTAATAGTGAACTTGAGGAAGAAACCTTCAATACCATCCAAAACTTTATTTGAAATGTTTATAACGTGGCCGGAGTCATTGATGTAGCTGCTGCAAGACTTCAATAGTTTATCAACACCTATACTGCTTCTGATGTAAATGAAGAGTTTATCCGGAAAAATATTAAAAACTTTGATGCGAGCAACTTACCACCGCGTAAGACTGAACTTCGACAGCAGTTCCGGAGAGCAAATTACATCGCTAGTCTCTGGAATTACTCCAGATATATGAAGTAATTGCTGATATGAAGGTGCTTGGTATTTTCAGACCAGAGAATAACGGATGGAAGCTAGAAGACAACCGATATCAATTTAATTGGTTCGATGGAGACCAATTACCGTCAGTGAATCGCTTGACAAAAACTTAGATTTTTTTTTATTTCTTTTATAAATGTGTAGCTATTTTACTTATAATTATGATATTTTATTTGATTTTACAGAGACAGAAACAAGTAATACTGATATTAATGATGATGATGATGACTTAGAGACTCAATACAATAATTGGCTGGATGACGAGTTCTCAAATACCAATGATGACGATGACGAATAGTAAAAACTAAAATTTAATTATTAAGAAAGAAAGTAATTCATCTTAAATATTTTTTTATAATATTTGTTCTACATATTTCTCTACGTTTTGTAGAAAAATACAAATAAATATTTTTTACAGGATAAAATGCTAGTAACAAAATTATTTTTTTTGTTACTTTTCGTACGAACCTTCCCACTCATAACTTAATAATTTTTATCATACTGAAATTTATAATTTGTAATTGGGCACTAAAATATGGTTTGATTATTATTTAAAAAAATTACAAGACTGAACTAAAATATAAATTCAACAGGCCTATGATATAAAACCGCGAAAACATAAAAATTAAAATAGTTTCTAAATTATCATATATAAAAATCAAGATTCAGACTTAGAGTAAACTTACGTTATTTTTTTCCAAACTTTAAAGCGTCTGGCGTAAATTACCGCCGACGAAAACGTTCTGGCACTATTAATTTTAAATTTTAATTCAATTTTTTAAAATATATATAAAAATCAGCTCTCAGAATTTAAGAAAAGTGACCAATATTTTTATGTACCTCTAGCACCTGGTACCTGTGAATTGGCCGTCGGCCCAAGTTAGCAGGTATGCGTACCTTCAACGTATACCCTAACTCTACTCTCTACGATACTTTTCGTTACTCAGAAAATAAGTAACGTCTGGGGGCCCCGGGCTCTTGGACTATTTAGAGAGTTTGTCGTTAAATCGAGTGTCGTTATATGGAGTTTACGCTGTATATACATATACAGGGTGACTGGTGAATTACTATCAATATTTAAGGAGCATACTCGGTACATGATTCTCATTCGAATTATGTAAAAAAAATAGGTACTTAATTTTTGACCAAATTTCCGTATAAATAAATAAAGTGTTGACACGTTCCAAGTGTTCCAAGTGTGGACGCGTGAGGAGGCGTGCTGATACAACAACACGCCGCCAAACGCGCGTGTGTGTGTGTGTGTATACCTAATCTGTAGGGTGTTCACACGATGCGTGATTAATTACATAACTTTTGGTTAACTTTACTTAGAAGTTTATTAATATTTATGTTATATTAATTTTTATTTTGTCATATATGATCGTCAAATATCACGTCCTCAAATATCGATAGTAATTCACCAGTCACCCTGTATATTATACTAGACTTTGAGATTGAACCGATTTTTTATGATCGTCTAATAGAAGATCTTCAAATGCAATCATTAGTATTTAAATATAACTAATATTTTCGGATTACTAAGTGTCTTGTATTATTTTAAAAAATATATTTTCAGCTTGTTTGCCCGTGATTAAGTTTGCTGTAAAGTAACTGAAAATAAAGTATGTAGATTTAAAATAATAAAATAACGCCTAGTAATCCGAAAATATTAGTTTTATTTAAACGAATACTCGTAAAATGCTTAGATCTCACAATTATTGACAATAGGGATCCTTAACAATCTTCTATTTACTGAATCTTGAAAGGCTAGAATACTCACTTCTTCATATCTATGTATTAACTGTACTTGTAATGAGTCCTACTAATAAATATAAGATTTTTGTCTCAATATACTTTAAGATAATATATACTTTAAAAATATTTTTTGCATCAGATTGGACAACACATGGAGTATGAACCAGAATGGGAATCAGCTTTCAATCTGCACGTGAAGCTTGCTAATAGTATAACGCTGGCGTTAGAATGGTGCAGCGTAGAACGGTCACTGGCTGCATCAGCATACCGAATGGGTCTTAGAAGGCATGCTGATAATTTTGCTGCCGGGGACAAGTATGAACTGAGAGGTAAGAAAAGAAATGTACTGAGATTATCCCTGTATTTATATTAAACAATATTATTATTTCATCAAGTGTCCATGAAATAAGATAAAAATGTAATATTGCATTATATTAAATTTCAGAAACTAACTTTGACATATCATTTATATAGACCTCATATTTTGCTTTCATATTCTTAATATAAGTAAATCAAGACTTCTTAAAATACACTTGTTTAAGTGACATACAAACAATAAATTGTTCCTATATTGTAATACTTAAAATAACTAAATATCTTCTGAATATAGTGTATAACCAAAAAAGTAATATCTATACGAATATGAAGACCTTAATTGATTTTGTCCTAATATCTATATTTCAGAGTTAGGTAATCAAAGTGCCTCAGTGATTCCATACGACGTTTCCAAAGAACCTGTGTCGGTTCATCGACCTCTGTCCCGTTTCATAGCGGGCCTACATCTACATCTTCATAGACACGGCCTGTCGTACCACAGCAAGGAGTTCGATAGACATGATAAACCTAAACCCAAGCCAGAAGAACTCATTGGTAAATATTTTACTATGGGACATAGGTTTTTATCTTCTTCTTCCTGGCAATTTCCCAGCTTTAGCCAGGATCTGTCTTAGGTTAGGTAGGTAAACATAGGTTTTTATACCTCCTGTTTCCTTAGGGCTATTTTTTGTTGTATTAGGGTATGTGTTACTTTTTTTGTGATATCAATAAGAAAGAACTTCTAGCGAACCTTTTATGTAACCGAAAGTTCCAAGAAAACTACGAAACTTGCTTATATGTATGTTATAATAAGATTTACATATTACAAATTATAAGCTATACCTAAGACTACATGATTGTCGATGTTAGGATAGCAATACCATTCCATAGCTTGTGTGGTATTAGGAATCTTCTAGTCCACGGCTTGGTGTTAATTCCGCGGAGTCAGCAACATCATTCATATATTTCATCCATAAAACGATGTTGCCCCGGCGATGTTCATTTATTTTTAAACGGTTTTATTTAGTTCGCCCCGTTTGTTTTATTCTTGGGTCAAATTTAGTAATTCAAATTTCACCCTCTTCCAGTCAACCGATTGATCTGAAATTTTTTATACACTTTGTATTTTGGTGTCTACAATTGTTAATTAAAATTTTTGTTTTGTAATGTTACACTATAATTAGGCAGTTGTAATTTCCATGAGCAAGAAAATAGTAAGTAATTTCCTCACCGTCTGCGGGCCAAATACCTAACGACGAATTAAACGATTCTTCTGTCGCACATTAAGTCGATAATTTGTAGACAATTGACCTGCCCCAAGCTTTTATTTTAGTCTAGTCTGAGCATATGTTTATGATTACTACGACTGTATCTATTTTATTATTTTTGTGTTTTTAGTACATTTATCTTAAACATTGCAATGTAGGTTTCACGTAAAACCGTTTAACTAAAAAAGTTTTTTTTACCTATTTTTTAATATGTAGCACGTACGTGACAAGCGTTACATTATTGTTTATTTTTAACACAAATACAAACATTTTAATCAAAGATGATAGAGATATTTTTGGTTACCCTAATGTTTAGTATAATGATTTTTCATTCACTAGAACCAGTGCTCCGTACTATGGCCATGATAGCTCAAGTCCACGCTGGTATGTGGCGTCGTAATGGGTTCGCTCTGCTCAACCAACTTTATTTCTACCACAACGTCAAGTGTCGCACCGAAATGTATGATAGAGACGTCATCATGCTACAGGTATGATCTATACTAACTTAAACTAGGTTTCAGTTATATTCAATACATACATAATATTTACAATACATGACTATAATACTTATATTTTGTTTATGTTTTTAAGTAAATTGCTTGTAAATTAATTGCTTTTTCATTATACATATTTTTTCCTATTTTTACGTACTTAAAGATGTAAATATAAGATATCTCTATAATGAAGTTGATGTTCGTTTGTGTATATTTCCGCTGCCTCCGTGTAGTCTGTATAACTAACTATGATCGTGATCGATCGTGATCGTGATTAAATGATCGTGACTGTTGTGAGAATAGATCTCATGTCAAGACTGATCAAAGTTGTTACAAAAACAGATATTTTTTAGAGCTCACATATAACTTAGTAATATTTTTCGTATAAGATTTAGAATAACAGTTGTAGAACATCTCTTCAGGGCTTCATATTCAATCTGCAAAGTTTCTTGACAGTCTGTCAGGAAAGAGTTTATCAGATATGTTTCTAAAGCCTTTTCTATTTGGCCATACTTCTTTTGTCAATGAGTTTTGGTGTAGATTGTAGATGATCTCATTGAATAATACACCAAAATGTAGATCAAGATCTTTTATACTGAATTCCAAGTTTTTTATTTATTCATAATTCAACTTGGTTTTTCTTGTATAGGCATTTGTCTATTAACTCAAGATTGTAGATTTTTCTTTTTCATATTTGTTATAACAGTATGTTTTATATAAAGACATTATTGCATTTTATTACTGGCTTTTATATGGTCTTACTTAATCAACTTAATTTTAAAAAGAAAATTATAATAAGTATAGTTTCTTTAATAGTACTTTTGTATTTCAGATCGGTGCTTCATTGATCGAGAGCAATGAGTTCATAATACATGTTTTGAACAAGTTTAATTTGTTAGACTGGGCAGCTAACGACTTTGAACAGCGGACCATTGAAGATGACACCCTCAGGCATACTATAAGCATGGTTGAGGAGTTCCTTGGATTACTTATTACTGGTTTGTTATTTGATATAGAATTAATGTTTAAAAAATTAAGTTATCACCTAAAATCATGAAAATCAGTAGAAAAGAAATTACATTCTTCACAAAAGTCGTGTATAATTTTAAAACAATTGTTCCAAATTATTCATATTTGATAGACAAACATATAAAAGAATTATAGAAATGTTTAATACATATTATATGGTATAATTTTAGTGGTTGGTTCCCGCTACGTGCCGGGAGTAGGCGAGGTGACGGCGGCACAAAGAACTAAGAAGGAAATTATACAGATGTTATGTGTTAAACCCATGCCGCACTCAGAACTGAATAGGTATGAAATTAGGCGTACTAAGGAACATGTGTGTATACACACACGCACACACACAGACGTCAGCAAATGCATATACTTGAACCCATACACACACACATTTATTCTTATATATGTCAAACATTAGCCTTTACCATTCATGACAGTAAATAGTGTTATATAGATGATTTTAAAATAATATACTTAATCAAATATGATAGTTTAATTCAAATACATGTTATGGTAATAAATGTAGTATATTTATTTGATGGTTTATTTTTATATAACAAAAATACTTATTACATGTAATGGTAACTTCCAGATCTCTTCCCGAGAACCAGTTGCACGAGACGGGACTCGAAGCCGTGATCAACGAGGTGGCTGACTTCGTGAAGCCGAGTGGCACTCACAACCGGGGACTGTACAAGCTGAAGCCGCACCTGTACGATGAATACGACACGTTCTTCTACCACTACACCCGGGAGGAGCTGTCGCGCAGCGAGGAGGAGCAGAGGAACAGGAGGAAAGCCGCAGGTAATATATATGTATAAGGAATATTATCGAGGGCTTTCAAAGCAACCCACGATTTGTTTCTCTGAAAATACAAAGATTTATTTTACTTAACACGCCTTTACAATATTATAACAATTATCGTTTAACAATGACAATTACACTTTTATCTTACCTGAAAATACAAAGAAACGACATTACAGTCCACTAATATCGTAATTATCGTATCGTAGTAATTCGCCATTAGTGAATAGTGACCCGTCTCTGGTCGACAAGTTACAAACGCGCGAAACGCGGCAAATTTGAATTTAATGAAATGTCATTTCATTACATATGTATACATATATACTAGTTTTTGCCCGCGACTTCGTCCTTGTCAGTTGCAAAATTAGTAATATATGTATAGCTCACTGTCCTAACTATTCTTCCCTATCGACAGTAAATAACCAGATATTGGATTATATTAGGTAATTTTTGCTTTTCAATCGCACATAATTATATATCCTATGTCCCTTTCGTGTTTCTAAGCTATCTCCAAGCTAGCTAAGCTAGCTCCAAGAATTTTCAGCAAAATTCCTACGGCTGTTTTGGAATTACAAATTATTTATGAGTTTAAATTAAAATAAGGCATAGTTTATAAGTTTCAGAATTATTTTAGTTACTTTAAGGTTTATATTTATTGTTGGTGGTGGGATTTTTATTAAGGGAACGATGGGACTGACATTTAGCTTTGCTGCTAAAAAGTCCCAAAATAAATTCAGAAAAAAAAAAAAAAAGAAATAGTGTAACTAACACAACTTTATTTTATAATATAAAAGATAGTAAAAAGTTCATGCAAGAAGTTTATTAGGATTTGGCGTTTAGAAACTATAAATATGGTTGTTAGAGTTACTTGGTTGAGTGGGTCTGAAAGTCTTCTTAAGCAATTATTAATGTTAATCACACAGAGTTAGTATATGTATACATATTTCATACTATTATATTTCACATACATTTCTCTTATCACAGGTCTTCCAGAGTGTTGTCCCCCTCCCCCCCTGCCGCTGCTGTCTCCTCCTTTCCGTCTGCTGGCGAATCTGCTGCAGTGTGACGCAGCACTACACGTTCTACGTGTGGTTTTGACCCGCGCACTCGACCTTAGGGCCAGGTCTTTCTCCGAGCCGCAAGTACACAAGGTTAGAGTGTATGGCATATATATAAAACTAGCTGTTACCCGAGGATTTACACGATTTCCGGGATGTAAAATAGCCTATGTGTCATTCCTGGACGTCAGCTTCGTGTATACAAAATTTGATCAAAATCAGTTCAGCCGTTTGAGCGTGAAGAAGTAACAAACATACACACACTCACAAACTTTTGCAATTATAATATTAGTAGGATTACAATAAGGGTTGAATAGATAATATCTGGTTTAGATGTTCTCGGTCCAAGAATAAATACAATAAACTGATTCACATTTCGTTTAGAGAGTGATCACGGTTGATGTAAAGTAACCGAAACGTCGGGAGTATGCAGTTAAATAAATACATCTAGCCATACGAAAATATTAGTTTCAGATCTCATCATTTAACTTTCAAACTAAATCCATCAAAATCGCTCTCAATATGTTTTTATTATTATAATAAATACATGTTATTCTTCAGGCTCTGCATCTGATAGGCTACGCTCTGCGTGATGAGGAGAGTTGTCACTACGAGTTCTTGGCGTTCGCTGAGAGTGCTGCTCGTAGTGGACTGATGGCGCTGCTGCAGAGACTTGCTGCTAGTCCTAGAGTAGATGCTCACCGACCACTCGCTAAGTGGCTGCTTAATAAAATGAAGTTTGTATTTCAAGTAATATTAAGTTGGTATAGCTTGGTAATATTAAATTGATTTAGTTAGAACGAGTCAAGCTGTGTAATGTATTTATGTCTGATAGTATTATTACACAATACATACTCGTACATAGTATTATATAAAGTAGGTACTATCTGGTATTATGTGCTTTTAACAACAATACTTTTAAAATTTTCTGTTTAAGACAAAAAAATATAAAAAAATATAAGCCAACAATATCAGATGATGGACATGCAATTGTTTAAAAATAATCATGTTAATTGTTGGAAATAAAACTTGTTTGATACATGTTCAGCGAGTTTTTCTAGATTTAAACATATTTATTTATTCCAGGTCTCTGTTGGGTCAGACCGATGACAACATGGGTGGTGATGAATGTATGGAGACTGATCAGGAAGAGAAGCCTCGCTCTGATGAAACAGCTGGTTAATATATTAATTGTATACATACTAGCTGCGCCCCGCGGTGTTACCCGCGTATTTCCGGGATGTAAAGTAGCCTATGTGTTATTCCTGGACGTCAGCTTCCTGTGTACAAAATTTTATCAAAATCGGTTCAGCCGTTTGAGCGTGAAGAAGTAACAAACATACACACACACTCACAAACTTTCGCAATTATAATACTAGAAAGATTATTTACTTTAACATGTGGCCTATGATTTAAACTTGATGTAATATTTAACCTTAGTTTAGGATTCATAAGTTTTGCCATTGATTACTTGAAAAATAATTTTATGCTAAGACAAGTCGATAAGCTTTTATTTTCATTTCATTTTTCAGAATATTAGGAATTAGATTATAAACACATTTATATGATACATGTTTAGATTTTACGTGTTTCAATTAGTAATACTAATTTGTTATTATATTTTTTATTTCCATGGTTATTTTTAATGATTTTCTCGAGTTTGTTGCCTTGAAGGATATGTATCTCATAATTTTTTTAGTATTTAACGATAAAAAAAAACTTAATTCACACAAAATAAAAGATTTCTATTCCTATTAGGAAGGAATAAAAATTGATATCACAGTAAATTCTCTTATTAAAATCTGAAATTGTGTGCTTTAAGTTGTGTTTATAAATAATACTTACAGACGCAGAGAAAGCTCGCCGCGCCAAGCTAGCGGCGGAACGAAGAGCTAAAGTTATGGCCCAGATGAAGGCTCAAATGAATAACTTCATATCAAACAACGCGACCCTGTTCAAAGAGACCACTACTGAGGTAGCTTATAATGATAATTGTACTCTCCACTGAACTTTAAACTATCAAACATTCATGGCAGTTTTTGAAATAAATTTAACATCTATACTAATATTATAAAGCTGAAGAGTTTGTTTGTTTGTTTGTTTGTTTGTTTGAAAGCGCTAATCTCCGAAACTACTGGTTCGAATTGAATAATTCTTTTTGTGTTGGATAGTCCAGTTATCGAGGAAGTCTGTAGGCTATATAACATCACGCTACGACCAATAGGAGCAAAGATATAGTGGTAAATGTGTAAAAAACGGGAGAAATTATTTCATCTTTGAAGCCTTCCATTGCGTGCGCCGTGAAAACGGTTCAAGATACACAAAAAATATGTATTAAAGAATAATATCTCTTTTGATGATCTAAAAAACAGTCCGCGACAGTATATGTCTATCTTTTAAGATTAACTCACAAAAACCGTTTTTATGGTACCTAATTTGGTCGAAATAATTTGTTTAAGTTGTATCAACATAATAATATTAAATATTAATCTTTATTCAAATAAACAAATAAATATGTTGTTGGTTAAGAGTACTTCATTGTGCATAAAAAAAACATAGGTTTTATCCTGAAAATTCTACGGGAACTCGACCATTCCGAAAACCCCGAAAGAACGGGAACTATGTGGGAAGAACCAAAAATCTGCCGGAAGTCACTATTCCAGGCGGACGAAGTCGCGGCAAAAGCTAGTACATAATATACAGCCAATCTGGGTAACTTTTTGACACTGTCAAAGTTACCCAGTTTCAGTTCAAAATACGTATCTTCATATTTATGCATGAAATTTCAAAATAGGACGTAATTATATGCAAATTTTTTATGAAAATGTGGTAGTAAAATCACAAATGGCTCTGTATAACATCTCACTTACCTTATCAGCAACCAAAATCACAAAATATTCAAAAAGTTATTTACCCTAAAATAAACTTAAATTCGCGCGCTATATTCAGAAAAAAAAGGTTTGACTTTTTTTTTACTTTCACAACTTACTTATTCTTAGGTGCGTTTAGGAAACTTGTTTAAAATCGCAAAACTAAAATAAATATATATGAATAGTGTTGGTTTCATGTGAAGAAATAATCGAAACTAGTTCATGGTCCTGCTGTCAAAGTTACTCAATGAATCAAAGTTACCCAGATTGACTGTATATACTCTTTATTGTACATAATATCATTCGATAGTATGGTAAAAAACATTAAAGATATAGTTTGTTACTCGAGTTGATAAGTGTTTTTATAAAGAATTTCTGGATCCGAATATATTTTATAAAAAAAGAAAAACCGTCAAAGTATTAGTTGTACTGTAGCAAGAAAGAAGAATTATCTATAAAAAATAAATATTAATTTTATTTGTGTTTCAACATCTTTAGTTATAGCTGCAATTTAATATAAAATATACAGGGTGACTGGTGAATTACTATCGATACTTGAGGACGTGATATTTGACGATCATATATGACAAAATAAAAATTAATATAACATAAATATTAATAAACTTCTTAGTAAAGTTAACCAAAAGTTATGTAATTAATTACGCATCGTGTGTTCACACGTATACCCTACAGATTAGGTATACACACACACACACACACACACGCGTGCGAAGGCGTGGTGTTGTATCAGCACGCCACCGTACGCGTCCACACTTGGAACACTTGGAACGTGTCCGCACTTTATTTATTTACACGGAAATTTGGTCAAAAATTAAGTACCTATTTTTTTACATAATTCGAATGAGAATCATGTACCGAGTATGCTCCCTAAATATTGATAGTAATTCACCAGTCACCCTGTATAGTCTGTGAAAATGTCAATTATATATCATGGTACATAACATTCAGCCTGATGACTTATAGACAATGGTTTTATACTCTATGCAGAATCCTAAAGAGATTCCTGATTTTTTTGCATATATTCTAAGTAATAAATATTAATTACTATTGTTGTATAATTTACAGGCGACAGAGGAGGAGGAGAAGCAAGATCTGCTGCCTTTATACCGGGGAGCGGCGCTGGGAGTGTGGGGAGGGGGGGTAGTAGAGCCGGTTAGGGTGTGCATCATGTGTCAGGAACAGGTATATACGGGATATATATACTATGTTAAATAAGTTACTAGAACCATACATTGGTAGTACATGTATTTAGGAGTATGTGTTGATGTGTAGACCACATTGATCTGTTTAAAAATAGTTTAAGTAAATTTTATCATCTTGTAAAAAATACTATGTATTTTAGGTTACATCAAAATTAGTCCACTTCCCCGTAAAAACAGTAGTGGAAACTTAACTGGCATAAGTGTCAAAATATGATTATTATATTAAGTTGTAATATACGATATGCTGTATGTTTCCCTAATAATAAATAAATAAATAAATGTGTAACAATTTCAAAGTGGTCTAACAATATTATAAAATTTTCTTAGTCAATTATATTTATCACCATGGAAAAGAATATCTAGATCAGTTCTGTTGTTTTCGTGGAACAAGCAATATATGTATTTAAAGCTTTGTTTTAAAGTCAGAACAAGCCATAGCAGTAATTTAAAGTAACAAGAATCACATTTTTTATTGCAAAAAGTATTAATAACTATTTATATTTCCAGGCTCGCGTTGAAGCCAAAGCCGAGCCGCTAGTACTAGTTGCCTTCGCTCAACACTCTAGCGTGTTGAATCGCCGCGGTGTGGGCGCTGGGTCGGGCGGCCCTGGCGGCGCTGGGGCTGCGGGGGACGCGTGGCGGAGCGCCTGGCCGCAGGCCGGACTGGGGGCGCAGCCCCACGTGTCGTGCTGTGGACACGCCCTCCATGCGAAGTGCTGGAGGAAGTATGTCGATGGAGTGCTTGACAAGGAGAAGCTTAGGTATGACTGTTTTAGAACTGTTTTTATATTATGTTGGTGGATAAGTTTAGTTGTTAAAGTTATATATTTTTTAAAATTGTCTATACATTTATTATATATATATTAGGTACGTATGAATTCGGTTTTACGGTTTATTTTCCAAAATTTAAACATTTCGATTGATTTCAATAGGACTTCAAAATCATGGATATTTTTTTATTATTTAGTATATACCTGTGACATAATTTAAATGTTCTTTGGTGACGTACCAGTACATCACAAAAGGACTTACATTTCTAATTTACCTGATGTTTCCAAATATTTTTAATGCCTAATCAATTTGTTATGTAGGTATGTTATTTGTCTAAGGTTAAGGGCTGTGTTCCGCGTAACATCTTTCTTCGAATAAAGCAATTAATGTGCAACTGACTTGTAAATGATAACTCCGCACGATACTTAACACCATTATTACATAGCTTTTTCTGTTATAATTATATTATATTATATTGTGTATCATATCATATATGTATATAATTGCAGACCTTACCGCATCCGTCAGCCGGCTGCTTTCGACGTGGAAAAAAAGGAGTACCTGTGCCCCCTGTGCGAGCGTCTGTGTAACACGGCGGTGCCTCTGCTGCCCTCCCCGCCCCTCCCGCCGCGGCCGCCGCCCTCCCTAACTGAAAACACTTTCACGGACGCAGCCGAGCTGATATTGAAGCTCAAACATCAGGTTGATATAGAACATGTAACGGATACCTGCTTTGAGTTCGTGCGACAGGTTAATATATAACACATGTGTGTGTGTGTGTGTCTGTCATCTGTTTAGATGTTGTCTTCTCTCTTTTTCGACCTCTTCACTGTGTGTTGATGTTGTGAACGAAATGTCAGTGGTGGCTTAGTGGTTAAAGGGCCCGCCTCTCGTTGCCTAGGGCGCGGGTTCAAACCTGGCAAGTACCAATGTGATTTTTCGGAGTCATATGTACTTTCTGAGAGTATTTAGACACCACTGACATACGGTAATGGAAAACATCGTGAGGAAACCTGGACTTATAGTTTCACGATTATAAGTTTGAAATCTCCGACCCGTCTTGAGCAAGCGTGGTGATTAATGCTCAAACTTTCTCCATGTGAGAAGAGGCCTTTGCTCAACAGTGGGCGCTGATAGGCTGATGACGACGAACGAAATGTTTGAAGCGTTTTGGTATTGAATATGACATTAATATCGGGAGCTATAATCCTAAGCTTTTAAATGTAGGTTAAGCTTTTCGATGTGACAATATTTATTGTAAATAACCAGACCAACTGACAGACACTCACATCTCGTCTCCCCGTGATCACGGTTGCTGATAAGTAGCCGAAACGTCGGGAGTATGTAGTTCATAATCAAAAATAAAAACGCGAAGTAAAATCCGAAAATATTAGTTTCATTTAAATGAGTACTCGCGAAAATCTTAGATCTCATTAATATTTATTTTATTGGGTTCATTATTCTTGTATTTGTTTAAGGATAGTTATCTGACTGACTAATACGTCTTATTCTAATATATAACTCAAATATTTAACCATGATACAAAAATTCGTCCTACCTATGTTATCGGCTAAGTTTTCAGTGACTGTCATTGTTATGCATGATCGATGTTATATATGATTTACATTATACATTGAATAACAATATATATATTATTTTCAGGTTTGCTCAGAATCAGTACGTCAGTGCACAGAATATACTCAAGAGGCGCCGTGTGCGGGGTCCCCTCAAGCTGAGGGGGCGGAGTCCGAAGGGGAGGAGTCTCCGGATGAGGCGGAAGTGTATGTGTCAACACATGCAGAGACTCTATTACCAAAGGAGTTCTTGGAACACTTCCATGAGAAGCCGAGGAAATATAATGATACCACAGCCGTGCTTATTGCTGAGTTTGCTGAGGTATATATGGCCCAATTTATACAATATGCTATAAGCACCTTATGTTCTTAAAAGAAATTTCAATAATTTTATTCAGAAAAAAACATATAATTTAGATCTTTATGTCAAAAAAAAGAAAATAATGTAGAATAGAATGTAAAACACAGACCCAAGAGTTTCATGTGAAGTTAAATCTAAATCTGGTTAAATAAAATGTGTTTTTTATATACATTTAAGTATGTATTAAATAAATAGTTATTAGAATCCTTCTCATCTTTCAGATGTTACCGGGAATCTGTGGTTTATCAGAATCTGGAGGTATGGTCCGTGTGGCTGCTTTATACCGAGCGACTTCCTACACCATCTTGAGCACTAATGTTGTTCTACACGCTGAGAACAGACCACTGTTAGGAGATCTGCCTTCAAGACACAGAGACGCCTTACAAGCACTCATCAGACTAGCGGCCGTCCTACCTCCTATATGGCCGACGCCTAAACATATTTCACACCACGCTCTCAGCTGTCTCAACACTTTAATAAAAACCTCTCCGCTATCACACGACGTTTTCGGAACATTAGTGGCCCTAGTGCTATCTGTTCCATGTTTGTTTTCCAAAAAAGCCGCCCCAGCCAGACCAACACATTTGACTCGACAAATAACATTGGAGGCTTTCAGGGCCACTATAACTAGAGCCCTTATAGCTTTAGACGTTACGAATTGCACCAGCGAACCGATGGAGGACACCGAACAAGCTATTAAACCGGACTTGGAAAATCTACTACCATTTATGAAAGAGCTCCGGCAAGGGAATTTAGATATAGAGAACTTAAGAGCTTCTGAAGTATGGGAATGTATTAAGAAACAGTGTCACGGTTTCCTTCGATGCTGCTGTCTGTTCTATCACTTCTTAAGCGACATCCAACCACCCAACGAACTAACTTTAGTAGGCGGCGATACCTGGGATATTATGTGCGGGTACTTAGACCTTCCCTATACATTCAGAGATCTCATCGACAATCCGCTCGCCAGGAACAAAGCAATAATGTGGTCTCAACTATCAACGGAATGGTTCAAAGGAGAGCTTTCTCCGCAAATAGTGCTTGAACCGAGTGAACCTCCCAGTTTAATAACACTACCGATGGACTTCTCGGAACTAATGAATGTAGTGTCCGAGTTCTCGTGCCCTAATTCTGAGCGTGAAGATACTAAAAACCCAACCATGTGCCTTGTGTGTGGACAGATACTGTGTTCGCAGAGCTACTGCTGTCAGATTGAAATAAGAAAGGTTTGTGACTTAATGATACTACTACTTATTTTTTTTCTTTATATATGAACAAGTAATTCAATATAAAGTAAAAGATATACGCTGAATCCAAATATTAAATATTATGTCCAATAAAATAAATTGCTGTACTTAATTAATTTACTAACTTTATGGTAACTCAATTGGTGATGCGACTGGAAACCGATTTCCCAGTACTTCAAATTCAAATCTTGATTGTGACCAAGCATTTCTCATTCTAAATCTTTATATATATAATTCTTCTGTGAGTGTGTATGTCACTGAACTTCTCTCAAACGACTGGACCTATTTTGATGAATTTTTTTGTCTGTGTTCAAGGGGATCTGGGAATGGTTTAGATTCACAATTTTGCCCCTTGGACAATGTTTTTTTGATAAATTTTAATTTATTAGTAGTTGTTTATACAAACGTTTTTTTTGACATTAGATTTGACAACTAACTAATATGTCAATCATTCTCTCGCACTTCAAAACATGGAAATTTATGGCTTTAATAGGTAAACTCCAAAAATATAAATAAAAAAACGTAACAGATATTTCTTGATTATAGGGCGATACGAAGTTCGCCGGGTCTTCTAGTTCTATATAAGTTTAAATGAAATTGAATAGTTTTATTAATCAAGAAATTATTATTACAGATCGGTCGAGGTGGTGGTTCGGAGCTAGCGGGCGCGGTGGTGGCGCACGCTCTGTGGTGCGGCGCGGGCGCGGGCGTGTTCCTGAGGGTGCGCGAGTGTGAACTGTTACTGCTAGCGGCGCCCTCTAGAGGAGCGATGTTACCCGCGCCATATCTGGATACGTATGGAGAGACTGATCAGGTTCGTAGTTGGTATATACACAGATTTATATAAGATAAGGGGCCTGTCAAGAAAACGGCTTACCTGGTGGAAGTAGTATCGTCGCTCATGGACATGCAACGTAAGAGAGGTAGATGTGTCGCTAACCTTGATTAGGGAAGAGGGAAAGGGAGGGAAAAGGAAAATCTCAACCGTCTCTCTCACTCGTCGGACGAAACGCAGCTATTAAAGATTACTTCACGCCGATCTTCTGTGAGAGGGTCGTACTTTCCCGGTCGAGCCAGCACATGTACGAGCTGTGGTAACTTACCACAGCTAGGGTCTACCTACAATATTATACATGCACTTGTACGATATATACTATATATCAATTGTACCAAGTAATATGACTTCACAGACTAACAGCTGTTTAATATATTTTCCAGGGCCTCCGCCGCGGTAATCCCCTCCAGTTGTGCAACGAGCGTTATCAAGCGTTACGTATGGTGTGGCTCTCACACGGAATACACGAACGGATCGCGCGCGGCCTGGACTCGAACATGTTAGTCACTACCACCTGGCAGAACATGTGAGCACAGCTACGGGGGGCCACGAGACGGAACACGCGACTACGGAGACTCATGAGAGTGTAAGGGCCCCCACCACACACGCAGAGTCTGAAGGCGTTGATAGACAGAGACGACATGCTGTCAGAGCGAGACAACGCTATGTGTGATGCTAACGGACTGGCGTCTGTGAATTCATCCATTGTGTGATATATTATATATTATAGATGCACGTATGAAGTGCGCAACCCTCATTGAAGTCCAAACGAACCCTCATAATCGCCTCGATCAAGGGCGGATGAATTATGAGCTGTGATAAATCCGTTCAATGGTTGTTTAATAGATTCACGTATAACACTTTGTTTATAGATCTTGTATAGAATTAAATGTTTTGTTTTACATTTGTGTTGTTATTCGCTTTAGTCGTTCGGATAATGAGCGATAATGATGTTCGAACATCTACTGATGCGGTTATATCGGAAAATTAGAATTATAAGATAATTTTTGCCTTAAACAATTACCAATAAATAACTTAGAGTATATATAGAAGCTAGATGAGCTCTAACGAGAGTTATTACATTATTCACTAATGATATTTTTTGCATGGCTGTGTGAGTAAAAAAAATAATAACAATAATTTTTTTTTTCAATTTTATACAAACATCGAGATTTATATGAAATTTACCAAAAAATTTAAATACATTCACACATACTGAAACATACTATCAGTTACCCATGTCTACTTTATTTCATATTTATTTGTTAACACATAATTTAATATTTATTAACAAACTTACTATTCTAGACATAAGACATCAAGAGCACAAAACACAAGTTGAATGTGCCTCGACTATTGTGCACTGTGTAACTACAAATATTTTTATGTATACAATTACTTGACACTATTTGTCCTTGAGAAAACAATTGATTGAGCAAACTGTTTCTTCCAGCGATGCAAAATACTACAATATTCATACATTGTTTGTGCAATACATCTATAATCATTGTTATCAGGCATAGAAAAAATATCTGAATTGTATTGGATTACTGTACATAGTTAACTATTAAATGTTTTAAGCCTCGCCAGTTGTTTTTATTTACTTCAAAGAACCTATCTACATATATAACCCAATGAAGTTATTACATGAATATCACGAATAAAGTCTTGGAACATATTCCTTCAATTCTTAATATTAGTAATACATATTTAATGATCAAGTACTGGTTACTTTTTCAACTTCAATTCTTACACCTAAATTAGAAAATAATGTTTAATATTACCAACCTTTTGTTGTTAACATTTTAAACGATTTGTATTGGTGTATACCTACTGGTCCTGTCCGATATCGAAAACGTTCAGTGAACCGAAAAATAGCTCACCGCATTGTGGTCACAGATTTTTTTTTATCGAAGTTCATGTTATGGCTCTAATAAAAACGCGCATAAAGCGTTGTGGTAATCTCAGAAAGATCAAATAGTGAAATTCGAGTCGTGTCTTGCATGCTATTCGATCACAACGCCGTGCGGCAATGGACTGCTGTAATATACTACCACCTTGTGGATGTTTCACTATGACCACTACTGACTAGCTTTGAGTTATTTTTCTGCTCACTGAGTTTTTCCCATCTTTGAGGTTGACATAATACATATTGTAGGAGCTGGGCGAACCAAATATAAGCAGTTGGCAGAAGAGATCTGCCATAAGGTCTTTTATTCATTCCTAACGCGCTTTAGTGCGGTGTGTGTTTGTAAATCTTGCGTTTGTGTTTTATTTAGATTTAATTTCACGACAAGTTAAAATCGAAATAGTTGAGAGTTATAAATTTATAATTTGTTTTTAGTTTTGTGTAAATTAATTTTTTTTTTTTTTTTTTTATGTTAAAGGTGGCAAACGAGCAGACGGCCCACTTGATGGAAGGTGGCTACCGTCGCCCATTGACATCCGCAAGAAAGATGTTGCGGATGCGTTGCCAACCTTGTTTTATAGGGATAGGGAGGGGTGGGAATAAGGATATTGTAGGAAAGGGTGGGAATAGGGAAAGGGCAACCGGCTCTCTCACTCATCGGACGAAACGCAGCCATTAAAGGCTACTTCACGCCGATCTTCTGTGAGAGGGTGGTACTTCCCCGGTCGAGCCAGCCCGTGTTCGAGCTGTAGTAACTAACCACAGCTAGGCTCTACCACCTAAAGAAAATAAATTGTTATTAGTGAAATTGTGCCAAAAGTTATATTTTAAGAACTACAGTGCATAGTAGTAGTGTCTAAGAATATACACTCTAAAAGTTTATATACTTACTATGTAATACATATATACAAATGGCATTTTAATTTAAGGAAGCAGAATTCATTGCAGTAAGAAAATAACCAAGTAATTAGATTTTATCTTATTTTTATAGGATGTACACAGAAATAATGTAAAAAATAAAATATTTGCCAAAAAATCCGAAAAATTTTATTTTGACCCCGACGTGATTTGAACACGCAACCTTCTGATCTGGAGTCAGACGCGCTACCGTTGCGCCACGGAGTCTATATTGAGAGGCTTGAAATTACATTTCAATTGCGAAAATCCTGAGTAATTTTTGCTCGATTTCCTTGAATTTTTATTATTTTATTTAATTTTATTCAGTCTTAAAACTTAATAAAAATAAAAAACTAATGACTGTTGTATGTTTGCCAGAAAAAATGTTTGTCATTAAAATTTGATTCACACTAATTGTAAATTCAAAGACATGAGGTTATTCATTGAAGAATTACATGACGATTTACCACCGTTCTCATCTTAAAAATCTTATACAGTAAATTTGACAGGACTCAACAGATTGATTACCAAAGGATTAAACGAACTTAGCGAAATAATATGTCATAAAAAAAAAACTTTAACCATATCCCTACTAATATTATAAATGCGAAAATAACATTATGTGTTTGTATGCTACCTCTTCACGCCTAATGATCTGATGCAATTTTTTATGAATTTTAGTATGGACATAGATGGAACCTTGGAGAAGTACATAGGGGAACCACGAAATTCGTGGCACGAATTTCAGTTCGGATGCAGAAGTCGTAGTGGCACAGAACAAGTCTAATGTCCACACGTACGGAGTCGCGGGAAATAGCTGGTAGATAATAAGTAGTTCTTTATCACAAGGATAATGATTAACATCTATGAATTCATTCGTCTAGGTCATAATAAATTTAATTGTGACTAATTAAATTACGCATTAAAATCTAAATGTTATAGTGCTCATGAAAAAGGATGTCTAAAATGATTTATGAATTAAAAAAAATAATCTTAGACCTACTTATTTATATATCCATAGCGGCTCAACCGATTTGAAGGAAATTTCAAATTGGAGATATTAGATACCATAAAGAGTCAATTAGCCGAAGCTTTTAATCAACTTTTAACCGACTTAAAGAAAGAAGTACTTCTTAATTTGGCTTTATGTCTGTTTCATTATTACTCCTCCAAAGGTAAGATTTTCGAACATATTATTTCTCGAATATCAACTGTCCTGAAGTAGTTCCGCTGTCACCAAGTGACAATCTCATGGAGGGCTTTGCAAGAAAACAAATAAAACCTCATAGATAAGAAAAGGCGTATTTAAGGTCTTTTATATGTGATTGATCATATGTATATCTTGAAATTATGACATTGTGCCTATTTATTTTACTGAGCTCAATTATGATTGATTAGCTTCTAATAATTTAATGAGCAATTTTCTATTTGTTTAATTTCAAGTTATATGTAAACAATCACTCATTTGTAGATGATTTTAATAAATATTTGAAAACTGTAATAATATTCTTTATCATACGACCTAAAAAGATTCGTTAAACGAACACCAAAAAGAAAAAAAAACACAAAAAACATTTTCAAAAATTTATTTTTAGAAAATAATACATTATCGAATATATAATTTTTTGTATTAATTTGGCACATGATAAAATATTATCTATTAGCTGCCGTCTTATAAGTTTACTTTAAGTGGTTGGAAATATTGATAACGTTGAATATAATACAGTAAAATAAAAAAGAGTATGATTACCACAGAGATCAGTTGGGAATGACAATATAAATAATAAATAAAATATGAAATAAATATAAACTACACGATCTTACATTAAAATTAATAATAGAATTGCTTATAAAATTATGTTTCAACTAAAGTTCACTACATACTTACATAAAAAAAAAACTATAGACTAAAAATAAACTGTTAGAAATAAATACAATTATTATTTTGACTGTTTGAATTCATTAACAGTAATGTCAGCCTACTGACAGTGATAAAAAATAGCAACGATGTTTTGCTTAATCTATAATCCATTAGATTTTATAAAACAATGTCTATTCATTTATATAATCTGTTCAAAATAGTACAATATCCTGTCAATACATAATTGACATGTTACATGTTTGAACTGGCTACAGATTATGATATATTACAGATTATAAATAAAAATAAAACCTTTATTATGAACTTTTGAATACCCTTATTTCTAAAAATAAATAAAAAACAAGATATTGTCTCCAAAGAAACCTTCCATATTGATAATTAAATTCACTAGCTGGTTCTATGTTTATGAAAATTATAGTTTATTTTAATAAGAAACATATCTTGAACGGGTACAATGTTGTCATGTAAAAAAAAACTTATTTTCCCAACATTATAACATACAGTCATAAATAAAACTTAATTATACAACAATAATGTGTAAGCTGATTTATCTATTTCAAGGGGTTGAGTATTAAATATTAATCATTATTATTATAATGACAATAATTCACTGCCTTGTATACCCTGAATGTTGATACAATATAAGATTTCTTGTACTTAATTCAGCATCTAACTGCATAGGCAATTATCATTACTTGTATTCCTCTTGTGTCTATTAAGTGTTACCAGTCTCGGACCTAGTTCTCCCTGAAACATTAATAAATATATATTTATTTAATTTTTTCATATTTATTATACATAAATGGAATTATGAGCCTATTTTTACATTTTACATGACATTAAATAATACAATGATATATGACATCACGGATTTTAATATGATTAAAATTCAAAATATAATATAACATTTATGCATTGTTATTGTATAAATTTTAATAATTAATTAATAATAGCAATAGTTTATGTAAATACAGATAGTGTTAGTTACCTCAACACTCACAACCCTGAAAGGCTGGTGTGAGTATAACTTGTGTGCGAGGGTTATAAAGATGGACTCAACATTGTCACACTCAGAGTCTAGTAAGGCTGAGGTTTCAAAGAGCTGGGGAATATAAAATGTTTTTAAGATAAAAGAAACATGTTTTTCTAGAGAATATTTTTAAGTTTTTAGTAAAGAAATTTTATAGTATTTAGCTTTGAACCTTACTGGTAAGAATTTCAAAAAGTATTGACACATTACAAGTAGTTATAGTGGTAAAATCGTTTACATTCAATTAAATGATTTTTCATAGAACATTTTATCACTTGGAATATTAGTTTAAACTTCGAAGGAAGGTTTATTAACTATTTTCATATGAGAAAACTTTTATAATGTAAGTGAAGGGTCTCATAACATAATGAAAAAGTATGTTTATTAAGTTATAAATTAATAAAACTTATACATATTGCTTACAGGCATCCCATATCTATCAGCTAGACGTTGTGCATACACCGTGGCCAATCTATCAGAAGGTGATCCACAGTCACATTTGTTACCGACTAACACACGAGGAGCTTTTGTGAGTCCGTGAGATTCAACTTCCGACATCCAACTTGTAATGGACTGGAGATATAAGTTTACAGAAATGTTATTATTATATTGCAAGTAATATCTCAGATTTACTAAACATCTAGTATTAAGTCTATACGCCTGACGTTTCGGTTACTATGCAGCAACCATGATCATGAGAGGACGAGATACTAAAAAACACATAGTAAATACAAAAATATTAGTTATTTTTCAATGAAGACCCTAAATATTACTTATAATGTCTTTTATGCGTTTTTAAGCTTTTGTTATAATAAATAACATTGAATTTTAGATAACAGTATTAATGTGACGATCTGAAATCTACTTTAAAGAATCCCAACATACATTTTTATGGCATTAGTGTCCAAAAAGAAGGGGTAAAATTAGGAGGAAAATTGTTTAAACCTCTAAAAAATCTGTATTGAATTGGATCAGTTTATATCTTCCCTTGTATATGCACTTGTTTTCTTTTAATTATTCTGTTGTTCATAATAATGTTGAATAAAATTACATATCGGCGAGTAAATCTACATTTAAATATTAAATGTTTTCATATTCAATAAGGCAGATAGCACTGAACACATAAAGAAGTTGTTCATAAAACTTTAATAAATTTATATTGCTGTTATACAGATACAACCTTTACTATTACAATAATATAGATTTTAAAATGTACCTACAAATTTAAATATTCATTATTACCACATTAGTAATTGAATATATAAGAATTTAGTTGTATTTTACATTTAAATGAAACTAAGTTTTTTAGGATACAATGAGATAAATGTTTCAGTTTCTTTATATTAACTCTGATCAAGGGTAGATATAATAGAACACTTTTTTCTCATAGTATCCAAAAAATTGTTTTCATTTACATTTGAATTTGCTTATCTTATGCTACTAATATTATAATTGCGAAAGTTTTTGAGTGTGTGTATGTTTGTTACTTCTTCATGCTCAAATGCCTGACTCGATTTGGATAAAATTTTGTATACAGGAAGCTGACATCCAGGAATAACACATAGGCTACTTTACATCCCAGAAATCCGCAGGGCGCAGCTAGTTATATATAAAGTTTAATAAGTAGGTACAGCCTTACATGAAATGTTTCCGGTTTGGTGACATCATAAACTATCACCACAGCATGTACATTACGGTAGTAATGCTGCACCATGGATTTACGGAACCTCTCTTGACCAGCTGTGTCCCATAACTGTAACTGAATACCAGAATATTTTTTCCGTTAATTAAATTCCATATAATATATGGACAATAAAGTGACTATTTGAAGTGATGCTATACCAAGTATGTCGACACTAATAAGTCTTATAACTCTATCTTCTGCATTTAACTAATATTTTTATTCCACTATGTGAAATACCCACACCTAGTCAAGTATACATATATGTATATGTTAAGAAAAACTTGCATAAAATGTAGTTTGCATAGTGAAGAACATTTATGTGGGAGGACTATTATCTCTCCTGTATCTCTGTCATATAGAAAAAATAACAAAACAAATAAAATATTTAAAGAAATCTATGTACACAACAAGCTTTCTAAGAAACGTAAAACTTAATTTCACGATATATGATCTACCTTAATATCTTCGTTACGAATGCGTATTGTTCTTTCTCGGAAGTCCACCCCTATTGTAGCCTCTGATTTATCTAAAAACTGTCCTTCACAAAAACGGTACGTGAGACACGTTTTTCCTACCCCAGAATCACCCAATACAATTATTTTAAAAACTTTCTTCTGTCCTAACCCAGGAATAATTTCGTTTGTTGAATCTGACATTTTTAGTTTAATTCACTACAGTTCACAAGATGCAAATAAATAATAACACATCAATATTTTGATAACAAGCGTTCAATGATAACAATTAACACTACAGTCAGTGACATTGATGTTTATAGCTAATGATACCAAAGCGAAATATTAATTTATCCTTTAAAAAAATCGTATTTTTAATGTAATTTATTAAAATACAAATATATAAATATCACTATAAAAGATAAAAAAAGTAATATTTGTAATATTTACTAAATCATAACTTTTCTGATATAAAGAAAACTTTTTATAGCTTACGTAGTAGAATTTAGGAGTAACATTTTGCAATACGGCAACACCTTTGGTAGAAATTTATTTTTTCGATGATAGCAGTTTCACAGAAATGTCGGATGACGAGAGAGGGTTTCGGACTGTTTTGTGGCGTTAATTAACCGAAAAAATTGCAAAACCTGCTAATCTTACTATTTATTAGTCGTATTTAGATATTTTCGACTTTTAGATACCTTAAACTTAATAAATATATCACAAAATTCCTAAATTTACCCACTATAACCTCTTAATCTAGAATATCATAATTGCTTCATGTAATTATAGGTAGAATGTTGAGATCGCGATAAATGAAAGTATTGTTTATGTTGCTTGAAGTTCACGGTGCGTTTGTGTTGTGAATGTGTTCAATCAAAATAGTGTCAGTGAAAAATGTGAAATAATCGAAAAATGTGTAGAATCCTGTGCAAATCAATTACAAAGTGTTTTTGTGGCGTTGATCGGATGTTTCGGTAGGATTGCGATGTCCAGATTAGTGGACTACTTTGTCATAGTGGGCTTCGACCACGAGAAAGAAAGTAAGTCATTCTAATTACATTTAATTTCTTATAGTAATATCATCTCTATTTAGATTTATATAGCTAATAAATAGTACAAGAAAGTTTCAACATCTATAAAGGATATCAAATATTTAATATTATTATCAAATTATAAATAATTTTATACATGTCTATGTAAATTACAATTCTTGTTATCAGTTTAAAAACAATGAATGGTGCTGACAAATAGAACAAAGTATATATTCCAATTAATTCTAATAATTAATGTAAATAAAATTCTGATGAATATCTGTTTTTAATATATTATTATTCATAACATACATTAATAAGAAAAAGTATTAATTAATGAAAAAAGATAATTTATCATACATTTTGCTAACAAGAGAAAGTATGGGAATTTTGATATTTCAAATTAAAAACTTATAGGCCTGATTAAAATAGGACATAAAATATATTTGTAAGTTGTAACTAAGTTCTAATATATTTTATAACAACTGAGAACCAATTGATTGTACTAATATGTAGCCTCATTATTTAGGTCTCAGTAATATTTTGGTTATAGGAATATAAGTGGACTTAATTCTATGTATTAATTACAATAGTTGTGGTAAAAGGTTTGAGTTTTATTTTTATGAAGATGTTAAAACTTAAAATGTTATAAGAAATAACAAAATTTGTAGTTTTGTTATAAATTTATAATCAATAATAATTTTTATTCATCCTTAAAACATACTTTTACAAAAATAACTTTGAATTAAAACATGTCAATAATATATTTGTTTAGTATCTGAGTTCATCATTATATTTGTTTAGTATCTGAGTTGTTTATATTTTTTTGTAATCATTCTCTAATATAATTATCAATTAAGTAATAACAAAATGATTCCATTTTCTTTTATTCCAAATAATCTTGTTTTATTATTTTCCTGGAAATGAACTAAAAATAGTCTTGGAATCAGTTTAAAGTTTTTAACACAATGATGTCATCATTTAGTCATTCATTAAGATTTATCTCATGAATGTTTCCATTAAATTTCTTTAAGGATAGATGATTGATACAGAAAACCAAAAAAAAGGAAGATGTTTTTAAAAATTTTAATATAAATGCTATTATAATATTTTTTTTTAATTAATATATTGATTTGAATAGCTAATAATAGTTGTAAAACATTTAGAAATTTTCTTTTATGCGCTTTTTTTATAATCTTTTCTTATACAAATACTACATTTAAGATTTCAATTAAGAGTAAACTTTCATCCAAAAATGAACAGCCAGTATCTTTAGATTCTTGTAATGTTAAAAAATAACATGACATCTATTCATTTGAATGCTTTGGAAGTCAATTTTATGTTAAAATTCAGTATTTAATAATGTTAAGATTATATTTATTTATTTGAATACAATCTTGGTTTTAATACATATATGTAAGCACTGCTTCAAGTCATTAAAAGTAGAAAATTGATTATAAGTACTTATAAAATACATACTAAGGTAAATAATTAAAATATTGTATGTATATGTACTTCAGTCATCCAGATTTGATTGTTAAGAAATAATATATATTTTATATAATCATTATAAGCTCTTATTCTTAGTATGTTGTGGTTCTTTGTATAAATAATTTAATGTTTTGTTATTGAAATTTTTTTCTGTACTTTGGATTGCTTATGGTATATTAAATTTCATATTTTATAGATATTATTCAATAATGAAAGTGCTTTCAGAATTTCTGTAGGTGTAATATTTACAAACTATTAGCATTTACAATAAATCTTCTTTCAATTTTATAAAAAAACTACTTAAGACCATTATGCACAAATTTTTTGTTACAATTTAAACATAATATGTCTTGAAGTCCTGAAGTCCTTGGTAAGGCCTTGAAGCTCCTTAATTTTATTTACATAAGAAATACTTAAAATATATTCATTAAAGATATTTAAGAAAAATATAAGTTAAAAAAAAATAGAAAAAATAATGTTAATAATGTCATGTTGAAATGAATTTTGTCCATCCTTGACCTAAAAAAAACAGGTAGAGAATTGAAAAATCTGTCCAATATTATCATTGCTTCTATTCATTCTCTTTGCACAATTTATTAATTGATATGTCAAAAGACTAGATAAATCGATATTTTATAATCATATCTAGTAAACTTTTAACTCTGTCCATACTTGCAAAGTATAACAATTTTGGATTGTTGTATTGTTTTAGTGTGTGCATTGTATTTTCCTTTTTAATTAATAAATATTATAAAGCTCGCGTGTACCTTCTGATTAAGTGATTTTACTTCAATCAGTTATGACATTCTGTAAATAGATTTTATAATTATACATATCTAAGATTTTAACTTTTGTTCACGTTTAGATCGTCTTTCAAGACGTTTCGAACGCGATTGTAGAAAAATAATTTATATTTTAGTTTGCTGGTGTCTTTTATATATAATTTTATGTATAAATGAGCAAGAATGTCTGTATTGTTAAAGGAGGGGGATTGAGCAACGGCGTCATTCTACAAAGGTTCCCCGAAGTCAACTGGGACGACACTCCATTCCACGACGGCATAGAATGGGTACGTCACTATTGTAGATGTATATACATAGATCATCATCTATAACTATAACTAGATCTATGACTGTTCGTGGAATGATGAACGAATTAAAGAAATTAATCTGACAAATAGTTCACTGAAAATGTTCGTTAACATTATAATTATGAATAGTTTTTGATTTGATTGATGTTCGAATTCTATTAAGCCAGTAGTATTTAATGTATATATTGTTAAATATTAAAGTAGCAGTATGTTTTTCTGTTGTTAGTTCTGTCAGCCACAAGGATGGGCGTTGTCTACGGAACGTACGGAACCCCGTTTCTACGTGTCCGTGTTGACGGATGTGGACGCAAACAGGCACTACTGCGCCTGTCTCTGCTTCAACGAGACAGTGGCTATCACACCCACGAAGCCAGCAGACGAGGTAAATGTTCACCAGTAACTGTTTAAGAGTCGTTTACACGACGATTGTAGGTTAATTACGCTTTACGTGTATACGGGTCTTAATATATAGAAGGACTAACATAGGTTTAAGTTTATATATGAAGACTTTTTTGATTCTGTAATACTTGAACATTCTATAAAACATTAAATTCGTATAGAGCACAATGAATTATTCTAAGTAACACCAAACATTTTTGTTTAAATATAAATATAATAAAAGTAAACAAAACGACTCGGTTCAATTGACCTTTACATTGATTGTTCCACTCCAACAGTCCACAATGAAATTTGATTCAGCCAATAAGCAAAATGTTCAAGGTCGTTAAATGTTATAACATTTTAACGATCTGTTACAACTTACATGTTATATTATATTAATTTAACAGTTTGTTCTTGTAAATTAATATGGTCAGTGGTAACAGTGATTTGTTTTAGAATTAAATCATTGTTCTATTATCAATAGTTTAAAGCTTTAATCTTATGCAATATACCTACTAAGTATATTGATTTCATTTAATCGAGAAAAAAGTTAATAAGCGTTATAAAAATAAATATGTTTTAAAACTATCTAAAGAGGTACATAACATTGACATTATGTACCTCTTTACAACTAGACTACTAGGCAGTATTTAACAATTTATTATAATTGGGTTACTATGAGCAATGTTGTAAACTAAAATCATGAAACTGAGTTGACAATGAACATGATCGGACTTCCGTCGAAAGATAGCCAGATGTATATATACATATATAATATGTATTATAATCTTGTATATTGACATTGGACACTGTAGTAAATAGTAATGATTAGTAGAATTGGTATCATTAAAATAAAATTTGAACATTATCTCAAATATAATATATTATTAGATTTCATATGAATTTAAGTCACTATTATCAGGTTTAAAAGTAAGTTTTCGTTTAATCATATTTACTTTTATAACCATTTCTATTATTAATTTATATTAATCTAGATGGTTTTTTACTTTTATGCAGTATAATATGTAAAAATGCGGGAACAATATATTTTTTCTTACTTCTTTACCTATTAAGACTAATATGGGAATTATATTATAGCACTAGCTTTCCGCCCGCACCTTCGCCCGCTTGGAGTTCGGTTATATCGCGTTTCCAAAAGAACCTTTCAAAAGTATGGGATAAAAACTATCTTATGTTCTTTCTCAAGGTCAACTCTATCTCTGTACCAAATTTCATTGAAATCGGTTCAGTGGTTTAGGCGTGAAAGCGTAACAAACAAACAGACACACAGACAGAGACAGAGTTACTTTCGCATTTATAATATTAGTAGGGATTATGGAGGCAATATAAGATAATATTCTATATATATATATATATATATATATATATATATATATATATATATAGAATATTAAACAGCAATAAAGCAGTGTATATCAGAGCAATCGGTGAACGTACTTGTACACAATTCGCTCTCAGATTTCAAGGACATTTATAATTATATTAGACGAGGTGGAAGCTTTAAAATTTAGTCATATTCTATTAAAATTTATTAGGACACGTATTTTTATAATCGTATATAATAAAATAAGATTTTAATTTGATTTTTAGTGAAACTCAATTTTTTGTAATTTTTTTATGTCATTTCAAAACTTATAAATTATTACTTTATATAGTTATATTACATAGAAACTTTTAATTATGTTTGTCTTAATATTAATAACTAATAAATACAAACTAATTGTTTGTATTTTCTACTAAGGATTTCGAAAACTCTTCATATTCAAAAACTAAATATTCACTAACTAAATTAGAATCAGAGCACTATATTTTGCATAGAAATTGTGTATAAAACTTGAGATTTTGTTTTATTTTTTATTATTATCATATTTTTGTAATAAATAAACCTTAATCTATTTTTATTCTCCATAATAATACCAGAAACAGTCGCTCTATGTGTTCTTTAATCTATGATTTCTCATCATATGAATTGAACACTATGCCAATTTTTATTAAAATAATTAATAAATAATATAGATAGGCGTGAAGTAGTCTTTTTATTCGATGCGTGAAAGAACCGATTGCCCTTTTCCCATCCAATCCTCTGCTTTCCTTTCCCTTTTCTCACCCTTTCCTCCTCCTCTCCCAAAATTAAGGCCACAAAAACATCCGCAACATCACTGTTGCAGATGTCCATGGGCGACGGTGACTATCTTCTACCAAGTATACCGTCTGCTCGTTTGCCACCGTATATAGAATACTAGCTTTCCGCCCGCAGCTTCGCCCGCATGGAGTTCGGTTATATCGCGTTTCCAAGAGAACCTTTCAAAAGTCTGGGATAAAAACTATCCTATGTTCTTTCTCAAGGTCAACTCTATCTCTGTACCAAATTTCATTAAAATCAGTTCAGTGGCTTAGGCGTGAAAGAGTAACAGACAGAGTTACTTTCGCATTTATAATATTAGTAAGGATAAGTAAATAATTAAAAACCGTTGTATTATTACTGTTCTAACATTTGATGTGTTCAATTCCTCCTGAATAACGCATATATTACATATTTGTGTTACCTTCCGGCGTTTGTGTTGCCATGTGTGGTATACGTAAACTGTAATTATGTAACTTTAGTTGAAGTTCCTATATTAGTTTTATTATATATTATATATCTATATATATAAAAGAAAGTCGTGTTAGTGACTTCACTTATAACCCAAGAACGGCTGAACCGATTCAGCTGAAAATTGGCAGGGAGGTAGTTTAGAACCAGGAAATTGCAATAGGATACTTTTTATCCCATTCGACAGCATTCCCGTGGGACTTGACATGAAACGTCAGTCACTATAAAACGTGGAATAACGAAACACAATTGACAGCTATGCAATTGACGTATAATGACAGATATGTAATGACGTATGGATGACAATTAGATATTTGTAAGAAATCTACTATATAAAAATAAAAATATTTAGGTAATGTGTTTGTAGTTTGAACTCTTAAAACCATTTAGTGTTTGCGGGATAAATTTAGAAAATCAGTGTTTTTCACATGGGCAGTTATATTTTGCGTGTTCACGAGTTTGGAAACCATACGCTTTATTTGTGTTAAAGTTAGACCAAAAAACAAAAAATGTGGTTTACAAAGGAGCACTTCAATGAAACGAATAATTTGCGGACACGTATAACGCTTCGATTCGGTATCTACTTTGGATTCAATTTCATTTACTTAGAGAAGTTCAACTAAATAACACTTCATTTTTGTAATCGAAATGAATTCATTACTGTTGTGAAATGAAATAAAAATTTTCCTTTTCAAATATAAAACAAAAAATTCTTCATCTTTTAATCACCAAACGAAATGTTATATAAATGCCTTCTGGTGGCGAAACGGAGTTCGCCAGATTTACTAGTATGTATATATATCTCTTTTTTACATATATTATCAGCAACAATTACGTTTATTTTGATTTTGTTACTACATAGATTTTTGTTTATCTTAAAATTACGAGAGAATATATTATATAAACTGACAAAGCGTGTGTGTTTTTTTATATAGAAAAGTTAAAACTTAAAAAAAAGATTATCACAGTCTATGTACTAAGCTCCTTCCAACTAATATCTCTGTATACCTTATAACCAGTGGCGGCTGGTGGGTTATCGAAATGGTGGTGCACTTTAATAAAATATTAAAATTAGAAAATGCAACAAAAACCAATTGACATAAAATATGTTTATTATTTAAACATTAAATCAATGCGACGACATTTTTCTGAAGCGAAATGTTCAATCACCTTTTTATTAAAATCGGGTATTGTTTGTATAATTATTTTTTTCAATACTAAGCATAGAAAGTGCATTTAGCAAGTGCATGGTATTTAGGAGAAAAGTTTTGATTCTTTTCAATTCCAATCCGTCATACATCGGGTGCTCTCGGTAATCTTCGGTCGCTCGTGCGGCGCTCGAGAACCGACTCATTACTCGGTACATTTCTATGAACTATCTTTTGTTTCACGCGTCAGGCGTATTAATTCGTTTCTCATACAAGATGTATAAGGAGTCCTCGTGCACTCGCCGAAGCGCACGAGATATTAGTTTAGTAAAGCGCACAAACTTTTTGACTATAAATAATTAGAAATTTATTTTTTTATATGTTTTTGTATGTTTAGAAAATAAATATAAAAATGGTAATTTAAAAATATAGATGAAGTAATATTTTGTAATTTTTAAATCTTTTGAATTGGTGGTTCAGCGCACGAGTGAACTTAAGGTACAGCCGCCACTGCTTATAACTAAATATTTAATTTATTATATCAGTGTATATCTTTATGCGCCAACATTCCTTAACATCGATAACTGAATATATTACTTATCGAATCCAAGATATCAGAGCATTTATCAAGCTTTCTTGCCATCATAAAAACAATTCATCAATGAAGCATATATAATGAACACCCTGTATAATATAGGGTAATCCTTATACATATAATCGGGACACGCTGTATATTGTGTACTATATAAAGTAACGTTATTAGTGTCGTTGCATTTATATTGAAAGCCATATAAGTATTTATAATGTATTAAACATAATGAAGCCCCTCCAGTTGCTTTGATGCAAATTCTTTAATATTGATACATATTATAGCGGCTATATTGAAATATTGATAAAACTTTTATAAATAGTCATTTCGTCGTATTTCCTAGTAGTAATTAGTAGGTTTATTTATTGTATTTATATGCTGAAATATAAATTTACGTTCGCTGTATTAAAAAAAATACGAAAAATTTTTTTATTGTATATTTTTGTTATAAATTATTTCCATATATCATTTCAGGAAGCACCATGATATACATACATATAAATTCAAATACTAAGTTTTTTTAGAAAAAATAGAATTAAGTTACATATCAGATTCGATAAAAAGAATGGAAATTAAGTATAGAACGATTCAAAATAAATAATTTTTATATAATTTTCGTATCCAAAAGTATTTAAATATGGGAAACCGTA